CAACCATGATGGAGGGGGGTTGGCGATTTTCTAACACATCAAGACGCCTTGTTATGATAAATACTTCCCTATCAACCTTATCAAAGGCCTGGGGATTACTCAGTAACACGAATGCCTCTCGGTCAATTGATTTCATCAACCAATATGGGCTTCGCAACCGATGACATTGTAAAAATTCCATTCAGTCTATAAGGGACCTTCAAATGTAACGCGCCATGTCGACACGAGCCTCTGAAGTCACCTTGCCAGTTCCTTATCAAACATTTAATGACTTCAAGTTCAGGATACTTTAGCTTGGACTAGCTAGTCATGAGCTTGAGAATTACCCCTGGCCCGTCTGCCTATAAGGTTGACTTTGGCACGTCATTCAGGGCTCTCCAAGGGCAATCAGTTGGCATTATATGACATGGCTGAGACTGGAGTAGTCTCTGAGGCGTGATCGTCGATCGGCTATCGTGACCAGTCTCGGGCACATGGGCCTTTCAAGCAAAAATGCGTCAACAAGTCATCAACTATAGCAACGGCTTCTGGACCCTGGATTTGAATCAAGTCTGCGAATGTTGTGGCATAAGGCCAACACATAGACGAAGACTTTACTTGTATTATTTATTTCGAGGTCGCGGCTGAAACGTCAGCCTGTGGACGGAGAAAGCTATATTTTCCTTCGGGTTCCAGACATGGGAAGCCAGAATTAGAAATGTGCCATAGTCAGTGAGTATAAAGCTAGCTGCTATGGTCATGGGACCCGACGTTGAAGAGGTCTCGCTGTCTGTCCTCGAGGGTCAGTTCGAATGGCTGGAGTATCTGACTCCACTCTTTCACGTCTTCTCCTGATACTCCCTCAAGGCGATTTGTCCCGTATGTACCAGCTTCTCCCGCATTAGACGGTGAGGGACGACATTGTAGAGGCCAGGATTCTCTGACGATCTCAACACCATACAGAAGCCATGTGGGTATTCGGCTCGGCGTCGCATCTTTCTGCTGCACTTCCTCGTTACATGTGAATGGAGCTACTTCCCAACCAGCCAATGTGAAGAACAATTGCCTTGAGATCTACAATTTAAGAAGAATGCGGCCCTTCTGAGAGAGCTATGTCACGATAACATCCAACGCATTCATTCCTCTAGTCGCTGAAGGCTCTGGGGCATCGTGGCGCTGGGCTAGCGTGGGTTGATCGAGGTTGATCAACGACAGACACCGGCAGGAGATAACGAGTGACAGTGTAGATGATCCTCGCCAGCTGGACAAGATTGTAAGCCAATTGTTTCAAAGACTCTGGATACCTACCTGGTCAATGCAAGTACACGTTGTGATAAGAATGCACGCAACATGCTACCAGCAATCGGGATCATCATCCAAAGGTCCTTCTGTCTCCTGATTATTTTTACCCTAGAGATGACATTTGATTAATCAGAATCAATTTCGAACGCTACTTGCCAGATGGGTTTCGCTGTCCATGGAACAGACGTCAACAGTCTTGTGGGTTGATGGTTCTGAAATCTTTATTGATTCCAGTAGTCTCTAGGAATGCTTATCGCGAACCCAAAGATACTCGTTCATAGTCATAACAACAAGTCATCGACGGCTAATAAAGCCTGTAATACACAAGACCTTTTACCTGTTCAAGCTTGGCCCTGTGCTCTTGACTTGCTGCCGAATAACCCAACAACATTAGGACAGACCTGTATGATCACCGAGGGTCCCGGGTAGAGCCAATCAAGTTGGATGATGTCGACAGCATTGGATGAGACAATTTATTATGCTTAGAGACAGGCCCACTGCTTTTGTCCCGCACGGGCTAAGAAAGGTCAAGTCAAGTTGTCGAATGCTGAGAGAGATGCACAACGTCAGGGGCTCAAGCCAATGGTTCGGGAGAGGGAGGATTACAAGGCAGGGTTAAGCTGCACGAGCATGGGCGGTAGTTTACGAAAGCGCTTTCGCCAAATCAAACATATTCAACAAATATCAACAACTAGCACATGCCTACTCCGTACACTCATATTGATCCGAGGGAAAGGAAAGAAACCCCTTGATAAGTCGGGGTCAACCGTGCACTCATAAGGTCTTGTTTGAAGCTGTCTCCGCCAACTGAACCCCAACTCCATGGATGAAAATCGTGGGAGAAATGTGGGAAAATCTGGAGGATGGAGACGCTATCCATACCTTTTTCTCGGTTCTAGGAATTCAATGGATGTGTGCTAGCATCAGGTGTCCACAGACATGCATGGAAAACATACAGTAGCTTACAGTAGCTCGATATCATCAATACACGCTGTTCCGAGCTCTCCGCGTCCCCAGCCGCTAGAATATCGCTACTCCACTATTGGCTCCTTGTAAACCTCACCGCCCGAACGTCCACGACAGCCAAGCGAGGGAAAAGTGGCAGTACAGCAAGGTACGTCTCCCAAAGTCTGCCATATTTGAACCCTCCCCATCCCCGAACAGCACTCCGTTTCTCTCTCTTTTCCCTCACCAACAAACCTCGTCAACTTACAATCAGCCAAATAACATCTCCAAACTTTTCAAAACACTTGTTTCCTATCAAAATCTCCTTCTCTTGACATCTATCTACCCCGCTACCCCGCCATCAACAAACCCCCTCCAAATACTCTTATCATAAAGACCAAGGCCTTGACCCTTGGTCACTACAGTCGTCAAGACGTTTTCCAATCTTCTTAACTCGTAAGTCACCTAATGAAATCCCAAGAAAGACGATGTGAAGATGAACGGACAAATGCTAACCTCACAAAAGGACGCACCACCCGTTCGCAGGAGCCCGCTGCTCAGCCGATTCCGGAGGCTCAGCGGACTCGACCTTTGAACAGTAAAGGTCAAATTTCAAACAGAACCCGTCCAATCTCAATCAATTTGCAAATTTCCACGTAAAGCCACCTTTTTCATCATGGCTCCTCACGCGGAAGTCGGCACGGGCTCCTCGAACGGGGCGGTCTACAACGGCCGAGGTTCCTCAGCTACCCAGGACCTCTTCACCGTCAACTCCCCCAACGTCACCTACACTGATGCGGAAATTCGTTCCCGATACACCTACCGCACTACCAAGGTTGACGTTGATGCTAATGGCAAGTATGTCGCCACTCCAAATGAGACTCTCTATGACTTCAAGGTCGACCGTAAGATCCCCAAGGTCGGCATGATGTTGGTTGGCCTCGGAGGCAACAACGGCACTACCGTCACCGCTGGCATCCTCGCCAACCGCCGTCAGCTCGCCTGGGATACCAAGGAGGGTCCTCGCGAGTCCAACTACTACGGCTCTGTTGTTATGGGCTCTACCCTCAAGCTTGGCCATGATGCCAAGACCCATCAGGAGATCAACATTCCCTTCCATAACATCCTCCCCATGGTTCACCCCAACGACCTTGTCATTGGGGGCTGGGACATTAGCAAGATGAATCTGGCTCAGGCCATGGATCGCGCTCAGGTCCTCGAGCCTACCCTCAAGGCCCAGGTCAAGAAGGAGATGGCCGAGATGGTTCCCCTTCCCTCCATCTACTACCCAGACTTCATTGCCGCCAATCAGGAGGACCGTGCTGATAACGTTCTCGAGGGCTCCAAGGCTTGCTGGGCTCACGTTGAGAAGATCCGCCAGGACATCCGTGACTTTAAGGCCAAGAACGGCCTTGACAAGGTCATCATCATGTGGACTGCCAATACTGAGCGATATGCCGACCTGATTGAGGGCGTCAACGACACTGCTGACAACCTTCTCAAGGCCATTGAGCAGGGCCACGAGGAGGTCTCTCCCTCAACCGTCTTTGCCGTTGCCTGTATTCTTGAGAAAGCCCCTTTCATCAATGGCTCCCCACAGAACACCTTTGTCCCTGGCGCCATCGAGCTTGCTGAGAAGCACAATGCCTTCATTGGTGGTGATGACTTCAAGTCTGGCCAGACCAAGATGAAGTCTGCCCTGGTTGATTTCCTCATCAACGCTGGTATTAAATTGACATCCATTGCCAGCTACAACCATCTTGGCAACAACGATGGCAAGAACTTGAGCTCCCAGAAGCAGTTCCGCTCCAAGGAAATTTCGAAGTCCAACGTCGTTGATGACATGGTTGAGGCTAACCACGTTCTGTACAAGAAGGGCGAGCACCCTGACCACTGTGTTGTAATCAAGTATATGCCCGCTGTTGCTGACAACAAGCGCGCTCTTGACGAATACTATGCCGAGATTTTCATGGGCGGTCACCAGACCATTTCGTAAGTTGATGTCAAGGTTTCGAAGACAATAGACTGCGACTGACCATTTTCAGGCTCTTCAACATCTGCGAGGACTCCCTTCTTGCCTCTCCTCTGATCATTGACTTGGTCATCATTGCCGAGATGATGTCTCGTATCCAGTGGAAGGCTGTATCCTCTGATGGTACTGCTACTACCGAATACAAGAGCTTCCACAGTGTCCTGAGCGTCCTTAGCTACATGCTGAAGGCTCCCCTCACCCCTCCTGGCACCCCCGTTGTCAATGCACTAGCCAAGCAGCGTGCTGCTCTGACTAACATTTTCCGTGCTTGCGTTGGCCTCGAGCCGGAATCTGACATGACTCTTGAGCACAAGCTCTTCTAGTCGTCACGCATATGTTTCATGCTCTTGACATTGATTGATTTAGTGGGGGGATATTTATAGGACAGTCTTTACCGGATGCTCATATTGGTATTTGAAAACTGAAAAATTTGTAAAAACGGAGGAGTGATCAATTAGCCGCATAGCCAACCAAATTTAATTGTGCCATTCTCCTCATGATATACGAAAACACGATATACATGTGTCATTTGCAATATCGCCGCACGATATGTTGAATGTATGACTGGCCCTCGCCATGTATCCAGACCTGAGGCGTTTGGACCTCAAGGGTGTTAATTGAATTTTACCGTGGCTGGTAAACTTTACGCGTGATTGATGCGTATCAACGCGTCTCTCCACGCCAACGCATTTCCATGGCCCGCGCGTCGCGTTAAGCTCCCCACTACCACTTAGACCTGGGAGTTTCCATCATTCTCACAGATCAACATCCACTCTTATGTCAAGAAAATTATTCGCTCCCAAGGACTAGATGTTAATTTGCTTGTTGTTTTCATCTTTTCGCTGACCACTTTCTATTTACATCATAACTACCATCGGTATCACAATGGCTACTCCCCCACGAGCTTCCTCCCGCTTCTCAAAGGGTGGAACTCCCGAACCACTTTCACCACAGTCCAGATTCAAAGCGCAACTTGCAGCTCTTGAGAGCAGTGACGACGAAACATCCTCTTCAAACCAATACACAGGCAACAACTCAAAAAATCACCTCGACCTACCAACACAGACCATACCTGATCAAGAAACGTCCGATGAATCGGATAATGACATAATTAGGCCACGAGGCAAGCTGGCGGCTAGGATGCAAGGGACATGGCGACAAAAGGAGTCCGGGAATACGTCTTTGCAAAAAGAAACCACTGGGGACTGCATAGAGAAGATTTACGAGCCAGAAGAGAAGGCGACTGAAGAAGTGGAGAGGGCAGACAATGTTGGCATGCCTGATGTTGAATCGCAAGAAGATGGCGCTCCTGTTGCACGCCGAAGATTAGTTCGCAAGGCACCTTCGTCGCCGGCCTCAAAACGCACCCCTCGTGGTTCCAGCCCAACACTTTTCGTATCATCACCTCTTCGCCCTTCGCCAACCCGATCGATGCATAATGGCTCTGATTCTGAGGGTGACATGCCTACCCTCAAACCCGATCGCTTTAAAGCGATGCTGGAGCGCCGCAGACAAAAGAGGCGTGACAAAGATGCCGCTAAAGAAGAAAAAGAGGCCGAAAAACGTGCAAAACAACAGAAAGTCGCCCAGGAGATGGAAGAGATGGTCTCGGATGGCGATAATTCCAGTATTACCGACGATGAAGGCGGCCGACGACTAACACAGGCCGAGCGACCCAGTGCTCGTAAAGCCAGCAAGAAGGCCATCGAGGAGATGAAGAGAGAAACTCAGAGAATGTCGAGAAATATGCAGTTGGCACATGAAGCCAAGACACGAAAGAAGATTACCAAGAACAGTTTATTTGAGCGTTTCAACTTTCGCCCAGCAGGTGAACCAGAACCAAAGGTTACCAGCTCGAGCAGGGTCCCAACACCACACAGCGATGTTGAGATGCAGGGTGTCGATACACCACCGAGTTCTCCGCCAGTTTCCAAAGAGACTGCCACCGCCGTTACAGGCCCAGAAACTGCTGCTGATGACGATGAATTCGACTTGCCAACTATAGACAGCCTGGCTGAGACAACCAAGCTCAAACCAGATAAAGGAAAGGGAAAGGCCGTGGAGACTCCAACCGAACAGGAACAGCCCGTTCAAAACCCGAGGCGCCAATTTCGAGTCAAGCTTCCACCTATGAGAGCCAACGTGACCATGGTGGATTCGGATGACGAGTTAGAGATCACAACCACCACCAAGGACAAGATTCGAGCTGTATTCGACATGGCGCCAACAAAGAAAGCACAAGAACCCAGTTCCGTTCAGGCGCTACGCGCCCTTGCCCAACTAAAATCTCCCGGCAAGGAGACAAGGCGAAAGAACGAAAACCACGGCATGACAGCAGGCGAACTCCAGGCCTATCTATACCAGAAGGCTCGGCAGCAAGCTAAGGTAGAGCGTGACCGCAGAGTTGATCTGCTAAAGGCTCAAGGTGTCGTTATTCAGACCGCAGAGGAGCGTGAACGTCAGATGCAAGACGCTGAGGACATTGTCGCTAGGGCAAGAGTGGAGGCACAGATGATTAGGCAAAAAGAGAAAGCAGCCGCCAAGAAGGAAGCGAAGGAGAATGGCGAAGTTGACCCCTTGGCCTGGGATGATAGCGAGGACGACGAGTATCAGGCATCTGGAAACGAAGCTGATGGAGAAGGATCAGTTGTTGAGTTGTCCGGATCTGAGGATGAAGAGGAAGTTAGTGACGAGGAGCAACCAGATGGCAATAACATGGTCGAAGTCGAGGCTCGAGATGGAGAGTCTGAGGCCTCCACTGATGAGAATGATGATACAACTCTTATCGCCAGTCAAGATGTTCAACACGATATCGAAGAGTTCCCTGCTACGAGATATAGACGACTGCGAAAGCCTATTGTTCTTTCCGACGAGGAGGAGGACACAGTCGAAATGACACCCAGACCAAAAGCTACTGTCCACATGTCACCAACAGTCCCAAACACCCAATCTCCAACTGCACCTAGATCAGTCCTCCGTTCAGCAAAGAAGAACTTTATCCCTGGCTTGCCGGTGCAGGGGCCGGCTGGTCTCGGCCTCACGCAGATTTTCGCTGGTACCATGGACGACAGCCAAATGAATTCTGCCAACGGTCCAACCCAATCGTTGATGCCCGATTTTGATCATTTTCCCGACTCCAACTTCTCTGCGACCATGGACGAGCCCATGGAGGACATGATCATAGACAGCCAAAAGAATACTCAAGACATCGCCCTCGACCTTTCTCAGTCTCAGATGCGCGGCCTGGACAGCTTGCTTCGGGAAGAGAGCACTCAAATTTCCGAAATGATTGATTTCACTCAGGATGGTGGGCTCCAAGACCAAACACCCTTAAAGAACAGATTCGTCGAGGCACCAGTTTCGACTACGGAGACTATGTTGGTCGATCACGACGACCCGACCCAAGCTTCACCACTCGTCCGCCGTGGCCGCCTTCGTCGCAGAATAGAGGCATCTCAACGCATTCAGGAAACACCAGAGCCGGCATCTGCAGAGAAGACTGATAACGTCTTTGAAGCGTTGAAGGAGGGTGCCAAGAACGAACATAAGAAACGTCTCCAAACCGAGTTTGACCACAAGAACAGCAAGGCAAAAGAGATGGTTCAGGAACAAGCTGAGGAATCCGAAGATGAATATGCTGGGCTGGGTGGTGCAGATGGCGAGGACAGTGACAATGAGTCTGCCGCTTCACTCAAAGACATCATAGACGACACTGCTAATAACGATATTGACGGAGCCAAACTCGCTGCTTTATATGCGTAGGTACTACATCAGAATCATTTACAACAAGACTGACATTCCATAGCGCTCGAGAACAGGCAGAAGATGAGAAGCAGGTCGAGAAGCTTTTCAAGGACATCACGACTGGCATGCTTCGCCGTAAACGAGGTGCAGGCTACGACCTTGACGATTCAGACGATGATGGCGAGGCTCGTCGTCGAATGAAGCGTCGACAGTTTGCTAAAATGCAGAAGGCTCTATTTTCCGACGAACGTGTCAAGAAGATAGCTGAGAACCCCGGTAATCAGGCCTTCTTACGAACGATCGAGGATCGTGGCAGTGATGATGAAATGGACTTTTTGGATGCACCGGAGGAGATTGTTGAATCCTCACAGTCCCAGTCTCAGGATGAAAGCAGCGAGGCTCAGACTGTTCCTGACAGCCAACCTCAGAAGGTTCTCGGCCCTGCGGATAACAGGGTCCCTGGCTATCTGCGTAGGACCAAGGATGGCAAGAAGCCCTCTAACATTGGTGAAGTTCGCGAGACTTTGTCCGATCTGCTGGAAGAACCCCATGGTTCAGTTATCCCTGCAACTGAAGTCGGGTCAGACAGCGAAGACGAAGAAAATACTACCACAGAAACTCGCAGCGATAAGGAGAATGATATTTCTAACCCCCGCCGTGGCCGTGTCGCGGTCGTTGATCGCATCAGTCTCAAACGCAGTGGTTCTTTGAACGTTAGCACTGGCCGCCTTGCCTTTGCAACAGCATCAAACTCCTCATTCAAAGTCCCCGCTCTGCTTCGCCGTGCCACTACAAATTCATTTGTATCTGGTACAGCCTCTACCACAAGCTCTGGTTCACCAGCACCAGCGAGCGGATTTGGTGAGGAGGCCAAGATCAAGAAGGGAGCCACCAAGAAGAGCGGTGTACATGCTTTTGCTCGTGACAGCGAGAGACGAGCAAAGCTGGAGCAGAATGAGCGAAAGAGAGAAGAAAGAAAGATTAAAGGGGCAGAGAGGAGAGTCGGAGTCGTGGGTGGCTTATTGGGTAAGGGTTCATTTGAATAAGCTGGCGTAGAACGGAATTCGTTCTTTTATTCGGTTCATGTATGTTAGGGTTGAAACATTAACATGGGATGGCGCGGAGTTGGGATGGACAAGACATGATATCATAGCGATACTATACCTAAGGTGTTAAATATAGCAATTCATTTGTTAAGCCTGTGCATCGCTGGTCTAACATCCACATTTGGTTGTCTTATTCATGGTTATCTCAACAAAACATCGCCTCCGGAGGTAGTTTAGTGATTGTAATGTGGTCACATACTGACTCAAGCTTATGTATGACTATCAGGCTCCTGGGTCCCTGCTTCTACAGCGACCATTTTCTGCAAAGGGAGAAAGAAGACCACCATTATCTATGTCCATAACACAAGACACAAGCGACTGAAGCTGCCAAAATGGTGGTTCTGCCCAGGATCGAACTGGGGCCGTCTCGGTGAACGAGATGTCATACCTAACTCCCACAGAAGCGCCACCTCCACTACCCAATTATAGAGGAAGCCTTCGGTGTTTAGACATACCTAATTCTGTTTGCCTGGATTACCAACTCACGTTTTACATAGTGATTACTGCAACTCTACCTACTACTACTATCGTCGTCCCTGAACCATCTTCGAACTGGTGCAAATGAGCCGCCTATGCCTCGGTCTATTTACAAGTTGATAGGTTCCGTGGTCTAGTTGGTTATGGCATCTCGTTAACACCGAGAAGGTCCCCGGTTCGATCCCGGGCGGAACCACCATTTTTGCAGCTTCAGTCATCTGTTGTTCGTTGGAGTCACCCTAGCCCTCGTTAGGCCTCATTCAGTAGTTGATCTGGTAGAACCACCAAGTTTTATGACGCCTGTATTAGCCTTGACATTACGATTATAAATACCATCTCAGGCTAGGAATGGGACATGAAGTAAATGAGTCTTTTGAAGAAGATGCGTGCGGTTCTGTTTGTGAGTGTAGCATCGATGAAGAATCCAGCTTGTGCCTCAGTTCCACATCTATCATGAACTTGACGAATCAACAGAGGGAACAATACACAGCGTTTCTGCGTGTCATCGCATTGAGATTCGTACCTTCGCGAGAAGGAAGTATAGGCATAGATCTCTTTGCTCATTGCCTTTCTTCTTAGACTCAATATGCACAGATATTAGATGTTCTGCAATGCAGAATTTCAACGTATTTGGAAGACAAAGAGGAAGCAACTGGCTATCAGCATAATTGTACAGTTGAAATGCAATTGTATTATTACTTGATATGAATGCATTGCATCATAAACCTTCTGTGACTGACTTCTATTTGCTCTGGGTGTCGCGCCAGCAAGGTGTATATACTCTATATCGATACATCTTCTAATTCGTTGTCATCTTTCACTTTTGTAACGCCGCACCTGAAAACTCTAAGCTGCCTAGACCCAACATTCTCTTGGTAAATAGCCAAAGTTCAAAGGCCTCTAACTTGATCTCCACGCGCATGAAACCAACCCATGCAGCAAACACTCGCACAGCATTCAACGGCCAGAGGAATGATCCGTTTTGACCGATCTCTTCAAGCTTCTCGTGGAATACGGTCTTGGTGCAATATCGTGCGAGGATCATGAACGAACGGATGGGACCCTGCCGTGTCTGGAGGTTCTCGTCCAGGCTTCGGGTTAGATCATTTGTCTTGAGAATTAGAAGGATGATACGAGGCACGCGGCTGAGAAGCTGCACGAGGTCGACAATGAGACCCTCCTGCAGAGCCCCGCTCATTGTCTTTTGCTCATCCGCTGTCCGAGTCTCGAGGATAGATCCAGACTTGCTAACAATGCTGTAGTCTCGACCAGTAATTGCTGAAGCAAAGAGCGGGAAGTCCTTGTCCTCTATACCGGCAACCTCATGTGCATATTTCTTCATTCGATCCATATCGCCATCAATAACCGCAAGCCACATCTTGGCGTATGACCTTCGCAAAGGAAGCTCAATGTCGCGGTAGAGACCATGATCATATAAAATCACATCAAAGTTAGGACCTCGTCCAAGGCCCCGGCGGGCGTTGTTCTTGCGGATTGCAATATTGCCACCGTGAGGATCACAGTGCAGGGGTGCACCATCACCAAAGATCATTTCGTTGAAGATACGCGCTAACGTGGCAGATACTTCATCTCGGTCAATACCGTTCTTATCCAAATAGTCCAGATCGTCGAGTCTACTTCCCGCTTCGCACGCCATAACAATGATTCGCTTCTTAGCCCAGATGACCTCGGGGATAATCAGGGGTAGCTGTGGAATCTTAGCAAAGTGCTCCTTCATACGTCGGGCATTGTTAGCCTCTTCTTGGAAGTCAAGTTCTTTAGGAAGAGAAACATCCATCTCAGAAGAGAGCCACTCAAGATCATATTCGGGGAAAAATCGTTTCAGAGTCGAAAACGTGTACCGGGTAAGCGCTAGATCCAGGGGTGCCCATGCTTCGAGCTCAGGATGTTGAACCTTGACCGCAACCTTCTGATTTGACCCCTTGATGGATGCCAGATGTACCTGAGCAAGAGAGGCAGCACCAATTGGTTCGGGGGCGAAATCGGAGAAATAGTCCCAAAGCTCTTCTCCTGTATCCTTGCGAAACATATCCTCGATCGACTCAAGTGAAGATACAGGGCACTTGTCCTGCAGGGGGATGAAAGTGTTTGTCCATTCGGATGGTAAAAGGTAATTCATGGCGCTCTGGCGGAGTAATTAGTCCGATCGCTCGAGCTCCGAAGTTGATGGAGTTCATACCAGATGCTGGCCGAGTTTGATAAAGATACCGCCATTCTTTTCCAACACCACGAGGGTCCGTTCGGCGCATCGTTTGTGACATGCCTTTAGCATGCTCTCCTGTTCATCATGGTCCGCTATCGTTTCTCTGGCGTTTAATGTTGTTCGGTAACTACTCAGCGTATTAGTTTCGTACCGCTTATCCCCAATGGTGAGTAACCACATACTCGTTGATACACACGGCGAGCGCAACCGCAACTCTGCCTGTACGCTCCGCCGCCTCATAACTACTCTTGATGTCGTCGGTGAATGCAAGCGCGGTCGCGCCTACAGTACCAACACCAGCCGAGGCATATAACAGCGGTCGTTTAGGGCCGGACTTGTGACCATTGCTTTTCCTCGAGCCTCTCCGCGATGCGAAACCTCTTGCGCTGAAATCTCGAAAGGGCTTACTTCGGACCAACTGACTTCTACAAGTCGAACAGGTCCATGATCGAGTGGCGATGCGATTCGCAAAGGCCGAAACAGATAAGGCGTTCATCTGACTGCCGATGGACTTTTAAGAAGGAAAAATAGTATGTAGTAAAATAGAATTGTTCATTCTTAAGGAAGAAAAGCTAGCAGGAAAGCAATAGAAACAGGTTGACACCACAGAAGCCAGGCTTAGGCTTAGATCATGTCGTCAACCAAAATCAAGTCGACAGTTTTTTTGCTTGGGTGTGCCGATTCCGACAAACCTCCGTCCATCGCTCGGCTTGAGCCGGGTGCGATCTTCGGGGGCGAAGGCGAATTACCTACTAGCCCGGCAGTATTTTCAAGAGGGGCACTACGTCATGTGACTGCGCGACCGCGACTGCAACGCGTTCAAGGTCACCTCTTTACACGACCACGCATCTCGAAAGTACAACACGAAACCGATGTAATTCTTAAGCTCCCTCCAACATTTACATCGTATGGGTCATTTACAATCTCATACAGCATAATCGCCACAACTGCACAGTCAGAAATATGATGTCTTTTTCTCCCGCACCCATTTTCTCCGGGTCTTGGGACCATCGCCCTGCTGTCTCATCGCCGCTCTCTTCCTCACCTGTGCGCGCATCATCGCCACTCTCACCAATTGACAGAAACGTGTGTCCGCAGCGTCAAATTCAATCTTCTCCTATCAAGCCCCCAAAGTTCAAATTTGCTTCGCGTCCCACTCGGCCAAACCCAGTGAACAAGAAGCGGGATGAGCTACAAGAAGGAAGACGGAAGGTCTTCCTCCAGAATGTGCGACAGAGCCGTGAAGACAAGGCCTGGCAACGTAGAGATATAGAGGGACAGGTAAGGAGAGATCACTTGATGTATTATGAATGTTGCTAATGTAATCGCAGTTTCTGAAGACAAATTATCTTGCCGACCGAGGACAGCTGTCTCATGATGCTCCTGACACTACTGAGGCGGATATCGAGGACGCCATGACTTTCTACCAAGAGCAACCTCCGATTCCGGAACAAGACGAGGATGAAACGATGATGGATGAAGAAGAGCAGCTCGAAGCGATGCTTGCATCCTATGAGGAACAGCAGATGGCTTCTTCACAACGGCCACCCTCGCCTCCGCTATCAGACGAAGACTATGATGATGTCTTTGCCGAGCTCATAGCGCAAGAACAGTTCAAACAGAATAAACCGCCCCGACCCCAAGACCAGATGGATACTTCTGGAGACATTGAGATGCAATAATGTTCTTTCTTTGTTCTTTCCTTTTACTATTTCTTTTTTCCTATTCAGTACTTTACGCGTTTGCTCGCTTGGCGTTGGGGTTGATCGGATCACCCAGGAAGGGACACGGCGTTCAGGAAGTGCCAGTGGATATCGTCAGATGTGCACACCTATTATTTTGAGAAAGGGTATATAGATGGCTTGGGAGCAATACCCAAGTTCCTTATCTACTGAGGGTTGCAGGCTTCATCTCCTGGATTGAGGGCATCTTGTGCCGACTGCATGTCCCCAACTAGATCGGAAGGGGGTGATCCTGCTGCTTGCATCTAGACAACTTGTCAGTGATATAAATCTCACCAGTGAGAATAACACGCAGATGAACCAAACCTTTTGCATCTTATCCACAATGAACTCACGGTCCGTCGCATTGGAATCCGAGTACGTCTTCTCTTCGAACTTGGCCACTATCTCTCGTACAATGGACTGTTGCTCCTCGTATCGCTTCAAGTCCTCCTTCGGTGTCGAGTCACGATTCTTGATAAGCCATTCAGGGAATTTCTCATCGAGTTCCTTCATGGGCTCATACAGAATTTCCTTGTTAGTGAGCTGCTCCATCATGCCCATAAGCATTTTGGAGAATTCTTCCTCACTGCCGTCGCCTCCCAGATCACCAAGGTCACCCGAAGACAACTGCTTGAGCATCTCAGACATGAAATCATCAGCGGATCCCGAGGCAGCAGCAGCGGTAGCTTGGTCTCCCGAAGCTTGCATGCGCTCCATAGTTCGCTTGATAGTATCTTGGAACGATGCATCCTCAGGTGGTGCTTGAGAAGAAGGCCCTTTGGAAGTGCTTGGAGGTGGCGCATCACCAGCACCTTCTGCCGCGGCGATGTGCTTGAAGATATCTTCAAACTGTGCTTGCATGTCAGGCTGTAGTTGTATCAGCAATCATATTTTCGTTGGTCTTTCTAGATGAAATAAAACGCACAGACTGTTCAAGTTCGCCTAGTAGATCGGCCATACCAGCCTGGAGCTGCTTAGCAAATTCATCTTCTGAGAACGCATCCTCCACTTCAGGTTGTTTGCCGGAAGCAGAGCCCTTGGGTGCTTCTGGTTTACTGGAGCCAGCAGCAGCTCCAGGAGGCTTGGTTTGATCTAGCTTGACGGTAGAGAACTCTTCCAGCATATCTAAGAACAGTCAGCCGGGTTTCCTCACAGCTCTATGCCTTTTCACGGACCATCTAAATCATCCAAGTCGTCCTCGTCCGGGTCTGGAACCTCGTCCATTTCGTCAACAGCTATTGCGGCCTTTGGTACTGGGGTTGGTAAAGCGTCAGTCTTCTCTGCTACAGCTTCTGTCGTGGCGACTGCTTCTTGGGGGACGGGCTGTTGCGCGGCAGCTTTGGATGATGAGTCTTGAGGAACAGCATCATCAGGAGCAGCATCTCCGGCAGAAGCCTCGTGTGAGGCAGCATTTTGAGGCTTTGAATCTAGAGGAGGAGTCGCTAGGGAAAGACTAGAGGCCGGAGTATGAGCGGTTGGAGCATCAGGCATGAGAGTGTGAGATGAGGCAGCAGCATCAACCTCGGCCTCGGCCTTGAGGTCTGTGGTATCCTCAATATCATCCTTCTTGTCCTCTTTCACCTCATCTTTCACACCCTCTTTAACAGCCTCTTTGAGCCCCTCCGTGGCCTCCTCCTTCAAGGCGACTTCCGTGTCTTTGTCCACGCCCATGATGATATCTGCGTTGTCTTTCCCAGCACTCGAACGCCCCCACTTTTGCCAAAGGAAGCGGATGAAGTGAGATTGATGATGGAAGTCAGCCAAGTTCAGAAAATGCCTTATGAGAAAGGCCAACGATGGCGGAAGGTTAATAGAGTGAAGTTTTGTGTTGTAGGGACCAAGTCGTAAGTAATTTTATACCTTGGTACGTGGGCAATCTGGGGGATCGATGCCCGCCCGCTTCCAGCTTAACTAAATCACTGAGCCGAGGTGACCTATGATGCGGCGCTAGCAGGTTCGCACCTCAAGCGGGCTGCCTTCCATTTGATTAACAAGTGCCCCTCACTAAGGTACCTAGTGAGTACCTAAAGGATTCAGAAGGTCAACAAGCCGCAACAGCGCAATCAACCCCTGGACCTGAAGGCGTGAGGCCCTGGGCATTTAGGTGACCACCTAGCGGGGTTTGCCGGAAAGGCATCCATGCCCCGACTGGCATCTTTTCGACCAAAGACAACAGGTTCTGGCCTGTGCATTGAATCATCAACAAGACGTCGTTTCGTGAATTGTACCTCGGGCACGGTCGCGCAAACAATAGGTCCCGGCTTCGAGCTGACTTTCGATTTGTTTCTTTTCGTTGTCAGATATTTCCCCTCTGAAGCATTTTCCTCACCCAACAACGGAAAGCTTGGCCGTCAGAGCTGTGCAAGCTCCTATCCAGTGACTCTTTATCCTGCCGCAACTCGCGTCGCACCTCAGTTTTCCGATCTCTCACGCGATTCTCGACAATATTTTCTTCTCATATTCTTCGCCTGCAAATCTTACCGCCCTCGTCCCACCTCTGATCGACATCGCTGAACGACGGAATCATGGCGCTTTGCCAGAACCGATTACAAGAGGAGAGGTGAGATTTGTACTGCATAGTCCCCGGACTTGACTGAAATCTCAATAGGAAGCAGTGGCGACGAGACCATCCTTTCGGGTTCTATGCCAAGCCACAGCGTACCAAAGAGGGTGTACTCGATGTCAAAAATTGGGAATGCGGAATCCCTGGCAAAGAGAACACAATTTGGGCTGGTGGACTCTTCAAGCTGACCATTGCTTTCCCTGATGGTAAGTGCCAACACCACACGATATTGATTGGACCGCGCTAACATTTGTTCAACACAGAGTACCCTACAAAGCCCCCCAAGTGTAAAGACCTTTCAACCACAATGTGTGAAGGCCGCCTTGCTAATATAAACGTAGGCAAATTTGTTCCCCCGCTGTTCCACCCCAATGTGTACCCTTCAGGAACTGTCTGCCTGTCCATCCTCAACGAAGAGGAGGCCTGGAAGCCTGCGATCACCGTCAAACAAATCCTTCTTGGTATCCAGGACCTTCTCAACGATCCTAACCCCGAGTCACCTGCCCAAGCGGAGGCATACAACCTCTTCAAGAGAGATCGTGCCGAGTACGAGAAGCGAGTTCGCCGTACGGTTCGCGAGAACCCCACACCTTGATGAAACGTTCGGAGGCGTTAGGAGAGAAGAGACCTTTTAGACCAAATTTTTCTTTGTAAGGCACCTCAGGCTACGGCGTTTATAGGGAAATACCAAGGCGGAACGTTACTCAGAGTCTATGAAGTGGACTCCACGCATTACGGAGGCATGCTATATATCACAGTATGACAAGAAGAGCTTGACAATACAGCAGGAGATAGGTGCTAGCGTAACGTCATCAGAATCCTTTTTATACCGGGGAATGAGCAGGCAGTTCACTGCGATAGTGCGCTTTTTTGAAATTCGTGAAAGTCTTCTTTTCGTAAAGAAACCATTTATCTCGGGACTGTCGAAGAGCCGCCACTCTTATCGATTCGTATTTCTTGGGTCCTCATCGGCGAGTGAATCACTTGCGGCTGCGTTGTCGGGATATGCCCCACGCACTCGGTTACGTCGCAAACAAGAGCGGATGTCTTGCGCGTGAAACCTGTCGTGGGAAAGGTTTGATGGGGAGTTGATATGAGAAGACCAGAGCGATATGTGTGACGGGGCTGCCTTTATATGTACGTTTTGGAGAACAGTTTCTTTTATAGAGTATCTCATATGTTCTGATAAATATACGTCGATCTTCATTCTCAATGACATATTCATAGTTTTTATTAAATTCATCAGAGCCTGTCAACTCTGGTCTTGTGACGTGACAATCAAGAACCGCATGTCCGCTGTATTCCCCTTATCAAGTCCGTAAGTCAAAGTTTATTCAGATTATGTAAACTGGGCCAGGAACGCACAAGCTCAAGGGCTGGACTACTTCCTGCTGCCAATTAAGTCTGCCGAATTACAAGCCGAAATCGGCCAGGAGATTTACTCACCTCAAAAATATTTTGGCTTGGCCTGACATGATTGCGCCGGAGAACGGCAAAGCCGTTATCTATCAGGGACAGATTCTTCCGTCCACTTACAAGCGAGGAAGATGGAGACTCGATTTCGGTTGAAGTAAACGAGTCAAGTTGTGTAGATCCTCACAGCACAAATGAACTGGCCCGGCATCTTCACTCATGCTGGCAGGCTGGTCACTATGGTAGTGGGGAGATGCTCATCCGCGTCCGCAGCGGAGTATTTGGTGGATAACCTTAACAAGTTAAAGACTTCCACATGATTGTATCGGCCACGGCCGTTAACCGCTAATAACCTTGCGGCTTTGAAGTACTGGTACTATCTATTCTTGTACCCATGGAGGGTAGGTATCTTAGTACTTGTCGCCTGTTCTGTGCCGGCGGAAGGAGTGTGGAGTTTGCTATGACTCCTCTTTTTTCTCTCGCCCGAACTACTGCTAAATATTAATCTTGCCTCGCCCTTTCTCTTCCTCTTACCATTCTTCTTCAAGCACTCCCCTTCGTGATACACACATAACGTGCGCATTTCCCAGCAACCGCTAACATGTGTGGCATCTTCGCCTGTCATCGGTACGCTCCCTCCCTTGCGAAAATGAACATGGATCTGTTTTGGTGGTTTGGAGGGGCATGAGGACCCCGCCATCAATTGGGATTGGAATTGAAATCACCCCGCGGTCGGAGGAGGAAACGAAGAATCATGGCATGACTAACATTTTGCGTCCCTGTAGTCATCCTGACGTGGAAAAGTTCAAGCCCACGGCCCTGAAGCTCGCAAAGCAGTATGTATCACACTGGTCGACTAAGGCACAACCCTCCGAATTAACCTGAATTATGCAGAATCCGTCACCGTGGCCCCGACTGGAGTAAGTGAAAACAACACCAATGCTGCAGCCCTCACACGGTCGCAAGTACTAAAGTAGAATGTTCAGGTGGAAGCGTGATTGCCAACCACACTAGTAAGCCCAATTGACTATCAAAGCACAAAAGCTTTTGGTTCTGACTCTTGTTTAGTTCTCTGCCATGAGCGTCTCAGCATTGTCGGTGTTGGTAAGTCGAAAGTCTTGCGCCTAGATGCATCCTTTAGCTAACGATTATTCCTCCAGAGTCTGGAGCCCAGCCCCTGACCAACGCCGACGACAGCATCATCCTTGCTGTCAACGGTGAGATCTACAACCATCGTCACATTCGAAAGAACCTCAAGGAGCAATACCACTTCAAGACCACATCTGATTGCGAAGTTATCATTCCCCTGGTAAGAGGACTAATTGATGGATGGCTTAAGGAAGAATAGTAAGCTCACAACAGATTTCCTGCAGTACACCGAGTTTGATACCGATTGCCCCAACCACCTCGATGGCATGTTCTCTTTTGTCCTCTACGACAAGAAGCAAGATCGCACAATTGCGGCCCGCGACCCTATTGGTATCACCACCTTCTACCAAGGCTGGTCCTCCAAGGAACCCGGAACCGTTTACTTCGCCTCCGAGCTGAAGTGCTTGCATAGCGTTTGTGACAAGATCGTTGCTTTCCCCCCCGGTCACGTTTACGACTCCAAGACTGGCGAGACGACTCGCTACTTCAAGCCTTCTTGGTGGGACCCTAAGAAGGTTCCCAGCAACCCCGTTGATTACAAGGTTCTCCGACATGCTCTTGAGAAAGCTGTCCGAAAGCGACTCATGGCTGAAGTCCCCTTCGGAGTTCTCCTTTCTGGTGGCCTTGACTCGAGTCTGACAGCATCCATCGCTCAGCGTGAGGTGACCAGACTTCGAAAACAGGCTCTTGAGGCTAACGGCAACGTTCTCCCTGTTGAAAACCCTGACACTGGTGAGGGTCTCGTCGGCGTTGACGATGATGATCACCTCGATACTCTGACATACCTCCCTCAGCTCAACTCCTTCTCCATCGGACTGCCTGGTTCTCCGGACAACAAGGCCGCACTTGAGGTCGCCAAGTTCCTTGGTACCAAGCACCACGTCATGACCTTCACCATCGAGGATGGCCTCAACGCTCTTTCAGATGTTATCTTTCACCTTGAGACCTACGATGTCACTACTATCCGAGCCTCCACCCCCATGTATCTCTTGTCACGAAAGATCAAGGCCATGGGTATCAAGATGGTTCTGAGTGGAGAGGGAAGTGACGAGATCTTCGGTGGCTACCTGTATTTCCACGCTGCCCCTGACAAGGAGGCTTTCCACGAGGAGACAGTTCGCCGTGTCAAGAACCTGCACTTGGCTGATTGCCTGCGAGCTAACAAGTCCACCTCTGCTTGGGGCCTTGAAGCTCGTGTTCCCTTCCTCGATAAGGAGGTAAGTTCAGCTCTATTGCAGTAGTTGTTCCCCAGAAACTAAGAGTGATAACAGTTCCTTGAAACATCGATGAACATCGATCCTCAAGAGAAGATGATCACCAAGGACAGGCTTGAGAAGTACATCATTCGCAAGGCTTTCGACACCTCGGACGAGCCTGACGAACAGCCCTATCTCCCCGATAACATCCTCTGGCGACAGAAGGAACAGTTCTCCGATGGTGTCGGCTACGGTTGGATCGACGCACTCAAGGACAACGCCGAGAAGCAGGTGACAGACGAGATGATGAAGAACCCCAAGCCTGAGTGGGGTAACGATATTCCAGATACCAAGGAGGCGTACGTTGAGACCGGTTTCGTGCAGTTGAATGAGACTAACAATGAATAGTTACTGGTATCGATGCATGTTTGATGAGCACTTCCCCCCTCACTGCGCGTCGACCGTCATGCGCTGGACCCCCACTTGGTCCAAGCAGACTGACCCCAGTGGCCGGTACGTAATTTCTCTATCCCCAGAGCTGGATGGTCGGTGGTCCAAAAGGAAACACGCTTGCTAATGTCTTGTTGCAGAGCCATTTCCACTCACAACGCCAAATATGATAACGCGGCTTAATGATATAGCGAATCGAGCAAACATCAAGCACAGCAAGCTTACTTGCCTCATTGTAACTTACACTACCCTATCAGAGGTGTCTGGCCCAAACGAATATGAAGTGTATGTCTGGGTGTCGTTCTCCTGGAAGAAGAGAAAAGGCGTCTTGGATCTTGCTTACCAACCAACCGTGGAATGATGATGGGAAAAGGTACGGAAAGATAGGGACTTGGGAAAGAAAAATAAAGACAAAAGTTCTAGAAACAAAGGATCGCATCATTTGCGTAGTCGAAGCGTCGGTGAATGGTCGGTGAATGGTCGGTTTCACAGCAGTTTGAAATTGGCAGTAGGTGTAATGTGTCGTCCTGAGTTGTGTATGCATGAAGGGTCTTGACGTGAAATGCCTGGAAAGAGGATGTGGCCGACGGACCAATAGGCGAGAATGAAGCCGGACATGGACGCGTCGACTTCGGCCTTCAATCTACGGCTTCTAGGAGAAGTGTTTATCAGAAAACTTCTTTGGTATAGGTAGTACTTCACCCTACTTGCCTACTTACCAAACTAATGGGTCTGAGGTGCTGTTTCAACTACTAGTAGTGGTCAGTCAGTGATGGAGTCACATGAGTTGTTAGTTGTTAGTCTCTGAGCTGTTCATGCGTTGACAACATGCAAACTGAATAAGGGATATGGATGGACATTATGATGAAGGACTCGTTGGGCAGCGAGATGATTGCATGGACTTGATGCCCCAAGACCCTACAAGGCGGCACCTGTACGAAGCCTGAAGTCGAGAGGATCTGGCAATACCAACCTAGGGAATTTGAGGTTGCGATCACGGATGGTCTGTCTCCTCGGGAAATGGATGTGGCCTATCATCCAATTGACTTCTTTCCCTCCTCTTTGACCAACGCTTCTCGTTGCCATCGTTCATTACCCCTCCACGTGGGCCCTGGCTCTGGGGGATATTGCTTAAATTAATTACATGATCTCCAGCTAAAAGCTGCCTTTTATCACCCGGCCAAGTGACAATGTGACACAGTCCCGACATCAGCCGACTTGGGCTACCCCTGTGCAAATTCCTTGCGAGGCGCCGCACAGGGCGTCTTCAGAGCCTAGCACACAAGAGCTTCCCTAGCTGTGCACTGAGCCTGAGCTGGTTCCAGCGGGGTTCCCCAACAAGAAAACCCTGTGCAGGAGATCAGCCCTGTGTGAGTCTTCGATCCCAAGTATTTTCTGCTAGGCTCCATCATCTCCCACTCTCCTACCCCGTTCGTTTCTCTCACATCTCTGTCGAATTTCCAACTTCATTTTCATCACAACTTTCCTTTGAGACTTATATCTTCCGATACCATCCACCGCAACTATGTCTGTCCCCGCCTTCTCCGACATTGCCAAGCCGGCCAACGATGTATGCTTCTATCTCCCCTCCGTCGTCTCGACACCTCTTATTTCTCTGTTTTGATTTCTTGGGTTGTGACAATACCGAGACTTGAGCAGTTCATTTCTCGCTCTTTCGGAACTTATACCATGGAGTGAATTGGAGCATCAGCCTCAAGATCCCCTATTGCATTGATGTGCTCCGCACAATCAATTGCTACTACAGATTCTTGATGTCCACGAGCTCTGCTAACTCTTGCGCCGTTCATAGCTCCTCAACAAGGATTTCTACCATCTCTCTGCCACGACCTTCGAGTTCAAGGACACCGCCCCCAACGGTGTTGCTTTCAAGGTTACCGGCAAGTCGAGCCACGAGAAGGCTACCTCTGCTGCTGTAAGTATTCCCGTTTCCGCAAACTCAATGGCAGGCCGTTGTTCTTCGGGGGTTCGGAAGCTAGTGTTCGGTCAACCGCGGCTTTTGGTGCTGTTGACCAACTCGATTCACTACATCTTCATCACAAACGAGCTCTTATCGAAACTAGAAAACGGCCTTGCTTTTTGGGACGTTCTTTCTTCTACCTTCAGGTTACTGACTTTAGTCTTAAGATTGAGGGAAAATATACCGACAAGCCTACCGGTACGACATCACCATCTTTTCCTTCAACACCTTCTTCGCTTTCACCATCACCATCTCCGTCTCCACCACCCATACCTAAACCCCACCGCAAACAGAATCTCCCCTCTCTCAGCGTCTCGCGAATCCTCGGGCCTAAATCAGGCTGGCCGGTCGGATTTGCGACGTTTCTTCAACCTGGCTATGCTCAGCTGCTAATGTTCTATTCCCGTACAGGCCTGACCCTTACCCAGACCTGGAACACCGCCAATGCTCTCGACACCAAGATCGAGGTCGCCGACTCCCTCGCCAAGGGCCTCAAGCTTGAGGGTCTCTTCAACTTCCTCCCTGCTACCGCCGCTAAGGGAGCCAAGTTCAACCTCCACTTTAAGCAACCCGGTTTCCACGGCCGTGCCTTCTTCGATCTCCTGAAGGGCCCTGTTGCCAATGTCGACGCCGTTGTCGGCCACGAGGGTTTCCTGGCTGGTGCCTCCGCTGGCTATGATGCTAACAAGGCTGCTCTGACCGCCTACAGCGCTGCTGTTGGCTACGCTGCTCCCCAGTACAGCGCTGCCATCACCGCCTCTGACAACCTCAGCGTCTTCGCTGCCTCTTACTACCACAAGGTCAACTCACAGGTCGAGGCTGGTGCCAAGGCTACCTGGAACTCTAAGACCGGCAACGCTGTCGGCCTTGAGGTTGCCAGCAAGTACCGCATCGACCCTGTCTCTTTCACCAAGGTTCGTACAATCAAATTCGGGATGCTGTGGAAATGCGTGACTGACTCGTGCTCCAAAATATAGGTCAAGATTAACGACCGTGGTATTGCTGCCCTTGCCTACAACGTCCTCCTCCGAGAGGGCGTCACCCTGGGTCTTGGTGGCTCTTTCGACACCCAGAAGCTCGACCAGGCTACCCACAAGCTCGGTGCTAGCTTCACCTTCGAGGGCTAAATTTCTCTCAGAAGTATTGAATCTCCCAATAGCAGAAAGCCCTCGTTAAAATAACCGCTCCAGAGCTGTTCTCCCCTCAGCAGCTCCTTGTACCTTCCAGGCTTGCATCGCGGTGGTCTCCGGGGATGTAGATTATGTCAAATAAAAAATCTCGAGGATGATATCATGGCAAGCTGTTTCTCGTACTGCCGAGGAATAGATTCCATCTATGAAATGTTTTGAAGTAATGGTACCGTTTAAAACCTAGGGATGACGAACGCAAAGCCTCATGATGACACTTATTCTCCGGGAGACACACCCGATCTTCCTGCCTGTAGTGCATGCCTGCTTAACTCTTGTTCTTTTTTCGCTGCCCAATGCTCATGAACTGAATATATACGAGAGGCGCCAATATCGCAGTGGCGAGAATGCCCGATATTATGATAAAATGGCCTGTGATGGTTGCCTGAGGCTCAAAGCCAATGTCATCGTCGCCCATCGCGCGCCTTTGCCTCCTATCTTTGCGCCGTTGGTCCTCTCTCCGATGTGTTCGCGTATGTCCCGCCTTGTCGAAGTGAGGAACATCATTCTGATGTCCAAAAGGGTCATCACCAGGTCCCATTCCTCCATAGGAAGACTCATGACTAAAAGGATCACCCCATGGGCTCTTCTGACGACTATGCGATCCGTCTTGTTCATGTGGTGATGTGCTTCCACCACCTGTACTCTCTTCATGGGCCTTGCGACGCTTATCTGCCTGCTCTCCCCAGCCTCCGCTGCGGTAAAAGCTAGGCGGCGGACCGCGAAAGGTGCCTCTCCTGCGACTTAAACCTGATGGTGCGCGACCGCCAGGCTGATGAGAGTGGTAAGAGCCGCGATGGGAGTGAGTTTGTGGTGGGTGGTGGTGCAAACGAAGGATATCGCGATCGTAGGCTGCTCGGCGAGTCTTGTCAGACAGAACAGTATATGATTCGGAAATCAGGGAGAACGTCGAAGATGCGGTTGGATCAGATGGATTTGCATCGGGATGGTGGGTTTTCGAAAGAGAATAGAAAGACCTGAACTGTTAGCTTTCCGCGCTCCGCAAGCATCGCAGGTAGTGGCAATACTTTTTTATTTCAGCGGGTGTTGCATCGTGCCTTATATTAAGCCTCTCATAGTGATTCTTATGTGCGACCTCATCATGCCGCCCCCTTCGCTGCTGAGCTCGCAGCCCAATTGCGGCGATGCTTGATGTCCGACACCGGAGCAGTTTGTTGCTACATGTTGAAAGAATTGGCGCGGGGCGTAGGCTACAGAGGGAAGAGGGACGCAGCGGCATGCCGCATTACGGCCGAGGAAAGAGACTAACTAGGTAGAGAGGGTAGAGGAGAGATTAGAGGAGCTCCGTTAGAAATGTTGCAGAAGATTCGTGTAAGTGAGAGGGAGGCGTAGGTTCTTATTTTCGATGATGTAATCTCTGGAGGTAAATAGCATGCGTCAGGCGGGGTGATGCGCGTAGCGGGATGATTGATAGCTACCCAAGGTACCTTAGGTGCTGTTGAATGTGTTCATGGTTCAATGACATCAATTTGCTGCAGGATAGAGTGTTTCTGAATCGTCATTGACTTTATATAGATCATTTCAGTAGCTCATATTCAACTTTGATCCGGTGGGAAACCCCTACGCACACTGTTCTCTCAATATCCCAAGGCAACTCGGTATAGACTTGACGTAGACTTGCTTGAGAAACGTAGGAAGTAATGTTGGAGGATGAAAAGGTCATTACTACAAGTATTTCGTATACCAAGAAAAACAAAACCATTCACTTGTTACACTAGCCCATTAAAACACCATTAGCCCATAGCTGTACCAGGTGAAAGCCTATAGATTAATGGCCAAATTTCCACCACGTTGTCTTTTTCTTGGGAGCCTCAACCTCCTCACCCTTGGGGCGCTTCAGGGGATGAGCCTCAGTGTTGAGCACCCACTCATCCAAGTTGATAACGTTGGGATCATCAAAGGTGAGATAGAAGTACTTGATTGTTTCTGACATCCAGAATGTCTAGCGAAAGTCAGTTTTTGCCAATGGTTTGAGAGCGAGCGCGACCTACCTCCATGTTATCACGCTTGTCGCTACCCTTCTTGTTAACGTCACTAATTGTAGCAAAAGCCTCTTGGGTCTCGGTCTGCTTGACGATGCCCTCCCACATACGCCAAGCGGCAGTACGCCAGACATCGTCGCCTGTGATGCGCCACATGTAAAACACACTCTCGATGGCCTCAGGGCGCAGGCGGTATTCTGAGTTTCGAACACGAATGAAACCCTCGGGGAGCTTATCCTTCTTCTCTACAGGCTTGTCACTCCAGCGGCACTTGCTGGTGATGGACTCGCAAGCTTCAAGCTGAGCGATTTCGGGCATGATATTGGTGGGGAAAGCATCGTATGCCCAGACACAGCCGGCGGTGAGACGAGAGCCGAGGTCAACGAAGTCGCTCCGGGAAAGGAGTTTACCAGCCAGAGCATATGTACCACCGACAAAGCATGTCAAATGCTGCATCTCAGCGGTTAGCTCAGGCTTGCTACCCTCTTCGCCTGCCAAAACATTGCCAGACATCAAGATATCCAGGTCCTCGGGGTTACGAGGCTTATATAGAATATGCTTGACAGCAGTATCGAGTGCCTTGGTGGTCATTTCAACATATTCAGAATCCAGGCCACCCAACAAAGCATGCATCTTGGGCAAATATTCGTAAAGCGAATCTGCACCAGCGCCGAGGGTAAAGCGGGCTTCACCAACTTTCTCATCGCGGTAGTTCATAACATGGGGCCACAAGCCAGGAATTTTGGTCTTGTCCTGGTTGCGGTAGAAGAACTGCTTAATGCGCTCAGTGGCATCGTAGTACTTGGGGTTGCCAGTGATCTGGGACAGTCGGGTGAACTCAAGGCACATTGAGCCTCCCGCAGCGCCAGACATAGACTCGTCCGCCTGCTGGGAGCCACTCTTGGCAGCCTTGAAATAGAGCCAGTGGGATGGCAATCGATTGGGGGTATCGAACGCGGCGTACAGCATTTCGCCTAGCTCAATGGCCTTGCCGAGCAGAACAGCTTCGTCAGAAAGCTCGTAGGCGGAGAGGAGGCCACCGAGATGACGTATAGCCACCTCGAACAGATTGAGGTAGTCGTCGCCAGTCCGCGACCAGTCGATCATGGCGACAACCTTGACGGCTTCCTTGAATTCATCCTTCATATCGAGAATCCACAAAGTGTCGAGGGCATCGACGATTTGGGCAGCCCAACCAGAAAATGTCGTCTTTCCACGGAGGGACACGGGCGCGAGCTCATCCCAGCCCCACGCATGCTTCTTGTAAGCTTCCCAGCTCTTGGTAAATGCTTGCTTGATGGCTGCTTTCCTAGCCGTGGTTTCGCTATCTTCTTTATAGTCTTCGGCGCGCTCTTTCTGAATTCGTGGCAGTAGTTTAAACGTGCCGTTCGGTGGGCTCTTGATATCCTCAACCGGGTGGAAGACCTGTTGCTTGCTCCAATCGTAGCTGCTCGGGAGATAGTTATATGTGCCAATTCTCACAGTACGATAGCGCTCGTAGGGGCGAAAGTTATGGACCAGGAACCACGTGATAGCGATGAAGAGAAAGAGGCTAATGTAGCGACGACCTGGTCGTCCTTGAAATGTGGCTAACATGGTTATGATATGTGCATTACGGGGTGAAACGGTTAGATGTCGAAATGATGTAGTTATCTCAACTGGTTAAAGGCAGGTAGATGAAGAATAATTGGATCAAAGGAGCGACGTGAAGGGCGAACTAAGCATGAAGTAGGAAGCGAGTAATGGAAGCACCGCGTAGTGAACGTTGGGGAGGGAAAAGGGAAGAGTTAATTTGCATGAGAAATATGTTACCTATCTAAGTAGTAGTAATCAAGCACAGTACCGACCGACCTTAAGGTGCCTTGGGTAGGGAATGTCTTGTATCTCACTAAATAAATGTGCGGCGCAAGCGTGGAGGCTCAATAGAGAGACAAGAATAAGGGAGTGACATTGGTCCTGTTAGTGGAAGCCAAGTCCGCCAACTCCAAGGGAGGGTTGCATATGCGCCTATAAGGGGGGAGGCTTGCGTTAGTTGTTTATAGCTAATGAGCCATGTACATACAACAAATCCTGAACGATTCTCCATAGGCTTATCGTGTTCACAATTGCGACGGTAACGATTCTCAATTGAATACAAAGTCCATGGACGCCCGGCCGTGTCCGTTGACAACAATTTATGACAAAGCCAGCCTGTCCCGACTGGGGGTGGCAGGAGTGTGATCTCATAAGTACCCTTGTGCCCAGGTAGATATCGAGATTTGGTGTAATGGTCCAGGCCCCAATAGTTTGTCCCCCACCACAACCATTCACACTTAACAAAGTAGGTACTGCAGCCATTAAATCCCAAGCCCGCGAGCCCCTGACCCAATCTTGTTTCCCCTGTAAAGGGTACTAGGTATTGGATGGCTGAACGTCTCACACAACTGATTCTTCTATGGTTCTCCTCTGAGAAGAGAAATGGCCCAGATGAAGGCAATTTCGACGTCCACATATTATGCTGGCATACCTCAGGTATTTTGAGCACAGTGGGTATTTTGGTTAAAGACACAGTGGAGTGTCAACCTGGAATATGCCGCCTTGTTTAGAAAGCCCATGGATACTTTTTTCACATTCCATGAACCACCCCTTGCCTCACAAGAACTCACCTGCATATGGAAGTCACTTGTTCCTGCATAGGATGTTGAAGGTCAAAAGAACGGCTCAAGTTTGTTATCTATCTGGTAAAGACTGACTAAGGCCAACTCGGAATTTCAACGTAGGGTGCCAAAACACCAAACAAGTGAGTGACCCACGAGTTCTTCGATGTAGGGGTTTGCCAGTATTATATATATGGCGTTTCTTCCAACATCTCATCTCATATAACGATATCTGAAGGCAGTCTTTCGTTGCTGGCCACTTCTCAACAACTCTTCTAATCACCACGTCCCTTGACCCTTCCACTATTGCACTGCTTTCTCAAGATCAAGACAATCTGCACAGGCCGGGCCTACTACGACCCTGTAAAGGCCGCCGTAGGTTGAGCCTCTGGCAATGCAACTCCCATGTCTTTGCCCCTGGCCTATCCAGCCGGGCGTCACCCATCAAACGGACACGGCACGGTCTCCACAGAAATGGGTGGTCTTGGAGGTGTCAGCCTTGCTGGGAAGACTTCACAAGAAGACAACAAAGTGAACCTCCCTCCGCGCTCAATGATCCGGCGGTGCTGACAAGTCGTGCAGCAGAGCCCTCGGGATGCAAAATTGGAATCATCTACCCGTAGTGCTCATGTTGTCCTTCAGTCGTAGCCTCCTCCAATCTGACTATGGAATGCCGTGCTGACACTCTTCTCGTCATCATCAAAGCGTCGTCCATAACCATTTCCAGGAACCATGCGTCCACTGCTCTCAACATACTGTTTGAGCCGATCACTTTGGCTATAGGAGACAGGCCGCATGCCCGTGACAGCGTCGTGGAGCCCCGCTCCCAAACTGACACCGCCCTGACCGACCCCTTTACCTCCGATGACACTAGAAGATGCATCCGTATATTCGGAGTTGGCCACACTCTCACCTGCAATGCTTTCTGTAGCACGTCCACGGCTCTTCCCGCCTCGGCCTGGGGCAGTGACCCCAGGAAGTCCAGGCCATTGATCAGGAGTGAAGCTCGAGAACATGGGAGGGAAAGCGCTGCTAAGAGAGGCACCTCCAAATGCAGAGCCATGAACGGAAGACACATCATCGGGGATGTAGGAAACCATGGAGCCTGCATCAAAATCTCGACCAGATGGAGGGGGGTTGAAACGTCCTCCATTGGAATAGCTGCCGGCTCCGAACTGCGGTTGCTGATTCTTTTGACGATAGCTGACCTTTGGTCGGCTGAACTGGAGCAAACATGCCTGCAGATTGGTCAACGGACCTTCGACAAAGCATTTACGATCCTTGAAGTGGACAAGAAGATTGTGCCAAAGCTCATGTTTGGACAAAACTTTGGGATTGCCCAGAATGACGAGGCCATACTTGGCTCGAGTCAAGGCCACGTTCAAACGACGAGGGTCAGACAAAAACCCAATACCCTGATTATCGTTGGATCGAACACAAGATAGAACAATAAAGTCCTTCTCACGGCCTTGAAATGCATCAACCGATGCGACCTCGACTTCCTTATAGTATTCCTTCTTGTAGGTTCCTGAATTCTGCATAGTAGTCACGATGTAGCTTCGCTGGCCTTCATATGGAGTAATAACACCAATGTCAGCGGGCTTAACGCCGGCCTTAAAGAATCGAGTGACCGCTTTCTCAACATTGGATGCTTCCGTGCGGTTGAGGTATGAAGTTCCAGAGGCAGAAATCTCCTCGTGGCCCAGGTTAGACCAGAACATCATGGGCATCTCTCCGACCGGCCAAGGGAAGTCGACGTCTTTTCGAAGGCGATTCTCATGAGTGACACCGTTCTGCAAACTACCATCGTAGAACATGTTGGAAGGGAACTCGGATAGACATGGGTGCATTCGGTATTGGATGTTGAGCCGGATAGGCGACAATTTCAGGTTGACCAAGCGCTCGAAAAGCGACTGGTTAAGGCCAGCCTTGGCCGCCTTCTTGTTCATAATAACAGGGCCAAGCTGCTTGTGATCACCAACAAGGACGACCTGCTTACATCCAAGAACAAGAGGGATCATGCACTCAGGCTCCGCCGACTGAGTCGATTCATCAATCAGAACATTTCGGAACTTCATCTTCGAAAGACGAGGGTCGCCAGCTCCCACGCATGTGCAGCAGACGACGTCAGCGTTGTTGAGAATATCTCGTTCAGCGATCTTGGTAAGCTGTTTGTACTTCTTCTCATCCTGACTGGACAGCTCGCCAAGCTCGTTCTTCAGCTGGGAAAGTTTGACAAGCTCGCTGTTGTGCTCCGACATGCGCACCTGCTCATGAAGAGCTAAGAAGCTGACAGATGATTCGACATCCTCGCGAGATTTGGCTGTGAGACGAACAACCTTGAGTCCTGTACGGTGAACACGCTCGCAGAGTTGGTCGACGGCGACGTTGGAAGGTGCACATACGAGGACCTGGTTTCCGCTCATCTTGGCTAAGTGGTAAATGATGGTAGCCGATGTGACAGTCTTGCCAGTTCCAGGAGGACCTTGAATCAAGCTCAGGGGCTTCTGAAGAACTGCCTTGATGGCACCAACTTGACTTGGATTGAGATCAGGGAGACCAGGGGCAGACCACTTCTTAGGCAGGTTTGTCTTCATGACCTGTAGCTGGACCTCATGGCCAAGCAACGTGTGGAAAATGTAACCAGATACACTCATATCATCAACAGCAAATGTCTTCATAGCCAACTGCATGCGGTCGTAGGAAGTCGCTTTCCAAACGTAGTCTGCTGAAAAGTTGTGGGATAAGTCAGTGGGCACAAGCTTTTCGTTTCCAGTCTTGCGCAACTCCAGGGTGACCTCATCAGACTGGTTATTCGGGATCTTGATGACATAACCAACCCCTTCCCAAGGAGATCGCAGCTCGCCCTTGTAACGCAGGCGCATCTCATCACCAACAGCAAGCTTGACATCTCCGGATTCGATTTTGTGGAGGTTAAAGCTGACTAGATGCTTATTGTTCAAACCGTAGTCCCAGCGCACGAGGAGCCCATCTTCTGATTGCGCTTCCTTTAGTTTCTTGTCGTAGTCGGATTCCATTTTGACCAAAGGTCCAAAAATGTTTTGGTAGTGATAAGGATCGTCATAGTTTAGCAAGACAGGTTGAGGGTCGTCATCAATACTAGCTGCCTTCTCAAGGTCAACCACTGTCGCCTTGGGCTCGATCTTCCACATCTCCTCCAATTTGGCAATCATATTGGGCGTAAGGTGACGGGCTCGGAGCTGTTCGGAGTCGGATGGGGTCGCGACAAGCCAAGGCAGAAAAGCTCGTTCTTCGATGAGGGGTTGCCATCGTGATGTATCCCAGTTCATGTCCTTGTTAGAGGTATTGGCGGCGCAAGGCTGTCGGCAGAGGAGGACAACAACAGTATCGGACTTTGCTGGAATAAAGCCTAGGAGGAAAGCGTTTTTGGTTCCGCAGTTATAGCATTCGAGTACAGTGTCACCCAGCGTAGACTCAGGGTGGAGTTGAACCTCTTTATGGCGAGCTCGAACAAGATGATTCACGATGTGGGTCGAGGTGCCGTTGCCTCTCGCACTACAAAACCATTTGTTGCAGGTGAGACATTTGACAACACATCCGGGGGAGTGAATACCGCAATAACTAAAACCATGTCAGCCAGATTCAAATATCAAGGCCATAGATAAACCTACGCGCAGGCATGGGCTGGAAGTTCTTTCTCTTCATCCTGGCCTTTTAATTTGAGTCCCGTGAGTCCGTCAATAGGGACACTGTTAAGACTATCATTGTCGTCTTCTTCAAAAGCCTCGGTCTGGTTATCATCATCATCGGCTCGGCGGCGGCCATTACGATCTCCATATTTGCCATAGAGTAAGCTCTCGTCAGGGTCGATCGTGGAAAGGTCATCGGCTCCAGCTTTGATGGCAGCAGCGGAGTCGGATATCAAATGATTCCCAACATGGGTGAAGGCGCCCTCCATGTTGGTGTTCTGTTTAAGTTATTGGTGGCTCGTAGAGTTTTTCTGCACAAAGACTTATCAGCAGCTGAATGCCCCGCGTCAGGGCAAAGTAAGGGTGGCGGTGACGCAGTGGGCGATGGCGAGGTCCAATACGTTCCTCGACAGCCAAGATAGCGATCGCGACTCACCTAGAGCTATTGTTCTTTCGGTAAGTATCCGTATGGGAGGCCCGGGGGTGGCTCGGATCGGATAGTAAAAGAGTTTGGAAGTTGCAAGTCGCTGGTAAGGCTCACATCATCGCGGGAACGAATGCGCCGGTACAAAGAATGGCCAGGCGGCGAGGTATATACCCGGAGTCAGGCGGGTTTGGCGAGTAATAAGGATTGTCACAGAACGCACGTCACAAAGTTTGGCGGCAAGAAATTATGGCTTCTGTTGAACCATTATATCCAGGTGAACAGCTGGACCCTCTTTGCTAAGCGCAGTTGGTGGGACATTTTGCGCCCACGTGATAGGCGGTTTTCGTTATCATGTCCGCCTCGATAAGGAACTTTTTCTTGTTGCTGACTTCTTGGGTGGTGTACCTATCTAATCTAGAAATTTTATACATGTTGCAAAAGTTCAAGCATCACATTGTGAAAGCGGGCAGACGCCACAACAATGATTGTAAGTTCTAATAGGAGTTTCTATGTTCTTTCTATGAATATTAATTTTATTGGTATAGCGCAAACAAGCGCGCCAAAGGCGCGATTACCTCTATCGACGTGCTCTTCTTCTGAGGGACGCTGAGATCAGCGAGAAACGAGCCAAATTGAGATCTTCTTTGGCTTCTGGCAAGCCTCTGGATCCTTCAATTGCCAACGACAAGTCACTTCGCAAAGACTACCAGTATGACGAATCGCGACCTGATCTCACCACCAACGAGCAGCTCGACCTGGACGATGAGTATGCTCAGCTTTCAGGCATTGTCGATCCTCGCGTTCTTGTGACGACTTCACGAGATCCCTCGGCTAGACTATCAGCCTTCGCCAAGGAGATCAGACTTCTTCTTCCCACTGCCGTGCGCCTCAATCGCGGAAACCTCATCCTGCCCGATCTAGTACGCTCCGCTCAGTCAGCTGGCCTCTCCGACGTCGTCCTTCTTCACGAACATCGAGGCACCCCAACTGCTTTGACACTGTCGCATTTTCCGCACGGTCCAACTGTCTCATTCTCTCTTCACAACGTCGTTTTACGCCACGATATTCCTGGAAGCGTACGAGGAACAGTGAGCGAGTCGTATCCTCACCTCATCTTCGATGGCTTTACAAGTCGCTTGGGTGAGCGTGTAGTGAAAGTATTGAAACATGTCTTTCCTCCCAGGGAAGCCATCACGAGCAAAAACAAGGTCGGCAACCGAGTCGTCACATTCAAGAACATCGAGGACAGCATTGAAGTCAGGCATCATGTTTTCGTGCGGACAGGATACGACAGCGTTGAGCTGGCTGAAGTCGGGCCACGGATGACAATGAGGGTATTCGAGATTCGAAGCGGCACCCTTGACAACAAGGATGGCGACGTCGAATGGCACCTCACGCAATACACACGAACCGCCAAGAAGAAGAACTATTTGTGAGAATATCACACATTTCCCATAAGCATCGATCCTCTTGGAGATGCCGTGCCATGGTCACCTCCTGCCCGATCGAAATGAAACCGCTTCGAGTCGCAAGGCTAGGCAGCCTCTGCATTACGGTTCATCATATGATCTGGGTAGCTTATTGAGTTGAAACATATCGTGAGCAGGGACGACACATGATCGCATAAAAACTGGAATAAGAAATTGGCGTTTCGGAGTTTTACGGTGCAAAATTATAAGGCGGTGGCCCTGAGAAGATGGCGACTATAGTGTTGGGAGAACTGACTTCGACTACCAACAGTGGAAGATGTTTATTGGTTTGTGGTGACCAGCATCAGCACTGAGGCGAGAAAGGTGACGAAAAAGACTCCAGGAAGATGCGAGTCTCAAGCTGAGTCCTGCGGAGGCGAAATCCCCTTGAAACGAACCAGTTCTGTTTATTGTACCGCAGCAGTTTCAATTGGAGTCATGTTGCTATCCACCATCGAAACTATCTAGAATCAAACCAGTGCCTTGGCGCTGTCTATGGAACCTTCAACGGCTCAGCCACCATTTCTTGACCATGGGGGAAATGGGGAAAGATTCAGGACAGAACACTAATAATTTTCCATAACATTAATCTTCCCTTGTGAGTTGTAAAATGTATGAAATTGCTTGGTAATGCTTCATCAATGTGTTGTGTGGCCTGGTTCATTATAGTCCTGTCCACCGATTTTTAGGTCCGGCGGACATCAATGCTCAGCCTCAGTGGGCAGATGGGGATTCGCATTCGCAGTTTGTAGCCATAGCCTCGATGGCTGACGAGTAGCAATCGCTGGATGGCGGAGAGAGGATCACCGACAAGACGAGAGGCCCTTGAGCTAGGTCTGTGTATTTCTGGAAACTTACCCATTGTTTCTTTTCCGTGTTTGGTTCGAATGAACACCCGCCACTTGCGTACGCAGGCATCTAACGATTCTAGGTAGATCCGATACTGCCGGGGTTCAGTTTTAGGACCTTCATACATAAGCCGAATGAATTCCCTCTCGGTCAGCAATTGAAACCTGAACTTGAATGATTCATTCTGTCAGATATTAACGTCTAGTTGCCACATCAGCATTAACCAAGTTGGCGATCCCAATAAGCGAGGGTGTTTTTGTTTACTCATTTCTCTCGAACCTGTTCAACCAAAAAGATCAAGCTTTTTCAGACCCAAAACCTGCCGGGGCACCTACGTCACGTCCGTACCCGTTCACTGAAGGACCCGTGCTCAAAATCCACCAAAAACGCAAAAGTCCACAGACGCCACTAAGTTCTGGCACTCGGCCCCGGCCCATGTTGTCCAATCCACGTTGATCTTAAAGCCAAGACAAACTAAAGCTCGGTCGGGTAGCTTCATCTCATCATTTCTCACCACCAGCACCAGCCTTTAATAGTGCTTTTGCTCCTCTCATCATCACCATCCATCCCCCGCCATTGCTTCCTTGTTCGAGTATAATTGATCACCATGTCCTACGATCAGTACAATCAGAACCCTTACCAGCAGGGCTCAGCTCAGGATAACTCCTATGGCTATGGCCAGGTACGCGCAGCCTTGTTATCCCCTGTCCCTCATGAACTGACCACAATCTTGCTGACCCGAATTCTTCGATTTGCAGGCCAATCCTTATGCGCAAGACGCGCCAGCCCATGGTAATGACCAATATGAAATGCAGGATTATTCGCAACAGGCTACAGCTACTAGCTCAAGTCTTTCTCAGCAAGAATTCCTGAACCGCGTGCAGAAACTCCGCGATGAGATCAAGGGTCTGACCAACGACGTCGACTACATCGGCCAGCTCCACCAACGCACCCTCAGCAGTACCGATGGGTCCGCCAACCATGACCTCGAGCAGTATGTTTCTCAGACCCAGATCCGAAACACCGCTATCAAGGACGGCATCAAGGGACTCGAGCGCGATCTTGCAAAGACCAATGACAGCTCCCGTACCACAAAGAACACCCAGCTGCAGTCCCTCAAGACCTTCTTTAAGTCAGAGCTCGACAAATACCAGAGCATCGAGCGGGATTACCAGCAGCGCTATCGCGATCAGATTGCCCGTCAGTACCGTATCGTCAACCCCGATGCTTCCGAGCAAGAGGTTCAAGAAGCCGCCAGCGCCGACTGGGGCAACGAGGGTGTGTTCCAGACTGCTGTAAGTAATCCCCCCAGCGGCAACCAGCTACCTTCTCGGGCAGCATGGCTAATGAGAAACCCAGCTACGAACAAATCGTACCGGGCACGCCAGCTCCGTACTCGGTAATGTTCGCGCCCGTCACAGTGAACTTCAGCGCATTGAGCAGACTCTTTCCGAGCTTGCCATCCTCTACCAGGAGCTCGCCACCATTGTCGAGCAGCAAGAGCCGGTTATCCAGGCCGCTGAAACCAATGCGATCAACACCGTCGATCACATGGAGAAGGGCAACGAGCAAGTCGAGGTGGCCAAGAAGCACGCCGCCAACCGCCGCAAGCTCAAGTGGTGGTGTGCCCTCGTCGTCCTGCTCATCGTCATCGCTATTGCTGTGGGCGTCGGTGTCGGTGTTTCTGTGGCCAACAACAACAAGTAGACGACTGGCTGATCATCTCAGACTCCATTGCCGCTGTTATGATGTTGATGCTCTGCTTGTTTTTGTTCCTCGTTTTCCCTTCATAGATATCTCGACGACGCATTTAAGTTCCCATTCTTCCGTTTTTACCCGCAAGACCAGAGGATACGACACGTCTTTAATCCGTATACCGCCTCCCGTATTTAATCATTCTTCTTCCCTTTAGCGCTGAAGCGCTAGGGACCTTGTTGTTGGGGCCAGGGAGGAGAGGATGGAGCTCACCTCATAAACCTGACTATTATTAATGAGAAATCCGGATTCATGTGAGCTTTTATTCTCAGATGGTATTTTTGCTTTGTTTTTGTCTGCTGGCGTTTCATCCCTTTCGCTTCTCTTGTACGATTACTGGTCCGTCTCCAATTACGAGAGGAGAGGCAGACAGATGAGAGGAGTATCGCCATTATTGTATGTATGTACGTTGGAACACAATCCAGAAAACGTCCTGGAGTGCTTGAGGCTATTGGAGTAGAGATTCCATGGTATTAATGTCATGCCTTCTTAGGCTTGTTCAATCATATCGGTCTACATAGTGATTTTGAGTACCAGGTTCACAAAGTAAGTCATCGGACAGGGCTTGACGAAAGAAATACGACTCATTTTCTTCCTCCAATGCACCAACGATGTCCAAGCCTGCTGAGTACCTGCCCTGCGTCCATCCTCGAAAATTCCCGATATGCTTAAGAAAAACACAAGAGAAGCACTTATTATATACAGGTACAGTTGGGTTCAGTTGTGTGCATTATAGTTCCCAACTGCAGAGCATTGGACCTCACTTGCTGGTGAGGAAGCAGCTGGGTAAGCTCCCTCGGTTGGACAGAGTGTGGTTATGTCCCGCATCCCATCCTAAATCAACGCCATCCTTTTTCTCGTCTGCTCCTAATTCGTACACTTTACACGCCTTGGCCAGTCATTGATTGGTGTTTATTTCTCGTACAACATTTATTGGGGACCCATACGAAGGCCACCGGGTCCAGCGCCACCTGCCAACTTGGCTGCCAACTTTGGGTACTTCTCTGTGACTTGAACTTGTGTTCTGGTTGCCTCAGCATATGACAAGGCGTTGACAATCTCACCCTCGGTTCGAGCGAGCTCGGCCGCGCGCTCGAAATACTTAAGTGCAGCAGGAACGTTGTTCTGTTGAAGGAGGAGCTGAGCCATGGTAGCGACGGCGATATCGCACTCCGGGTCGACTAGGTTATTGTTAGGATAATATTTGGCTGCATTGTGTAGGAGAATACTTACTAATAAGGGCCTTCTGGCAAAGAGCCTCGGCTTCCTTAAAGTCTTGCTTCCACTGGAACAGGGCCAGAGCTTTGTTAATCAAGGGCAGGACGTTCATTGACATGGGCTTGGTCTGCTTTTCCATCTCCATGGCTGTGTCGAACTTCTCGACAGCTTCAGAGAAGTTGCCCTGGTCGAGGAGCAATTCTCCATAGTAGTTGTAGACATCAGGTACCTTAGGGAAGTTCTTAATGCATCGTCGGAAAGTAGCCATGGACGAAGCGATTGAGCCCATCTTGTACTGGGTGACACCAAGTTGGATATGGGAGAAGATAAAGTCCTTGTCAAGGTCGATCGACTTCTGGTAATCCTTCTGGGCATCGGCGAGGTCTCCTTTAATGAAATGGGCCTGAGCGCGGTGGTAGTAGACATCAGGGTCGTTCTTATCCTGCTCGAGAGCCTTGGCAAACTCAGCCTCGGCCTTGTCAGGCTCACCCAGCTCCAGGCTGATGCTGGCACGCTTGATGTAGCTCTGTGTCATAGAGGGGTCGAGCTCGATGCTCTTGTCGAAATCCTGTGTTGCTTCGGCATGGTTGCCTAGCAAGGTCCGGAATGTTCCCCTCATGTTATAAGCAAGCGCTTCGTGCTCACCCAGATCGCCGAGCTCTAGAGCCTTCTCGAAAGCCTGGCGAGCCTCCTCATAGCCATCGCCAGTCTTCTTCTCTAAAGCTTGGAGCCCAATCTGCACTTGCCCCTTACCAGTATCAGGGTCCAATTCTTCCGAGTCCTCGAGGCCTTCGGGGCGAGGCTTAGGGCGGAAGCTTTGAAGGTAGTTGCCGACAAAGATGGGGCTGGGCAGCTTAGGTGGTCGGGAAGCCATCATCTCCTTAGCCTTTTGCTCAGCGAAAGTCTTGAGAAGTCTCTCGACAGCCTGGGCCGTAGACTCGCTCTTGAAGTTGTCAATGATACATGAGGCAGTGAAATCGAGGAGGGCCTCGGAGTACTTCTTCTGGTGCTCGTAGGCAGTAGCACGGCGGTTGATGGCCTTTACGTACTCAGGATCCATGTTGATAGCGGCAGTGGTGTCCTCGATAACCTGGTCCCATTCGCTCATAGCGCTGTGGCAGGCTGCCCGGTTGGAGTAGAAGACAGGGTCGGCCTTGCAGAGAATGGCTTTAGAGTAGAGGTCGATAGCCTTGTTGTATGACTTATCGCCGTAGGCCTTGTTACCAGCCTGTTTCAGCTTGGCGGCATACTCTTCACGCTGTTCTTGGGTGAGGCCAGAGACAGTTTCTTCATCGACCTCGGGCAGCTCGGGCTCGCTCTCGGCAGAAGCAGGCTTGGGTTGAGAGGGGCCACTTGAGGGCGCTTCTTTATCAGCTTTGCGGTCGGCTTCTTTTCGCTTTCTCCTCTCCTTCTTGCTCAACTTTGGTGTTGTGTCTTTGCCGCTCTGCAGTTTCGAATTGGAAGTTAGTCAAGGTTTGTTAATTATCAGTGCTGTGATATCCGATACAGAGCCGCAAGCTGCCCGCAAAAATATCCGACATCATCAAAATGGAGACAGTGGCAATGGCACATACGTTATCATTGAGGTAGTAAATAACACCGGCACCTGTCACAGCAATACCAACACCTGCAATGGTGTAGACGACAGTCTTGTTCTCAGAGGCCCAATGTGTTAACCGCTCCCAGAGGCCAGAGGAAGAGTCGACAGGTACGTAGGTTGGCTGGCCTGGAGCCATTGACGGAATTGGACCCGACATTGTGAAGTCTGCGGGTTATTGAAGGGGATCGGCGTAGCAGGGGGCGAGAATGGAAGTGAAGCCGTCGATGCGGGATTGAAGGGAGTCGGGAAGCCGATGATGTATGGGCGCAGACCGGAGCAGTATCACAGAACCAGATCACAGTTGGTAGCTTCGGCGGGCTGGGCTGGGCACGCGCAGAAAAAGCTGACGGCTCTGTTTGAAATTTGGCGCGAACAGTGGAGGTTCGCGGGCCGGGTCCACTGAAAGTTTTTCCGATCAGCACCAACTTTAGTGAATTTGGATATGGATGCCCAGACCTGAGTGAGGTTTGACAGTGACGCTATGTGTTTGGTGACGTCCTTATGGACTTATGCCTGAGGCACTCAGACGGCGGGCTGGTCTCAACAGACAGTAGGTAGCTATAGACTCAGCTGGGCACTTCTTAGCTTATCTTTCTTTGGCGTGAACTACAAACTACCTGAGTACTTAGGTAACTTGAGATTCATGGTATAGAAGTCGGACGTGGTTTATAATCCCTGGCGGTCAACAGACTGACCCAATCGTTCTGTTCTCCCCACGATCCCTGTCCTGATTTTGATGGTTGGCGGTCTGCCGATTCCTGCGAATTATGAGGTGACATGTTGCGGGGATTCTTTCATGATTCGGCACTCTCCTACATGAGATCGATCTAGAAAGTCCTTTCACGATAGAAAATATGGAGGAGAAGTGTACACATGCATGCTTAGGCATGAATACATAATGCTTGGCTCTTGAATACAAGTCTTGCCAAAACAGTCCCTTGCCAAAATTTGGTATATGCAGCATCCATATCATGATTGGCTCTGGTACATTGACAAAGCCTTGTACCCAATTCCCCAGCTCAGAGAGCGGCTTCTGCATCTAAAGGCAATCAATTCGACATCTCATCCATGGAGATGGGAAGATGTTGATAGTCACCAGAAACCTCACTTGCTCTGGTGTGCTGTTTTAGTTCAATACGAATTCCATATTACTAATTCTGCCCTACTTCTTCACCTCTAGGTTTAATGTTACAACTTCAGCCATGCAACTCAGGACAACTTCCTTTCAAAACTTGAGAGTCATATCCAACTAACTCCAAAACATGCACTGAGAAAAATGTCTGACGACTTCTCCATTTTCACCTCTATGAGGTACGACGCTAAACTTGCACAGCTAAAAAGTCGGGGATGTGGTGGTGAGGGCTGGAACTTTGAGAACAACTCTCCTCTGTACATGCTTGACTTTCACCGCGATCGGCTCTTCAAGGCAGCGACACATTGGGGGTGGCAGTCCGCAGCAGATCAACTATCCGGTGACGATGGACTGTCATATCTGGCTCAACTCATTGCAAACTGTGTAGGACCATCTCATCCAACACCTTTGAAACTTAGAATAGTCGTGTCTCGTCAAGGCGACATCACAATCGAGCACTCCAGCACACCCGAGGTTCCCATACAGAACCTCTTACCAGCTCGGCTTCCAGACCCTTTTCGTCCTTCGCTGGAAAGCGAACCACAGAAGGGTTCTGCCTATACTGTTCTCTTGGATCAGGTTTCAACGACGAGGTCCGAGTATACTCATTTTAAAACTACAAAGAGGGCCATGTACGACGCAGCCCGACAGCGTGCTGGCATTAGTTATGCAGATCCCGTAGAGGTCTTGGTCGTAAACCAAGACGACGGTTCTGTGATGGAAGGGACATTTACTACGCCTTATTTCTGGAGGGCCGGCCATTGGGTTACACCACCCGTTGCAGCCCAGTTCAGCTGGGAGGAAGGGAATGGCGGCCAAGATGGAACCTCGAGACGTTGGGCATTAGAACGGTATGACTCCCTGTCAGTCAATGACCAATAAGGGTCTCAATGCTGATTTACGACCAGAGGACTCGCCTCTGAGCAAGTTATCGATTCCAAATCTTTGATCCACGGCGAAGAATGTTGGATTAGCAACGGTGTCAGAGGATTCATTCCGGCAACTATTCGGCTCCTTTGATTAGAGAGGGTCGGGTCAATATGACGGGATCCCCGTTGATAGCCACCATGGCAGCACGGCTTCGTATACGCTCATCCGGTGGCAAGTTGGGTATGGATACAGTTTTGACCGTTAGTTGTCAACATTGTGTTGCAATGCTTCTTAAGCCGCAGACAGTTGGGGCAATCTATCACTGGTGTACCTTTACATTTTATGCACTCCAGATATGTCTTGTTGATCATCAAGATTTACAGCTCTTTGGGGTCAACTCTGGATGATAACTAAACCAAGCGTGTCTCGACCTTTATTTCATCAATATTATCATCTTCTCTCACAAATGGGGCCACTATCATTTTTGTTTGACCTATCGGTGGCCTCGAGTTCTTCTATTTGCATGCACTGCTGGTGTAGATTATATGCCGTTTTCACCTGACTGGGGGAATTTATGGAGTGTGGAAGGATAATAGGACAACGCAGCTAGCTGTCGGCTCCTGAAACAGGCAAGAAATTCCGATTCTCCTGCGACCAATATTGACCATTGCACTTCATCTAGACTTGTTGTATTATTACCAACCGAGGGCTGGTTATGTCCCTATGTTGTGGCACAAAAAGGTTGGGAAAACGGTACAAGTTGAGTGGCACCAAACACGAGTAAGGTTAACTACATTAGGTGGTAATGAGATTACTGCTATTCTTTCTTTCAATCAAGATGCTACTATTAAGTTATATTGGTCCGGTTTGGGGCAACCTGATTCCTTATTGTTCTATATAAGGTAGAGTAGTTTAGCTGTTGAACCTCTTAAAAAGCCAGACATAAAAGTATAATTGTGGTATAGGGTAGCTCAAAGTTAAAGTGAAACTTGAGAAAAACACGTCGTTCAGGGAAAGCTTTAACAACCTATACATTTACCTACCCCTCCACGCAGCCAAGGGAAACGACGCCAGAGTAACGGATATAACTTATCTTCGACTGAGGTATCAATATAATCTGAATTTACAGCAATAGAGACGTTTATGCTGAGCACGGTTGACCTTTGCTGCATCAGTTGACGTTTTGGGGATACACAAAGTGCAGGTCACTTGGCGATCCTGAATAACTGCACAGGTGAGACAACCTCAAAGCTTCCAATCGCGAAATCGCAGATAAAATGCCGAGACGGTTATTTGGGGGGTCTTTCGACTCGATCTCGCCACTTGGGAAGCAATCGATTCTCATATAAATGTGTTGCCCAAGCTCTTGTTTCAACGCTAATAAGGGAACCAGGTCATACTATTACAGCTGAAACAAGGCAATCTGCTGTAACATCACTATCTATCAGCTACATATACCAGAACACTATTGAGCGCGACTAGCAATGGCCTCCGGAACTCAAGAGTCAGCTATTGCTGAAGGCCGCCAACTATACGGCGCCAAGCAATACAAACCCGCTCTTAAGCAATTCACCAAAGTACGAGGCCAATAGTGCACAGCCTGCCTGCCCAGTTACTGACTATTCACACCAAGGCAATGCAACTCTGCGTTTGTACTCGACAAGAGAAACGGCCACGATGTAGCTGCAAAAACTTCGAAAAGGTTGCTTCTGAGGGCGGTTCCATCTTCTACGAGGCCATGTATACCTGTGCCTGCACGGTGCGCAAGACATTTAGCAAATGCGATAATAAGCTACACGTACAAGCCCTTGACTACCGTGCCGCAACATTTGAAGAGATGAAGGAGCTTGAGAGAGCTCAAAAGGACGCCGAATGGATACTAGAACTTGCACCACGGCTTCCAGATGTTTGAACCTCCCCACCAAACACATTTCAGCAATATACTTACTTGTTCAGGGGTATTTACGGCTAGGCAAAATATCGCGCCTCCAAAAGAAATATGAATTCGCGTGGAAAGTATACACTGCTGGCATCGAAGTGGGAAATAAACACCGCCTTGCTGAATTGCCCAAGTTTCAGGTACGGAGCTGTTTGTTTGATGCGACTGTGAATGAATTTATTTACTGACGTGATGGTAGAAACTCCGAGCCGCAAGACAACCATTGCACATACGATTCTATCGCCAAGACCCTTTGAGAAACCCGCAGGAGATTGTTCAGCGTATCTTCCACTACCTCGATTTCGGGTCTCTCGTCCGATGTACTGGTGTCTCCAAGGAATGGAGGCAGTACCTTACTAGTCATGGCAATGAACGACTGTGGCGTACCTTGTTCTTCAGAGAGAAACTTGCCCATGACCGGCCACCTGGCGTGAAGTCACTCAAAAAATTGATTTCCTTCTCCGGAAATGACGTCCGCCAGATCATCGTCGAGGACATATCTCGCTTCAGACTCACTCAGCACAAATTAGTTGCCCTATTACAAGGGTCAAAGAATCTTGAACATCTTGAATTGAGGGGTTCTACCGAAGAAGACCTAACGATACCGGAAGCAAAGGGTATACTTAAGAAGCTGAACCATATCATTCTGCAAGACATAATCATCATGAAGCCCCACATCATGGTATCACTCTTACAACATGCCCATGAGAGCTTGCAAACTCTGCACATCGACGGCTTACCCCAAATTGACTCATCAAGCCAGGCCATCTTTCCACACTTACCTAACCTTCAGTACATGCGGCTTGAAGAGCCTCGACGGCCAAGTCTTTTCAGACTGCGTACAGTGAGTGATTCTATTCTCTGAAAAATTGAGCGCCTAACTGACTGAGTGTAGTGGCATCTGGCGTCAAAGACGCCACGCATGCAGCAACTATATCTGAAAGACGTTCAACTTTCTGGGGAACTTCCTGCAGATGCTAAACTGGATGAATTTTGGCCAGAACTCAAAGCAGTTACAGTACATGGACCCAACGATTCTGACCAGAACACTGCGCAAACAATCCAGCAACTAACTTCGCTACGTGGAGGCCGCACGCTGCAATACATTGATTTTGATTTTCGATGGAGACCTGATGATGACGGGCCCCTTGGCTTGATCATGTTGTCCGAGATACTGAATCGAGAGCCCGAGATGTTGGCCACCGATGGGTATGATAAGAACTGTCAGTATTCAGATCTCCGCTCATTACGTCTCCGGCGAGCAATGGTACCGCCATTAAAACTCCAAAAAGTGCTTCGTGATACCCTCACTTCGCATAAGCTCCACACTCTCGATCTTGCCTTTCCCCTCGATCCTCAAGGCGTTCTCGAAGGATCTGGCAGTACCAAACACATTCAAGATCATGCCTGGCTGCGCGGAGAGCCGGCTATCAGGTCTATCGGACTTTCAGAATTCAGATTCCGCTCATACCCCAAGACCATCGACGAGATGTATTTGCCGAGTTTTTTAGCCAGCTTCCCTAACCTTGAGATTCTTGAAATCAACTCGTCCCATTATGAGGCTCGCGAGTTGTGCATTATGATCGAAGCGATACTCAAGGTTACCCACATACAACGGATTTACCAGAGAACAATTCATGGGGAATGGGGAGACAAGCTTCGTAAAGTGACGGGTATGCACGGAGTAGAGCTTATTTGGGGTGACAGGCCAAGGGAATGGCCGCTGAAGATAGATGATTAGTCCCACTCGCCCCCATTAAGGCATTGTATTCAGAATATAACTTTGTCTTTGCCATATGAGATACACTCGCGGGTTTCAGGTGGAGGTGAATCACCTCGCATCGCAGGCTTGCGATTCATGGCTGTCGGCCCCTCAAGACCCCAGTATTGCACACAAGATAACATGAGACAAATTATGTGACATGATATCAATCAATTTCTCTTCCGAATGCGTTATATCGAGCATATCGTTTCCTCTTTCGATATCAGCCCAAGGACTTCTGTGCGGACGTTTCATACCCCGATCTAAGAACAACAATCCCAACGCCTGCCCTACAAATATGCATTCTGAAGACAGCAATGATAGCTAGAATATCTCAACCAGCGATATTTGTAGTTCAAGCTCTGCCAACCTTGAACGACAAAACCTGCGTGTGCTCCGTTAGTATGAAGTTCGTAAAATGGAGGATCATGGCATACATCATTCTTGCCCACAGCGACAAAATCGTCTTCAGATACTCGAATATTTCCAGCCCCTTCGACAAAGGCGATAGGTGCATCTCCCATCACTTTGCGCGCCACATCACCAACCGTGCTACCTTTCTTGACAAGAACACAATCGCGGAAAACAAACTTGGAGTCTGATGCACCAGAACTGAAGGTGGAAGTATTCCGGACGGGGAAAACGGGCACGAGACCAAGGAGCTCAGCGGCCTTCGAAAGGACTTGAACGACACCGGTAGATCCAAAGCGGTAAAGTACCATGTCCTTGAGATTCTCGATTCGATTACGATTTTTCTCATCGAGATCTTTGAGGCCACCGCCAGTCGGGTCGCCTTGCTCTATAAGATCCTCCTTGGTGTCAATAAATTCGCTGCCTTCGACATACTTGATGTAGCCCTGTTTAGCCATCTTTCGCAAGAAAATTTCTGAGATGGCTGAACATAACACGATGGTATTAGGGTCTTGCTGCTTGGCGATTTTGGAGATGTTTTTATCAGCGTCTGGGTGATCGATTTTGTTTAGTGCGATGACCGTAGGAAACTTCTCATCAATGAAGGCATTGACGACCAGCTCTACGGTCTCATTGGACCAATCCTCCAGGGGCTCCTTGATGCCGCAGCGATCAAGAGCACGGTTCACAATAGTCGATGTTGCACCGTAACCGGAGAACTGTGCTTGCAGTGTTTCTGTAGCAGTTGCCTTAATAGCCTGGTGCCTTCGTCGAATAGATCCCCATCGTTGCATGAGATTGCCGAGAACCCAAGCAACGATTTCGCTTCGTAGCCAAGCAATGTCCACGGAAGGATCATACCCTCTTGTCTCCTTTCCTTCAGCATCGACAGTACCCGAAGCATCGACAACATGAATTAGAGCATCAGCATGTCGTAAGTCATCGAGAAACTTGTTCCCCAAGCCCCGGCCCTCGTGAGCACCGGGGACGAGACCAGCGACGTCAAGAAGCTCAATAGGTACAGAACGACGGCCCTCAACGCAAGCTCCATAATTGGGTTTGCATCTGTCTGATACGTTATACCGGGCACAAGCACACTCGATCTGAAGATAGCCGATTGCTCGCTGGGGATCAATTGTGGTGAACCTAGAGAGGTCAGCTCTCGCAACAACCACGAGCTTTCAGGGTCACAGGCTCCGAGATGCAGAGCAACAAAAACATGTAGTATGAGACAAGGGTGAAGCATACGGGAAATTGCCTATTTCATTTCCGATCAGCGCCAAGTTCCAAGAGCTTTGGCCAGGGTCTTTCTACCAACCAACTTTAGACGAAGCATCAGTCAAGCTGTTGAGCGTAGAGCTCTTACCAGCCGAGGGCTTTCCCACGAGGCCGATGAGGGGATCGCGAGGCATAACGAAGAAGCGTTTTGCTCAGTCCAAGGACTTGATAGAGGCTCGACTGAGGGCAAAGTCGCTAGATTCAGCCCTAATATACAAGACCAGGGTTTGCTTTCGTGGTCGGAGTCCAAGACAATATCTACAGATGTGGAACTTGTCTCTGACAAAATAATGGCAGAACACTGATGTACTGATTGATCCTTATTTATGTTCTCAAAAGGGCGGAAAGACTCTACCGTCGATATGATACGAAGGAAATGAGCGTACGTGACTCCAGTTTCATCGTATGAAGGCTGCTCGGCGCAAAATTAGTTCTCGGCCAAAAGAGGCTGAAGTGGGTCAAGTTTCTGTGGTCGGTGGTAATAGCCCGGGTATGTCTGAACCTTTCCATTTGTCTGACGCTTGTGGCAAGCGTAGTAACCGACATTCTCTTGTTCAAACAGCCTCTTCCAACCTAAACTTATCCCGGGCTCACCTTTTCGGACCATGTTTTCAAAATCAACCTTATCAATCGACATTTTCCCCACCTGGGCACGCTTGAATGATGTGGAATTTACCAACGCCAAATTGCAAGAGACGAATGGAAAGGGAATTGGCTTAGTGGCCACCAACAACTTGACAGCAAGTGTAGAAACACAGGGACTTGAAGGAGCGGAGGACAAACCAGAGAGAGAGGGCCAAGTTTGCAATTCAGATGGGGAAAAGGGCGAAAGAGCTAGGGTAGAGACTCATGGTCATGCCAACAACCACCTAAGAAAGATACTACAGGTTCCCCATGATTTGATCCTTTCAACCGCTTCCATCGAAGAGTATTCCAAGGTCGACCAAAACTTTCGTCAACTGCTGGACTCTGCAGGGCATCAGGTATGTCGCTAGACTAGAAGACATCTGTTCTCTGATACAACAATAGCCATAGGCCGTCTGGGAGCGTGCACTAACAACTGCTAACTGTTCCTCATCAAAGTCGACCCGAGCAGATATTATGATGTATCTCTTGGCACATCTAGTTCTCTCCAGCCGAGATACTTCAAGCCCGAGAGACCTTGCGCCAACACCATGGACAGAGTACCTGAAGTTTCTGCCTCGTGATATCCCGGTCCCAACAATGTGGTCGGAACTTGAGCGAGCTCTGCTCCAGGGCACTTCGCTAGAGGTAAGTGTTCCCACAAACACGCGAGCATAACCAGACCCGAGGGTTGCGGAGCCGCAGGCTCTTCGCTGGAATAGGGATTTCCCCGCAACGGAACAAAAGGATTCTAACTGCACTGTAGGTTGCACTGGACGCTAAGCTATCAGCTCTGAACAAGGAGTTTGATGAACTCATCGAAAGATCATCAGCTCTTCCGTTTTGGAACTCGTTCTTTTGGGAAAGAGAAGCGGTGACTATTGATGATTGGGTATTAGTTGACGCGTGGTACAGATCTCGGTGTCTGGAACTACCAAGATCTGGGCACGCCATGGTTCCTGTCCTTGACATGGCCAACCACTCGCACTCCCAAACCGCTTACTATGACGAAGACGATGAAGACAACGTTGTCTTACTTTCTCGGCCTGGTATGGAAATCTCCACTGGAGACGAAGTGACTATATCCTACGGAGAAAAGTCACCTGCAGAAATGATTTTCAGCTATGGGTTTATTGACCGCGAGTCTACTGTAGAGGGACTGACTCTACCTCTGGAGTCTTTGGCCGATGATCCATTAGGAAAAGCAAAACTCCACATTTTTCGAGGGTCGCCAACTCTTAAGCTATCTCGATCAGACGGGGAAATAAGCTGGCAATGTCCTTTCGTCTACTTGATGTGTCTGAATGAGGAGGATGGTCTGGAGTTCAGGGTCCTTCAAGGAACAAAGGGAGAGCGGGAGCTAAGGCTTTTCTGGCAGGAAGAAGATGCCACGGCTCGAGCGAATGATTTTGGAGATCTCATCAAGAACCACCCCCTCTGTCAAATCTTTAGGCTTCGAGCTGTTTCGGTCTTGCATGAAGTCGTAACCAACCATCTCATGCAGCTCTCTTCCGAGATTTCCCATGATGAACTTGAGCCATTGCGCCGGGCCGGACAGGTCAGAGATGGCCGCCTCCAACTGGCTCAAAAGCTCAGAGAAATAGAAGCCAGTGTGCTTGAGAGCGCTGCCATAGCTTTGGATGAACAGGTATGTACTACAATATTTCTTTTCATTTCAGCACATCCATTCATGACCGATGAAGTGGCAAAGTCGATAAGCCGAGTGGTTCAGGAGACTATGACTTGCCACAGCTTGCCATCTACGTAGTTATGTTACTTTTTCGAATTCCCATGTTTCATGCATGCGGTCCTGGCCAAGCAGCACTTGAAACAAACACTTCCCCAGATTCCGGAAACTCCCCTGGATCCTTGAATGTCAGGGAACGTTCTCCGCATTCTTGGCTTACTAGCCCATATGTCCCGAAACCTAGCAGGAGGTGCTCGGTAACACACCGAGCTTCCTTTACACTTTTTCAGTACATCTGCTTGTACGGTCCAAAATGAGTAAACGACTAACGAGGTGCGTCATCGGGACGGTATAGAGGACCCATCTTTTTGCGGACGACCACGTGGTAGCATATCTCGGATCGATGGAAGTTTCCCAAGACAGGCAAGCGTTTCAATCAGCGACCAATGAAGAAGAGGATTTCAGTTGATGCTTGTCGGCTATTGTTGAGCATTGCCATCCTGGGATTGTGGGGTAGCCGGCAATTGCTTCACCTGCTTGTCACCACGTACATCCTTGCTTTTCTCTCTGTAGCATGAATGGCACCCTGTGTGACGAAGCTATTGCGAAATCATCACATTAGCATTCGCGTCAGTTTAGAGAATCCTCAGCTTTCTGTTCACCTATCGTATTTCTCTATCTCTTACAAGAGTCATGTGGTAATTAGACCATGGGCAAGTCTCTGATAACCAGTATGTATGCACCTCCCGAAGTATTCTCATTCCGTGATGTAGAATGCGATGTAGCCTCTTTCAACTTTCGGACTAACTAAACCTCGAGATGGCATCAACTAAAATTCGGGCAAATTCCGTTACCAAAAGTCCGTTGTGGGATGAATCAATTAGAGCAGTACTGAGAAGGGTATCCTCCTGCTACTTTCCTAGCCGATCATCTCTAGGATTCGAGAAAGCATCTGTAATATTTTTGTTCAAGGGAGCTGCCTTGCGTATTAGCAGAGAAATAGTTGTGCCATACTTTGAGAAGACAATAAACCCCTGAATAGCCAGTGAAGTCAGATAAATCAGAACCCTTTCTCATTGCTTTGCTTCGTAGAAGCAGAAGGGTCATAAACGTTCTGGGTATCTTACGCAACATGAAAGCCGTTAAACTCATGCGCCGCCAAGATTGTCGAGGAAAAGTGCGTCACTCTGTTTTATTGTGCGGATCGAGAACAAGGTTCATCGAGATTGTCTATCCTAACAGAGAACATACATCCTTTCGGTTTCCCCAGATGTTCGCCAGGTTCAGATCCCGTTGAACATGATCTACCTCCCGGGCGGTTCTCGTGGAGAAACGTGGAGAAAATGATGCCACAACAGTCGTGTATTACTCACACGCCTCTATCTACGCTAAAGACACGCCATGTCGCCGAAATTCTCGACAACATCATCGCATATGCACTATACTCCCTCGACAAGTTGCACAAATTACTACAGAAGGCCCTTATTTTTCCACTGCATAGCGAATGCAAACGTGGGACTCGGGAATGTCCGTTTCAGCCCGTTAGCAAGCTGGCAGTGCCCCAGAGAGATGTGGGCTGAATCGAAGAGACTACAAAAACGGCGGGCTGAGGGGAATCATGGGCATAGACGCGTTGCGTCACGAATTTTTAGTTGAGTAGGTAGTTGGACTTTTTGTCTAGTTACGCAGTATACTGTAAAAGACCCTGGCGTAAAGAAACATCATCCATGTGACCAGTTGGGCTGGAGATAGAAGTGGTGATGGCAAGTTGTGAGCGACGTCTCAGTAGGTAAGAAAGCTTTGAGTTTCTAGTCAGAAATTTCCCCTAGCTTCTGAAAGATAATATATTTGTAGTGTGTCGAAGAGATGGTACGATTCATGATGCCTACAACTCAAGACACCATAGACAATACGGCTGGCGTCTATTCGTGCTTGGGTTTGGAGATTAATGGCATCGACCCTTATCGAGGATCACAAAGAAGAACTTTTCATTAGCTAGAAATCCCCGTCCGTAATTGTATTCAAGCATAGCTCGAGATAGTTAGGTGTTGTTGAGAAATGAAGCTTGTCTTCCAATAGGCTCGTCAGTTTCATAGCCCGAGTTCAAGACAGGTCCGTTTTGGCTAGGACTAGCACCAGGGTACGCTACAGTTAGCTGCGGATCAGTGATCTGCGACAACCTAAGTACCTAGTCAACGACTGCGGCTCCGAGGTGGGTCTTTTGCGGTTCCCCCAGGGCAGGAGGCTTGAAGCTAAGCCTGCTAGAGGAGCGATTTCAGGGCTGACAGTGTTTGACATGCAAATCAAAGACGTGGCCTGCCGATGGTTGTGCTTCGAGATCACCTGGAAGCTCGGGGCGCATGGCAATAGGGCGGGTCAGGGGTGGGCAAAGGCGTCCGCTAATGAGGTTCAACTCAGCTCGCGTGCGCGAACCCGCAAACCAGTCAATGATCTCCTCTTCACCTGCTTCCACCGCGGTGAGTGTACTGTATACCGCAATTTCTTGGTGTTAGTTGGTCCCAGCCTTGCGGGGCTTTCAATTTGTTAGCCTCCCTCCCTTGCCTGTGTTCTCTTACCTGTGCCGCAGTTGTACAGTTCTAATGTCTACAGTTACGGGTCAGAATAGCTGGATCTGCGTGTGCGTGTTTCTCAGTTGAGTCAGGAGCGTTATGAGAAAAGGTGTGGGCTAAGGTGGCTTAATAGCCAGCTATTTCTCTCATCCGGTCCACATCAGTTACCCCAGAGTACCCGGGGAAATAATGCTAGCACATACAGCATCATGACCAGTCCATCTCACGATCAAATCTGGGGTTATCGTGGATCTTGGATGAACTGAAGGGTCCATCCACGATCATGGTAAACAGATGCCGTTGTGGCATCACCCTGTACACGATCTGTCTCGTGAGATGTCTGGAGACGGAGACGTGATAGGGGTGCATGGGGTGGTTAAGTGCCTGCTTACTAGTCGAAACGGGAGCCGCTCTGCTTCTGCGGCTCCGTATGCCAGCAGTCAGTTGGCTTGGACCTATTTTCAAAGATTGTCAACTCAACCAAGCTAGTGGACGCAATGCGCCAGCAATAATATCAACCTCATGGCTCGGCGGCATCGCAAAGGAGAAGCATTGGCCTGTGAGCCACGCGTATCATAGAACTACTACAGGCTTTGTTACCAACTACCCAGGCGTGCCTTAGCTACTACGGAAGTTGAACATCAAGCCTCATTGGAAGGAACAATGCGGTTCCTTACTAGAAGATGGCAGGAAATGAAACCGGAGATTGCGAGGAGGTGAAGGAAACTCCATGATCTAAGGGGATGACAATACATCAGGAAGTGACTTAGGTAGTTGATCATGTTCCGTCGGAGCCACAGTCTGTAGGTCAAAGGCATCAGAAGAGATGAATAGAATGTATTTACTTAAATTTAAAATAAAGTGATGCCACAAAATGCTCTCCCCATACTCATTGTGGACAAAGAATCAATGAAATGCCCATTAATCTGGGGTAGAGGACCCAGACCATAGCAACTACAACCAATTGGATAAGAAGCGGCCAGTGCCGGGTGGGTGTGATGCGATGGGCTGTTGTGAACATGTCGGAGTGTTCTAGAGTTTTGCGAGTGGTGCCATTTTCTAACCCCAAGTCAAGGGTCACCGTTGGTTGAGCGAAGATTACCTGGAGCTGAGAATGACCTACGTATCCAGTGCTCACCTTCGTATGTTCAGGTCTCATTTGGGTACTTCTCTTGGTAGAGCTTTATTCTGAAATCTTTTACACTTTTTAAAATACCCACCTCCCAGTGCTGAGGAAGTCAGGGTCAAAAATTGTACATCCATTGGCAGATGATAAAGCTAGGGCCGATATGTTAATAGTCACTAAAGAGAGCATAGGTGAAAACTGGGATCATATATGAAGCCGAGACATAGCCAGAGGCATATGCCCTTATGAAAGAAGCTTTTTTCTTTTTAGCAAGATACTTGAAGCCCTGGCAGTGTCTGTGTTCGGGGAACTCGCGTGAGAATGCATATATCAGACTCAGATTACAGCCGACGCTTGCAGAACAAAACGCATGCAACATATTGCAACTCAATATTGGATACTACACTGTGAATCGAGGTAAGTTTTAGTCTCGAAATTGAGAATCCTAGCATTGATCTGCCGCCTTTCCGATTCTTCATATTTCCTCTGTTGCATGCCCTTGTGTCCTAACTTTTTATGGCCATTGACAACTCTAGTAAAGGCAAAGTCTCTTGATTTCTTAAGACTTTTGGCTCTCAAGTCTTCTGGTATGTAAGAAAGAGCAGGCTCGCTAATGACTCGAGCTGAGTCGAGTTGAGTTGTATCGATGTTTCTTCATTTGTAGTATCAATGCACAAGGCCCACGTTTTCTTACACACGCCCACACTAAAACGGATGTCCTCACGCACACCCCCAAGCACAGCATCTCACACACAAATGCTGCTAAATGGCCGCTGCGGCTGTATGTACTCCATGTACCTCTCAGCTTAACTCGTTAGCGCATAGCACATCTCGGTACCTCTCAATGTCGTTTTTGGAAGGGTGTGAACGAGCTTTGCCAGAGTGGTGAGGTGAGCGAGTCGAATCGAGTCAACATATTTTCCCCAGTGGGAGCCGCTCCTGCTCTCGCACTGTAACAGGTAGGGCTTCATTTGGATTTGCTGTGCAGAGAGCATCACATTACCATCTGATTCTCGGCATTTACACCTTTACAGTACGCGCAGACTCGACGGCATCCATTCCCTCCCCGGCCATGTCCCTGAAAAGTGAAATGGTATCATAAAGTCGTGCACTGTATCCATCGTCATGATCCACGCCTGCCCAGGCCCATGGACCGGGACTGGCATCGGCGTTGACATTGGGATCAAGGATGCCAAGAGCACGCCCCCATCCCCGGATTTCTCATGGTACCCTCTCAAGTTCATTGCTGAAGACCAGGTTAATCAAGAACAAGCATGGCACTGGCCTCTCCACTCGTCCCTGGGCCTCCCCCAGGATTTCCACTTCTTTCTCCACACCTCAAAGAGTCAACGACCGGGCCTGGGCGGGCCCCATTCCCATTTCCTCGTTTTCTACTAAATCTTGCTCTTTCCCACCCTGAAGAATCTGAATCCTCTCATCTTTCCCACTTTCACGTTTACATCTACCATTATCCCTATTCTTGTCCCCTGGACTCGTATATATATTTATATACCAATCCTACCTCATCGTCCCTACTAAGATACCCAATAGCAAAAGCCTACCTACTCGGCTACTTCACATTACCGCGTCTTTAAACCCCACCAACCAAGTCACTAAATCACAATACGCCTGTACTCACTTAGTCCCGGTGCTAAAATCACTCGACAAGACCTCGGCTATCACCATTCGACATTTCGGAATTTGACCGTTTCAAGGACACAAGACAATATTGTATATAAGGAACACTGCAATAAACGAGCAACCCTGGCACCCACATCACCGACCAGTCTCCTCACTTCGGCAATTTAGCCGCTTGTTCCACCCAGGTCCAGTCAACTCAACACGACTCAAACCCTTCACCTACACAGAACAACTGTCGCTAAGATGCCCGGAATTCTTCCCATGAAGGTGATCAAGGTGGGCACCAGCTCTCAGAGTCGGATTGCACAGGCTTGTGATCGTTGCAGGAGCAAAAAGATTCGGTGTGATGGAATAAGGCCAACATGTTCTCAATGTGCTAACGTCGGCTTTGAATGCCGGACAAGCGACAAGCTTAGCCGCCGCGCATTCCCTCGTGGCTACACCGAATCTTTGGAGGAGCGCGTGCGACAATTAGAAAGCGAAGTCCGAGAACTTAAGGACTTGTTAGATGAGAAGGACGAGAAGATAGATATGCTCTCAAAAATCCACGGCAACCGACCGAGTCCTTCAATGCCGGCGAGCAGCCCGGCCGCACCAGAGTCCCGAAATGAAGCCCTGGTCACAAAAGAAGATACTTTCCGCGTACAAGCTGCACCTCTATTACTTGGAGTCGAGAATTCTGATTCTTACTTTATGGGCGCGTCTAGCGGCAGGACATTTATTGGTACTTCTCTCCATCCTTTCCCATGAGTCAATGCAACTGACCCCCTCGACAGAGTCTTTCAAGCGCAAAATTCAAGAAACCGGCAAACCTAGCACCGACTTCAACCCAGAGGCTTTCTTACACATCCAAGGCTGCAAGCCCCTTGGTCCCAAATCACCTGAGCAATCTTTTAGGCTTCCTCCTCGTCTCTTCTCCGACCGCTGTGTCAACGTTTACTTCCAAGAGTGGGCACCTCTGTTCCCCATCCTCCACAAGCCCACATTCCTCCATGTCTACGAGGAGTTCGTCGCCGATCCTGAGAAGATCAAAGGCAATCACAAGCTCGCACAGCTCTACCTCGTATTTAACATCGCGGGTCTGTCATCAGAGAACCCTGATCTTCCCCAGCTTGCTGCATGTGAGCAGCAATGGCAAACCTCTCTGGATGCTATTCTCATGGAGGATACCATGAACACCCTGCAGTGCCTGTCTCTCGCTCTCCTGTACTGCACCATGCGTGCCGACTACAAGCGATTACAGCACTACAAGGGCATCGCTGTTGGCCTCTCTCATCGCCTAGGCCTGCACCAGAGTCAGAAGAGGTTCTCCTTCGGTGCTCTCACAATTGAGACACGAAAGAAGGTCTTCTGGACCATTTACACTCTCGACTGCTTTTCTGCCGCTACTCTTGGCCTTCCCAAGCTTCTCAAAGAAGAGGATATCCAGACCGAGTATCCATGCGACACTGATGATGAGTATGTTACTGAAAAGGGCTTCCAACCTACACTTCCTGGTGAGTATACTCGCCTGTCGAGTGCACTAGCCTTGTTCCGTGCGACTCGTATCCTCGCCAAGGTGCTAGAGAAGAACTACCCCGCCTCAAGCTCCTACGAGATTTCGCTTCAACGGATGGCTGCTCTTGAGAGTGAGCTTGATGCTTGGTATGACCAGCTGCCTTCCCATCTGCGACTGAACTTCGTCCAAGATAAGCCGTCCACAGATGTGACTGGTAGCCGCTCACCATTGCTGGCGCTGGCCTACTACTACATCCGAACACTTATCTATCGCCCGGCGGTAGGCTCCAGTTTGGGTTCTAAGGCAGCCTCGGCCCTGATGTCAATCGGAGCGTCGAGCAAGCACATCGTTCAAATTGTCCAGCTGCTCGAAGAACGGGGTATGACCTTCTCATTTTGTTTGAACAAGACGGATCTGCTGGTTGTTTGTGGCATGGCGCTGCTCTACCACTCGATTGATCTCAAGCAAGACAGCAAACTCATGCGCGATGACGAACGATTGGTAAATGCCGTGATTCATATCCTGGACAAGACTGAGAGCTCTGGCTCGCTGGACTTTAAGCGTGTGGCTAGCATGCTGGTCAAAGTCGACGAATCCGCTGTCTCGCCAATGCACACTTCACGTGAGATGTCGATACCCCCCGCGCCCGTCTCCAACCGAGGGTCGCCACCAAGAGGCGTGGTTACCAAGCCCAAGAAGAAGGGCAGCGCAGCCTACCCCCTCGGTCAGCTCCCAGCCGCTGCAGCCAGCGAGAGCAACTTGATCGATCACCAGGAGAGGATGCGTCGCATGACGATGCCCTGCGTTGCCGACCAGCGACCTGAATTTTACCGTGCTCGGGGTCGTCAATCCTCTGACAATCTTCAGGCCGAGGTTCCCGTGTTCCAGCGAGGACATCGCATGTCGATGTCTCCCAACCCAGACCGCAAGGCTTCCCCACTGTCCCGTAACCTCGACTTCATGCCCTTTGGCCACTTGTCACAGTCACCGCAACCAACTTCGCCACAACAGACCCGTGCACACTCTCATTCTGGCCCTACAAACCAGGCCCACCGCATGATAGAGAGCTCTTCGGTGGCTGCCGCTAAGGTGAACGGGGTTTCGACGACTGAGTGGGAGACATTACTTGGATCATTGGATGGTGGAATGAACAACGTATACGATGCTATCTATGGTGGACAGGGACTTGTCAACGAGAGTGCAATTGCTGTTAGCAATTGTGGTGATTGGCCCCCGGACAATTGGGACCTCGGCGGTTTCAGCATCGCTGAGTTTGGAAACAACCCGCAGCCTCCCCAGAGCGTTCTCAGCATGAGTGACGAGAGCCTTAGCTCGGGTGAGGAGGTCGGCCCCTCAGAACTTGGGCTGAGCGTGGAGAGCGTTGACTATCGCAACCACATGGTGGCTCAACAGCACAGTCATGAAGGATACATGATGTCCGACCATATGGAGACGTTTCCTATCTTGTAAGGGTGGTGGACAGAATGATACCACAGGAGAAAATCTCTGGATTCGACATGGGTCTGACAACGGAGTTAATACTGGGGACATGAATTCTAATGATATGATGAAATGGGAGCCGGGCTGGGAATTAACTGTCACTGAGTGTTTTTCTAATGAGCGATCTTTTTTTTTTTTTTTTTTTTGGCTAACTATTATACCTGGGAGGAGAAATCAGCCAGACACTTGGAGGTATTTTGGAGTCTCTTGACCCTCTCCAGAGGAAATAGAGACGTGGAATAAGGATGATGGGCAGTTCAAGGACTGGCCTCGCAATACGGCATGCTAGATCATCTAGTTGTTAGTTCGTATCTTGCAAATGAATGAAAGAACGCAGACAAACAAGCCCAGCCGTCCAGCAGTTTAGAAATGTGATGCGAGTAGTTGATTCGCACGGGGCCGGTGTGTTTGTTCGTTAGCTTTCAACGGCAAGGGAGCTTTTCTGGCAGCTGCCCATCGCACGTATCTGGCTTTACCGGCTGCCCGGCCTTGCAGTAAATGCAGTACGCAGGGATAAGAATCGACGCCTGCTCAAGGGAGGATTGGACCGGATCTGGCATGCGTTGCCGGTGTCGGAGAAGCCAAAGGACCGGGTCAGAGCAGCAAGAACATGGGCTCTGAGGAAAACCGCCCTCAGGGAGCAAGAAAACTTCTGACATTGAATTAGGGTGCCAAAATAAACTGGTCTAAAGTCCTAATAAGATATACTAAGCTTTACCTAAGTCTTTTTATTACTTAGATAAGTGGTCCTAAGTTTTCTTGCCTCCCCTCCCCTTGGCCGCATGAGTCTGAACCGTAGCCGGTGTGCCTCGGGAACTGACCCGGGCGTACATCCTATACTGTCTTGCAGTTTCATCAAGCTCGTGCCAAACACTGTGACATAGCTCAGGTACTCAGACAGTTGGCCCTGCTCTCAGTCTTTGTCTTTCATCAGACTCAATCTCGACTCCCAGACCTACCTGAATCAGATCATATCAAGCAAGCTTGACTATGGATTCGACAGCGGGCTACGTTATAGGTCGAGAGCTGAGGATGCAGAGAGGCTAGATCATCCACCAGTCACTCGAGCCAATTGAAGAAGAAAGGCACATAGGAATGCTGTTCAGGCCAGATTAACTGTAGAGAGTCAAGGTGGAATCACATTGGAGTGAGGCTGGCGAAGCCAAGTGTGGCCGTGCACAACATGTATCAAGGGGGCGGGGATGACGTCTCCAAGTGAATCAGCCCGTCACGACTCCCCAATTTGCTATCGTGTTTCTTTCCTAGCAGTGGATCTACCTAATGGAGAAAGCTCTATCGACCATGGCCAACGAAAGCGCATGAGCGCCCTGGTCTTAAGTTGTCTCGAGAATCCATGACCTTGAGTTTTCTAAACAAGAAAGCGTGTATTCGTCGATCTGTTTGGTCATTTCAGTCATTCCATTGCCAGGGACCCTATTGCGAGCGAGTCCCTTCTAAATCTTCATCAACTTGGCTTAATCGGTTTCCACATACATCGACAATGGGGGCGGAGCGACAGTCTTCAATCAAGAATGACGCCCAACCAGGGCCTGTTCCTCAAGGTCAGACACGCCAACGAGAAGATAGGCCTTTGCGGCACCACTAAATTCGCTTCATAACAGCACCATGGGCCACCGCCAGACCGTCACCACGAGATCCTTCTCGGCGGCTCCCACAAGCAATTGCTCATCGCGGCGCAAAGCTTGATTGGCCCGAAAACACCATGGCCGCCTTCCGAGGTGCAGTCAAAGCTGGTGCTCATGCGATAGAAACCGATATTCATATCTCGGTCGATGGTGTTGCTGTGATATCACATGTAAGTTAGAGTAGTAGGTTCGCTCCCCACCATGGCATGCTCATTGTCTCCATCACGACTTGGCTTACTTGGCTTGGCTCGGCTCAGCTTACACTTGAGCAGGATGCATCCCTTAAACGCTGCTTTGGCATTGACGCTCGCATCGGAGAGTGCTCGTGGGAGTATCTCAGCACTTTACGCACAGTAGCCGAGCCTCATGAACCTATGCCGCGGCTCAAAGACTTTCTTCAATGGTTGGCTCAGCCGAAAATGCAAGACATTTGGGTGGTTTTAGATATCAAGGTCCGCTGCATCAGCTCAAGCATGTGTCATAAGACGGAAGCTAATGCGGACCTCCCAGCTAGATGATGACCCGGCAGAATTGATGGCTGCAATTGCGAGGGATCTAGACGGCGTCCAGGGACCTGTGCCATGGGATCAACGTATTATTCTGGGATGCTGGAATGTAAGCTGCATTGCCTAAGCTGACACCCTTAGCACAGTTTCTACACTTCCACATGGACGCTTTGATGATATTGCTGCTGACATGATTGAACAGGCATCATTCCTGCAGGCTGCGCGTAGTCGACTTCCAACTTATCCATTGGCCCATATCAGCACCTCCCTCTTATATTCGCACCACTTTCTGCGTGTACCTAACCTCGGCTTCAATCTCAACCACAAGACTCTCATCGGTCCATCAGGAAGACTCTTTTTACGCGAACTTCGACAGACTGACAAGCTTCTCATGACGTGGACAGTCAACGAACCTCGCCACATGGACTGGTGTATCCGTCAAAATCTGTGTCATCCACGGCGCCGCAATGGAAAGATCGAGGGGCCTGCCTTGATAGATGGTGTCATCACTGACAATCCTCGTTTGTACCTCGAGATGTGCGAAAAGTTTGAAAACGAGATGGATGGCAAGCTCACCAGACCAAAGCTAGCTCTGACTGAAAGGATAAGGAAGAAGGCAGAGATGGTAGCCGTCGTTATCCTGACGGAAACCTTGATGATGGCCTACCATGTTCTCAGAAGGATGCAGGGCAAGTTTGATTTTCTCCGAGACCGCCGGAGCCTGGATAAATAGTAGACGAAATATGATGAGTGATAACAGAAAGGGATGCCACCAATGGCCTAGGTAACGGTTGACTTTGAATACAGCAACAAAACTTGGACAACTTACTGGCTTTGTGGGCTACGCCAGGCTTACATTTGGCGCAGATGAGCCCATCAACCTTGACAGCCTTGGGTGTTCACAATCAATATATGCGGTCATTCGTACCAGCACTGCCCTTGAAGGGCTAGCCATCACCATATGCCTACGTACTGACCACGACACAGGAACCGTTGGATCATCAGAATTATAGTGACTGTCTACCAAGGTCTACCTGGTCACAGATCCTTTTGGGCTCAAGTAGACTCTGTGTTGAGATATGTATGTAATCCGCCCTGCCCTGTCTCTTGATTCTAGCCGTAACGCACTGTGTAAAAGACCATAACAACCAAAACGCTGCTCATGATGCCCCGCCCCTGTCTTTGTGTTCCCCCTCAAATTTCAACGTCAATATCCAGGTCTAGCGACCCAATCACATCGTCATCCATCAGCGGCTTATGTATAGTAGGGATGCCCTTCTCCTTGTGTTTCTCCTCCTGCAGCTTTGCAAGATGAGGTAGTAGTTGGGATTTGGCGGCCGCCTTCGGTGTGCTAGTCCCAGGAGTGTTGGTTCCGCTGCCGTTGGCCGCTGGCTTTTGTTCCACTTTCTCGTTAGCGTCATAAACGAACTTGGCCTTGGTCCTAAGTCGTCTTGACATGTCACCTTGGTAGGTTTCACCACGTTTGAGGGCTGCCTCGATCTCCTTCGACTTCGCTTTCTCCTTCAACTGGGCCTTTCGTACAGCTTCCGCGTTCAAACGTCGGTTCTCTCGGTTACGCTCAGCCAGTCGATCTTGCTCAGTTTGGGCCTTGGGTACTTCGTTGTGCTTCGAGGAGCCCAGACTCGTCCTAAATGCTAAGCGCTGGGAACCAAGGTTGTCGAGCTCCTCCTGTAGCTCTTCGGCCTTATCGTGCTCGCCACGTTGTCTTGCTTCCTCAAGTAAGTGGGCTATGCGCTCTCGCTCGGAGGGGTCAAATCGCCTTTTCAGCTCTTTTATCCGTGCAAGTCGAGCCTTGATTTCCTCTGTGGTCCATGAATGATTAATCAAGCCGTTGATCTCATCAATTTTATCCATAAGGTAAGCCTTGCTTGGGAGTGTCACACCCTCATTATGGCATGTGACCTTGTACCGATTGAGCTCGTTCTGTGGCCCCAGTTCAGTATCAATCCAAGAAAGCAGTTTTAGTTCAACATACCTCTGTGAACTTTCCGCTCGAGGCAGCGATGAAAGGAAACTCCTTGATTGCCTTACCGTGCGCCGCCTTGACATACTGATCTGTGACGAATGCACCGTTGGGCCCCTGAAGAGCATATGGGCGACTGGTCGTGAAGCCTGTGAAAAATGTCAGTCCTACTGCCGTACTGTACTATTTGTTACAAACCTTTGATGGCTGCCATGCGATACTGCTCAATGCCACTTTCAGGATGCGGTCCAAGAGCAATACGTATATAACATCCAGTGATAGCCTGCTCGAATCCAGGAGTGAAACAGACCTGAGCGAACTCGTTTCGCCCCAATCGAACACGTTCATAATCGCGTAACTCAGCTGGCGGTTGATCGCGATTTTCGTCGGCATCGGGTGTTGGGGAGCGTCCGCGATTATAGTCATCGTCACTGTCCTCTGCCCCAGAGTTGCGTCTGCGTGGAGAGTAATTATCCTTTCGTCTCTCGAGATCCTCCCGTCGACGTGCTTTCTCTGCCTTGGCTTGGCGCAAAGAGTCCATCGCGGTCTCCCTCTTGCTCTCTGTGCGCGGCCGTGATGCTTTTCGATCGCCATCTTCCAGCTCCGCAGTTCCAGCACTGCGCTTCTTTTTGACCTGTTTGCGCTCCTCATTCTCCATGTTGCTTACCATCTGACGGAGCAGGCGGTTCTGTCGCTGACGCTCTATGTCCGTCATACGCTCAGCAATAAGCTGTTCACGTTCGAGTTCTGGCAAGGCCATGATCTCTGCTTTTTCCTTCTGACTCTTGTATCGACCATCAATTGGGTAGGCCTCATCGTCGTCCTCTGCAGCCGCTGCTCGACCTCGCGATGGTTCGTCGTCGGAGTCAGATTCATCCATAGGAGCGGACTCAAGAGAGTTTGGCGTTCCTGGCGCAGACCTAAATCACGATGGGTCAGCATGCTGTGAGTGTATCGCAGTGATCTGGAGGAGCCGCAAACAGGAAGCGGATTAGGGGGCCAGGACAGTGTTCAAGCTCCAGATCATCATGCCACCGATTTAAGAAACATCACTCACGCCTCACCCTCCTCCTCAGAGTCATCGTTTCCTCGTCGCGACTTCTTTCCCGCCCCTTTCTTGGAACCACTTCTTTTCGCTGGAGGCGGCGATGGCGATCCGCCCCTGCTCTCGTTGCCAGAAGCTTCATCATCGGAATCCCCACCTGCGAGAGCGAGAAGCTCGTCGTCAACGTCAGACATGGCGATCTTGTGGTGAGCCAGTAACGACACAGAACGCAATGGCTCTAAAAGACAACAGTCGTATGCCCAGGCGCAACCGCGTTCTACGCGTATTAGGTGAACCCGGTGAGAATTTGGTGATAAGAAAGGGTCGAGGGAAATGCGTAATCGTGCGCGCGGGAGGGTTGAGCGATGAAAGAGGCGAAAGTGGATGGAAGAGAAGAGGATTATGCGTAAAGCAGAAGTGCACAATAGCTTCTCCTTCAAGACTTGTTCTGAATTCGTGGTTTCCACCCAACACCTCATTGGCCAAGGTTATGTCATGCTGCTGCACGTGTGTGGCTGGTGCGACTGCCGGGGAAGCTTTAGTCCGCCCTCGGTGAGCGGACTGCTCACCGAGAATGTCGACGCCCATAATGCTCATCGTTCGATTTCGGGCCCGCCATCAATTGATGATTGACAAGTAGGCCAGGCTTTGTGTAACAGTTATGTCTTTATCCAGAACTCTTGCCAGGCCTCCGCGCTCTCTTTTAGTACGATCAACACCAAGTCTTTACAAGTCATGTGTTCGCACCATCGCCACGGCTCAAGCCTCAGTCTCAACGTCTGGGTCTCCCAAGAAACTCAAAGCACTCACCCAGGAGCAACGTGATTATCTCGACTCAGCTGTAGGACTTCCGAGACGAATTCATTTTATTGGTGACTGATATTCTGGTAGCTTCGTGTCAATCAAGCTGGTGAACTCGCTGCAGTCCTCATTTATGCTGCCCAGTCACCCATCCTTCTCCGATCAAAGCCTCATCTCCGCAAGCTGATGACGCATATGTATGATCAAGAAGACGGTCACTTTAAGACCTTTAATGGCCTCATTCACAAGCATCGCATTCGCCCTACTGCCCTGTACCCTTTGTGGTCCGTCATGGCTACTGGCCTAGGCTGGTCTACTGCTATGCTCGGTTACGAAGCTGCTATGGCTTGTACCGAGGCTGTCGAGACAGAGATTGGTGGCCACTACAACGAACAAATTCGGACATTGTTGGAAATGGTTACGCAGTGGGAAGCCGAGGGTTACGAAGTCGGCGAGGAGTTATCAGATCTTGTCAAGACCCTCAGAGTGATACGAGACGAGGAACTGGAGCATCTCGATCATGCTGTAGAGCATGATGCACAAAAGGCAGAACCTCACTGGCTTCTCACTGGCGTCATCCGCGCAGGCTGCCGAGGTGCTATCTGGGTAAGCGAAAAAGTTTGAAGCCTCAAATCAGATGTATTATAATTGTAATATAGGCCTACGCGAGGCTCCTTGGACAAACATGTATGAATAAGAACTAGGAGATAGAAAGAAACATGCGCGTGTGAGAGAGGATGGACGCGCTTGTCGAATGCTTCCCATGAATAAAGTGCAAAACTACCTGATCAAACTCCTTGCCATGCCTTGTGCAAAGTTAGAGTCAGAATACACCATCTCGAGGAGAGCAGGATCAAGGGCAGGTTTAGTTACTTCATTTTGTTAGTATTCTGCCGTCCATTCGAAGAGCTGGACTTACTAAATTGCCAAGGGGGCGACGCCATCGACTTGGTAACCCCAGTTCCCGTTCTGCTCTTCCGTAAGGAGCCAATCATAAGGGAACTGCACGATATTGCCCTGGACCATATTTAAAAGCTCTTCAGCCTGCCCCCGTGATGGCATGTCATCGATACTAAAGCCGCGTCGGCTATTCTTAGTGGTTGCACGGCGTCTGCGCTTCACTGAGCCAAACTGCCCCGGGGGAGGGGCATTGGTATCTCTTGAGGATGGTTTCTCGAGCGTGGAAAAAGTAGTGCGCCTCTCTCTGTCCTTGGTACCTGTCTGTGGGTCAAGGTATCTTCCACTGCTGCCTCCATCGAAGGCAGGGAATGGGGTATCTCCGGGCGAGTAGACTGGAGATGGTGCCTCTATGTGTTGATGTGCATCAGAACCATTCTCATTCTCCAGCCCAGTGGTGGGTCGTGATGATATAGCCTCACCATCTTTCATTGCTTGTTTTTCATCAGCATCGCGCTGGCTTTCGTCAGGAATGACGATTTTGATTCTATCCTCCTCATGGTGGCCAAGAGGGAGCTTCTCGGTCATTCTTCCGATTGCCTTCTCCGCTTCAGTTTCAACGGCCTTAGCCATCACCTCTGGTCCTGGTGCACTAACACCAGCACCACCCGCAGTGGATCCACGATGTCTCGAGGATGGAGGAAACTCCGAGTCTTCACCTCTGGATCGGCCACCTTCCATGCTTGCCCGGAACCTCTCGCCGTAGGTCGTGTACTCTCGATACTCTGCCCAAGTGCTCACTTCGGAATCCGGCATGCAGCGAAACACTCGGCGATAGAGCTTCGTGTTGTTTTGAGCAGCCCGGTTCCAAATTTCGTCAATAAAGTTGGGGTTGACTGGATCTACCATACAGTCTTTGTCAATGTGTGCTAAATGAATATCTGCGGCCATCGGATGGAAAACACCATTAACCGGTTTTCCCGTTTCAGGATCGATATGTAGTGGAGGGCCGCCAATGTCAGTATCGTCGCTTATCGGCAAAGACGGTAGCTGTGCGGGACGGGGCAGACCAAGTTGATCTGTAGTGCGACGGTTTAGAGCTGGCACAGGGGGGAGGCCGTCGTTGTGGTTTCCTGGGTCCAGATATCGATTATCGGGCTGAGGACTGTGTGGCTGTGTTTCCTTGGGTGATTGCAGTGTCCCCTTGCCTTCATTGCTTATATTGCTAACAAGGACTTCGCGACCATTGATGATAACAGAATCGCGGCCAGCATCAAGGCCAGATTTCTCGGCAGACTTCCAACGGTCAGGCCCATAACCGGTCACGTCCAGCTCATGCTTTACCTTATCCTCTGCTTGATTAATGACAGTACTATCCACTTCTGCGTTACTGTCGCTGCTGCTGCTGCTGCTGCTGCTGTCGTCTTCAACCTCAACAGCAGCATCTAGGTCATGGTTAATACTTGGAATACGTAGGTGATCGGGGCGTTTCGGTGAAAGCTTTGAGGAATCGGCAGGGCCACCATTCTCTTCATTATATATATCCTCCATCTCCTTCTCGAAATCTTGACGGTCAAGCTCTGCCTGGCGCTCTTGCTCAAGTATTTCGTCAACGTCGAGGCCGAGATGTTCTCGCATCAGTCGGAGTCGGAGTGTGTGAGCAAAACGGCCAACCTGGTACGGTCTTCCAGCCATTGTCGAATTGATCATGTCAGTATCTCGAACGATTGCAGCACACTCCGAGTCACGACTACCAAGCATTGATCGCTCATTAATGTTGGCGGAGCCGATAAGAGCCACGCGGTCATCAACGATAATTGTCTTGGCATGGATGTAGAGTTGCTCGGTAACAAGGACATCGTTACTCATGATTCCCCACTGACGAAGCGAGTAGAAGGCGATGTAGTCTTCCGGCTCAATGCCAGCGGCTCGAAGCCTGCCAAAGATGGACTGTTCACCTCTACAAATACTAGCGTACTGACACATCAAGATCAGGCGAACACTTGTACCCTCCTGTTCATCGACTGTATTTTGAAATCCAGGCATGAGGGGAATAACAATAACGCAACGCCAGTCTTCATCATTCTCGTGAGCCCGTATGATTCGTTCAACGAGAGCGTCGCCGATACGGTTCACGATTCTGGTGTTATATGCCTCAGTACTGGTAATGAAAAACTGGTTTTCCATATAGACAAAATGATCTGACTCCTCGATCATTTTGATGTATGCATTCTGAATACTGTGCTCAGTCTGCTCGATGCCCAAAGACCAAGTGGTGGCAGATCGAAGAATTTGGACTTCGCAAGTGCCAGTTAAACCCAGCTCCTTCAACTCATCTACGTTAGCATCCGGCGGGGGGAGCAGGAAGGGCAATGGGCGTGTAGGCTTCCGTCCTCGGCGAAGGTAATTCCAACGCTGGACGAAGTGGCGCGTCAAGTCTCTTGCAGGCTGGCCCACAACTTGCATGGCAACATCATGCCAAGGCATGCGAGGTACTTTGCTTCGGTCGTACATTTCCTCATACGGCTCGTTGAGCCTGAAGAAGTCCTGCACTCGAGGATTTGAATAGTCCTTTCCAGGGAATAACTGGCAATGCTCTGCATCCTTAGGTGTCTCAGACATCTCAAATCCAGTTGGTTTGTCGTCGACGATAGGATGCTGAGGACTATCCCATCGTCCAAAGCACAAATCAATTCCTCCAACAAAGGCTACATCGTGATCCACGATGCAGATCTTCTCGTGGTGAGCGAAGAAGAACTGGTTCTTCTTGAATTGGTTGGGGGATCGTTGTACGAAGATGTTAGGGTGGAGGTTCAACAATGAAAACTTGGTATACTCGGAATCTATCGGAATGGCGGCTTCGACGTTTCGGTACACTATGACAAAGACTTTAACACCTTCTCTAGCTTTCTTCTGTAGCAGTCTATCCAGTCGCCATTTCTGGCTGATAGCCGCTGGTCTGCGCATGTACAGCTCGGGGCTCAGCCACCAATCGTGGATGTAAATGACATCGCGGGCCATATTGATAGCTCGAGAAACGTTCCACATATAGTCGCGGCCGTCGACGAGCCATTGGGCAAATACATGGTTTCGTACTGGAGAGAAACTGTCAAATCGTTTGTTCTGATACCAGGGAGTTTGCTTGAGCATCTGGTTGATGGAATCCTCAAACTGCTTCATTACGGATTGGTTGCGGGAGAAGAGGCGGACCTTGCGTTCAGATGAACGAAGAGTCATAGTATGATGTTTGTCAGGGGGTGCCTCCACAGTCAAATCGATCTCAGCCTTCTTCTCAGCGGAGCCAATCGCCTTGACCTTACTTCGCTTCGAGGAAATACTGAATTTCGAATCGACTAGGTACACATCAAAAATGTTCATGTTTTCGGGGGACTCTACGCAGACGATATAGCTCTGTCGTACGAGGAACCATTTCCGACTGTGTCGAGAGATAACCTTCGCTGGTGTCAAAGCACGGCGAAAGTCTAAACCCTTCGAAGGTTGGATATGAAGGTAACACTCCTTTCCATGGTAACTACCCTCGGCGGCGAGGCGAACGCCAAGGGCCGAGAGTTCGAGAAAGCGGCAGAGCCGGTTGCTGTCAGCTCTGAACATGAGCCATCTGATCATCTCAGACAGGTACTTTTCAAGAATACGCCGTTGCTTCTCAACATAACGTTGTCTCCGCGTTGCCATGTCCATAGCAGGCATTCCTGGACCCTCTGTGTTGGACATATCCCCAGGATCGGTAATGCCTGTGGATCTGCGCCTTGGGCCCATCCCCAGGAAATTGCGAGACTTCCTTCGTGGGAGGCCACCGGGATTTTCGGGGTCACTGAGAATGCCGTCTCCTACTGCTTCAGTTGCTGTACCTTCGCCAGCTGTCTCTTCTTCTCCGCGAATACTGGCTTGATCTTCTTCATCGCTTTCTTCTCCCTTCTTGCGAGCACCGCGAAGATAAGGGAAGGCCGAGTATGGAAATTTGGGTTGCTTCGGCCGGCCACCCAAGTCCATGCGCCCGGGCATGTACTTTTCGTTGTTGATAGCAAACTTGTAACGCAAATGTAGATTGTAGATATCTCTAAGCGTTCGAGTTACAGTCCAACTCATTCTGCTCGGTCCACTTCCGTATTCCAGTTCTATAGTGAATAGCCAGTGTCGATCCTTGTCGTCATCCTCCATGGGGGAGCTATCGGTAATGCGAAGCTTGAGCTGCTCAAGAAGAACCGGGATTCTCTTGTTCCCGTGTTCATCTCTTTGTATCATGCTAGCAAGCATAAGAACGGCGGGAGCACCAGCCCTTAGTTCGGCCATCAGCTCAGCCGATTTAAAATAGTCAAAACGATCTTCTTTCTTCTGTCGAAGGAGTTTTAGTGTGTTCTTGACTTGCTTCCACTTCTGAGCACCAAAAGTGGACGCACGTTCAGAAGTGAAGAAGGGGCGTCGAGGTGTCATAGCATCACCATCCGAAACCCCTCCACCACCAAAAACGGTGATTCGGCGGACATGACCTGTTCGTCGTCCAACCGCTCCAGGGCTTTCGACTTCATCAGTTTCCTCGCCATGGTGTCGCACAGCGGAAGTCATCCAAGAGTTTCCTCTACGGAAAGCCATGCCCAAGCGGTCTCTACCTTCGCCTTCAGAGACACCATAATCAGGGACAGTTGCATCGGGCATACTTGCACGGCGCTTGACCAACTGGTCGAAGCTATCCAACACATCGATGTCGCTCACAAAGCGCCGAGGCGTTCCAGGTGTAGAAGTGTTTGCCTTCTTTGTGCGGCGCATCCTTCTCTTCTGTTTCTTTTTCTTCGATTTGTCATCTCCGGGGCTGCCCTCATCGGCTGTTTCCTCGGCGTCAGCATCGGCGTCAGTGTCCTCCTCTGTCAAAGTGCCAGGGACTCCACGGCTCGGTCGCGTCGGAGAGTTGATGTTCGATTGAATGCCTTGACTCGAAGGCCCAGCCACAGTAGATGACTTTGGTGTCGACACGCCACCGTTGTTGGTGAGAGCCTTGAGTTTGGACATCAAGGAGGCACCACGAGATTTGCCTGGGGTTTCTGGCTCTTCCCATGAAGAGCCTCGCATGAATGTTGGAGGCGTATCAACGCCATCTGGGCGGGTGAACTGTATGCTCGGTCTCGAAGGCGCCTGACTATTGTCTTGTCCGTCACCGTCAACAACCAGGCCAAAGTCTCGGTCGCTAATGCCATGGTCCTTGAGCGACTTGGTTGAAGCTGGGGTGGATCTTGGTATAGCCGATGAAGGTGCCTTGCCCTGGCCCAAAGCCAATTCGTTTGAAGCTGGCTTCGTTTCTTTGGTCGAACCTGGAGGGTCTGACAAGGCTGTAATCTTGAGATCGACGGGAGGTAGGAGAGTATCGGAGGTTGATTTGGAAACAGGGGGGGCAGCAGGTTGGAGATTCGGGTTCTCTGGGGAAACTGAACGAGGACTGACGTCCATGGGCGAGACATCCCCGTCTGGTCGATGTTGCGTCATGACGAGTTGTCGCTCTTGATTCGAAGGTCTGGTGGCAGTCCTATCCTATACTACCTAATTGGCAAGGACAACTGGCAAGCTGGAAAAGGGTATTATGTGTTCAACTGTTGCAGCCACGTAAAACATGCTGAAAGGAACAGAAAATAATCAAACTTGGAAATGGCGATCTATATGCGGTCGTTCTTGTCACAAGCAAGCACAAAGTGTGTGGTTCGTAAAGGGGGGCCTTCAAGCGTCGCACGCACGTATGTTGGTCGCGCGGCGAAGGGTGGTGACGAACTAAACAAGCGGTCGATGAAGATGGATGAATGACGGAACAGCGGAGATGATTTTAGTACTGTAGTCGAGAAAAGGGTTTGCTGTACAGCGTTATCGTCGCCGTCACGAGACTTGTGTCGGACAACAAATATCGGGGTTCAAAGGGAGTTTGACATCCTTTAATCACGGTCCATGTACCAAATTTTTGGGAGACGACCAACCTAACCCTTGTCAAGTCAGTCGCGGATGGACGATCTGTCCAGGTTCCTCTCTGCGCATTCGAGATGGACAAGAATCGAGCTCCACTGAATTTCGAGTCTGCCCGGTTCAGCTTTAAACTAGAAACGGCATAGGCTCTAATTAGAGCATCCTTATTTGCACCTGCTGTGCGGAAAGGGCGACGGAACCCACCTGGATAATCCCCTAAGTTACTTAGGTACCTTAGTCCTAAGTTGCTAAGGTAGATGAGCGGTCATGGGTGGAAGCTACCTGCCAGACTAAGGTCCTGAAACCAACCCGTCCAAACGCCCGCAGCGCCTCCTACCCATCTCGACAAGATCCTCAAATAATGGGTGGGTTTCAGGGTGAAATGGCGATCAACATTGGATTTGGTATACATAGGTAACTTTTCTGTAGCTGTGACTTCAACAGGATTTGTCATTATCTTATGGCCTCAGTGTAAATCATTTAACGATGTCTTGATCATGATAGTTCCAACGGCTTGTTCGGGCCTCTGGATGCCCCATACTGGACCTAGGTCAGAGGAAATTAAGGTTGAAATTAATCGAATTACCTCTGAAAGTTGACTTAACCTTTTGACCCAAATACCTACATATACTACCTTATGTATATGTATAGAAGGGAGTTATGTTCTTCTTGCCTCCGTCGCTCTACAGAGATGCGCGTAGAAGCAGACCAAGGTATTGACAATACTACTCGTAAAATACTAAGCATACTTAATTGTCCTGGTGCTTCTACATGAATTACATCCATATTCTCATATCTCATCCTCTTTAACCAGGTTCATGTCCCACAGTTATGATTATCTCTTATTGCACAACCAAATCACCGTTATAACAACAGTTACCCTGGCACTGTTACCCGTTGTGATCAATTCCATCTCAAGTTCTCTGTTGGACCTATGATTTGACCAATGGCAAGCTCAGTTTGATCTTACTATCTCCCAGCCACATAGTACAAGTCGACATGGATAATGTCCTCTGTCTTTGCCTACCTGAAGAATGAGCAACCGGAGTTGGCCAAGAAACAAATCGCACTTGTTTCAACTGATGTAGGCCTACGGATGAAGCTACGATCCTGGTTTCAGATGTCAGACCAACACCATCAATAATAGCCGTTCATAAGTCGAAGTGACCAGCGCCTCAACCAACGCATAGGAGGAACAAAAGTAAAACACGATCATTTCGGGTTCTCTTATTGTCTGCCCTCCACCCTCAATAATAGTATTGCTGACATTTCATCAGGCCTGAACTGCAAGCATTTCAACTCAGCAGAGTTCTGTCAATACGATGGAGGTCACCCTATACAGTACGCTATGCTCCACTTGACAATCAGCCAAATGTCTAGGCATTTATATTGCTAATTTAGATAACTATTCTGTATCTTATATACACATTTACAAGTAACCCACGACAAACCACTGTGCTCTCAAAAGAAAGTGGCGTGTCTTATACTATTGCTCGTACGTTATATTTTGTCTCACCTTAGTACGTTCCATAGTTTATACAAGTTCCGCAGCTTGCTCACTACTTTTCTTGCTCTGGCTGTTAAAACATAAAAGTCTGGATTCCAATCATCAAAATATTTCCTGAAGCCTAGTGGGAGGCTTGGCTCGAGTAAGCAGATGATGCCGTGGGGACTGGTGGGAATGATAGCGGTACCATCACTACACTCAATCAGAATATAATGAGGCCGACACCGAACTTTATCGCCTGTCCCGGGTTTGGCCTCTACTGAATATGGCCTGGGGAGTCATTGCCCTCAAAAGCTGACCCAAGGATGCCCAAGTATGGATCTCCTAAGCCCATTGCTGACCATGAATTGAGTGTTGCTACGGCCATTGCAACCGCTTCGGAGAATATTCTTATGCTCCCCCCTACCACGCTGGCTTCTCTGTAAGTATAGCACGAAGCCATGGTAAATCATCAATGCTAACCAACAATAGTGCTGATGCCGTTTAAGAGGACTCAAATTGCGGCAAAATCTTCCGAAGAGTTTGGAGAGTATATGCAGGAGCTGATGGACGAAAACATTATTGAAGCCCGCAGGGGTGAGCGTATAGATGGTATGGACCTCATGGGCTGACTGGAAAGATCCAGCTATAGGACTGATGTCGGTCCTCACCCGTAAGGTAAAGAGCTGAACAAGGGGGCACTATCACACGATGACATCCGTGGAAACACCTTTATCATGCTAGCTGCCGGACAGGAGACTTCGGCAGGTGTGCTTCAGTTTATCTTGTTGGAACTGGCAAACAACCCAGTATCGCAAAGAAGTCTTCACGGTGCCATTGACGAGACATGTGGTGATGGTGATCCATCATTGTGGGACTATGAAAACCTGATCAATCCCAAGATGGCCAGCATGTTGGGCGCTTGTATTAACCAGACTCTGAGAATGACGCCTGCGGTTGTCGAAATTCCTGAAGCAGTGCCTTCGAAATAGGGTCAGATCATCACTATCGGCGGTAAGAGTCATTTGTCCCGAGCAAAACATTCATATCGTCAGGTGCCGTATCAGCGCACCGTAATCCACGGTGTTGGCCGGGACGACCAAGCCTGATCAACGACGGCAAGGATGATATTAACGACTGGGTCCCAGAGCGGTGGTATCGAAATGGCCAGGAATCAACAGCAAGATCAACAGAGTCAGGGTGCCAGCCCCGGGATGAGGAATTTGGGAGTGCTTCTACAAGCACACTGCTCTTTCGGCTGGAGGGAGACTCGTTCATTCCTTTTAGCGATGGGCCAAGATCATGCCTCGGCCGACGGATTTCTCAGGGAGAAATTATTGCTACGCTTGCGGTCTTGTTCAAGGACCACAGCCTGGAGTTGGCTATAGATGATTGGGCGAGTGATGAGCAAATGGATCGAGAGGCACGGCGCGAAGTCTACGCCAAAGCTCAATCGAGCAGCAGAAAGAAGATACGGGGTGCAACTTCAGTGCTAACACTCAAAATCAGAGATGGACATGTGCCGGTCAGGCTGGTTAAGAGAGGACGAGAAAAGTTTGTGAGCTGGATTTAGAATAACGATGACCAATGGAAGTGTTCCTACGGTGTTTGCATAATACATGCTAAACTCATGATTGGAGCAGTGGTGCCAAGTTGTGTTGATTGGACTACACCACTTCGTTCAAGGTACAGTCCTGGCATCGGTATTTATTAGCCAAGCTGTTGGTAAGGGTCGCGAAGGGATTTATATACTACTAACAACGTATTTGGATCCATGTATCTGTGTGTTTTTGTGTTGTTTCATCTCTTGACCGTCAATAGTCGACTGCTATGTTTAATGACTGCATTACTACGTAGTTCATAATGGCATCTGCCAAAATACCAAATTTGGTATCGTTAATAAGGTCGATTGTGGCAGATATTGTCATCGGATTGGATTGAATGGAAAGCTTCCCACTAGAAGCTCCTTCAAAATCCGTGGCTGGCTGAAGAAGAATGAGGTCATATTTGGCGCGAGAGAGCCCCGGCCTGGGGTACACTTCAGTTATTAGGTACTAGTGAAGCAGTCAGTGGCACCGATATTTTCCTAGCTGGAAGTTCCTAGGAGCTCGAAATTCCCGCCTTTTTATTGGGCGCTTCTGTCACAACATAACCATCCACACCTTTCACTAAAGGGATCTGCGGGGCCTGACCATCAGATCGAAGGAGAAGACACGGGAGAAAAAAAAAACATAAACAAGGGACCGGACCCGCCGCTCATTGTTGACACGGGCCCTTCCGTTCTTCACCAGCCATCAGCCATCCCCCATCCAACGTGGACCCCCCCCAAACAACACATGCGAGCTTGTACCTCTGTTCTTCATCACCATCACCAGCTTCATTTGCTCCCCTCTGGCCGTGGCTCAGTGTCCCATTGCGTATACACATTATACCTCCACTTACAACGCCTTGTCAATTGCTGAAATTCGCTTTATGCGCATTCGCTTTCGACCTACCTACCAACATGTCCAACCATAGATACAACTCGTGGCTGAAGACCAAGAAGAAGGGCGAACTCGAGAATCTTGCTGAGTCTGTTGGTCTGTCAGAGTATGTTCATTTCACACCCGATCTACTGATATACGTGCCATTTACGCGCGCACCACCCGTTCTCCAATATTGCCCGCATCGCCTTTCTTTGTTCTTATTTTGCGCCCAAGCATGTCCAAGCGCCTTCGCGACGCGCCCACTCTACCATCATGACCCCTCTATGCGATCAAGGAAACACTCTTGCGCTGACACGAATATGCAGTATCGACGGTTACAAGAAAGACGACCTTGGTGTGGCTCTTGATAACTACCTTACTGAGAACTCAACGCGCTTTCTCGCCAACCCCGAGCTCGCTGGCTACTTCAACAGCCGCTCCAAGGCCCAAGGATCTCCAATCAAGAGAGAAGTGAATCGTGAAGATGCCCTGAAGGTAGTCCGAAGACGACCCTCCAAGGTCGTGGAAGAAGTAACCCCCGAGTGAGTGACCTCCAATCATCCAAGAGTCCCTGGCGCGTTTTGGGCGTCTTCTGAATTGGGCGCGCGCGATGATACAAATAATGCATCGCGCGTCGGGACTGGAATAACTAAGCTAACTGCCTGTTTTCTAAACCATAGAAGCGACGATGCCTCTTCTCCCCAAGCTACATCGACAGCACTCGTCGAGACTCCTGGTCGCGCTCTGTCCGAGGTCGCATCGCGCATTGCGCTTCCCGCCACGCCCGCTGATGTTGCTCTCGCTGTTGATCGCTCCACTAGCATTGTGCGCCAGCGCGTCTCGTCACTTTACGAGGAGAGTGGAATCACCGAGGTCAGTCATGCGACTCGCGACACTCTCAGTACCGTCACCAGCATCCTATTCTGTGTCGCGGGTTGGGAGCTATGGAACGTTCGGCGCGAAATTCTAAGCAATGTTTACGCGTTTACAATTCCCGCTATCAGCACACTCGGCACATCGGACTACCCTGTCTATGTTCCTGATATGTTCCTTCTTTTAACGTCTAGCTTCTGGTCTCCCGCCTTGACTTGGATACTGACCAGCGTCATCATCCCCTCCTTTGCTGGTTACTTCTTCAACCTGAGCGCGACAAGCCCCCCACCTTCGCGCGGACGCCCTCGCCCAAGCCATGCGGACTATGTCGTCGATCCCTTGACTTTTAGCATCGTCAAAGCCTTGGTTTCATTCGTTGTTTACGGCCAAGGCGTTAATTTTGGCGGTCTTTTGAACGATCTGTCTATAATGCGCCTTGAGAACGCCATATATGGCGGCTATAAGGGCATCCTGACTGGCACTGCTGTCACTGCCGTGGTCAGCATTTACGACGCCGTTCTGAGGAAGTAAGATGTTTCGAGGTGAGCCCAGTGCTGTACAGGGTTATTGATTCTCAACAACCTATTATACGATTTGGGAGACAGCAGCAGAGATGACGAGCAACCCATATCGCTCATATACTCAGCGACACTCGCTTGAGTTACTCAGTCTTGCATTTGGGCGTCATGGCGTTGGAGGGTTTTTCAGTGTTGAAGGCGTCAGGGGATTTTGATACCTCAGGGATAATTGTGTTCTCTTGGCTTTGCCTCTTAAAGGTGGTACTTTTTGCGAGCTCTTTTGGGTTCAGCAAGCCGTTGTGATGCGCCCTTTGCCTGCGGTCTGAAGCATTCATCAGCCCTTCGTCGTTGAACGAAGTCGAATGTGACGAGGCAAGGAATTCCCCGAAAACGCACGAAATGGCGAGCGCATATTGCTCCATACTAAGTTGACGGCCAGCCTGGAGCCGGCATTTAGTTCCTTTATATTGATGTTTTGGTGTCATTCTGAGTTGGGACATGGAGACTGGTTAGTTGGAAGAAGGCGCCTTCAATTGAATGGATGATGGCTTAGCTTATAGTAGGGACTTTTGAATTATGAACAGATAATATGCCCTGAATGACTCTTCTTTTCCAGCCCCTGCACTCCAAGAGAATACTGTTCCTCGAGACGAATCTATGTATTCGAATGATTCACGCACACAACATCCCACCACCAATTCTTGAATAACAAGATCTTGACCACGAATGAACTAGGACAAGAGAGGCCTCCCTTTCGCTACGAATACTTACTAGGCAAGTATAGCTTTATTAGTGACATGATGATTCATAAACTCACCTGGCTGAATACTGACTATAGCCCACCCACTCGGAAGAAAGATATACTACTAATATTGTTCTGTCGAAAACAACCGGACTACGGAGAAACGGATCGATGATTGTTGCTTACCCCTACTAACAAAGCTATCCAAAGAATCCAATGGATAGTGTGGGTTGTCACACATCAGTCTTCCCTGTGGTATCGAAACAGTTCATGTGTAAAGTTTGGCCCCTGATCTCGAACCTTTTCCCTGCATTTGTAGCGAGTTTATTCATCTTACATTAGCCCGAAGCTGACTTGAGGCACCCGCCAATGAGGTACCAAAGTTCGTTTCCAAAAGCCTTTAACCATGGGGAAGACCTGTGGCTCTATCGCTGAACCGACTGCCAGCCACACTGGACCAAGTTTACTTCGGATGTTGCCTGTTGAGCAGCGTTTGGCCTATATTACGAATATCAACAATCAAACCAAAAGGTTGGTTTCAAACCCAGTTAGAATTTCACACCAAACTGCCACCTCTAATACTAGATCGAATCTATACAAGTCGCACCATGTTCACATTTGTCTTCCCAAAATTCCCCGGTCCAGAACGCCCCGTAGCATGCGCGGAGAACCCTTCCGCGTTTGGTCCTGGATGCCTCATACCCAGAAACGACATGCCACACTGATTGAGTGACAAAAGTAAAATAAATAAAAAGAACAGAGAATTAACAGACAAGTTGAAAACAGTGAATTTTGGGTTTGAAATATGCAGACAACCTCGAATGATTCCCAGCCGAGACGAGAGGGGACGAATTAGGACGACGTTCTGGAAACCCTTGGCCGAGAGAATACCCAAACCTTGGAAGTGAAGAAATAAGTAAGGTATGATAAGGTTCAAATAATAAAGTGTCTAGGTAATTCTAGGACAAGTTCGCTGGGTCCGTAAACGGAATGCAAGCCGGACGAAGGAAGGAACTGGATAAAATGGATGCATAGAAATCGCGTCATCTCCCTCATCGTCATGGTGGTACTAGGAATCGGATGTCTTGCCATTCAGTAGTCGTGGGTATATTTGTACAGATGCTCCTGCAAATGCATATGTGCGTGGTGATGTCTGTCGTGTGCGCTGGTAGAGGGAGGACATGTAGCGTCGCCTTGCTCATGACGGCGACAAGGTTGAAGAGGGACTTGGTTTCGTGTCCTAGGCTCAAGGTTTCTCTGAAGGATGCTCAAACTTGATGGGATGCACCAGCATACCACGCAGACATAACCGGCCGCTGCTGTTCTCGTTCATCTCTTCTGTCTTGCCACCTCGCTCCCGTCCCTCATTGGCACGACCTCCATGCTTGCCACGGCCATCTAGCTGGGCATAGCCCAACCATCGGCGCCACATCAGACCAGCGAACTCGCTGTTAAAGTACCAACTGGTGCCCTTGTGATTATGCTCGTTGAGTTGGTCAAAAGGACTGCCAGGACCAGATGTCGAATGATCACGACCAGCGTTGAAGGCTGCATCAATTTCACTGAAAGGGTACCAGGCTCGGTCAAGGAAGATTGGGTGTGGGGCGTATACTCCCTTCATACCATGATGCAGCGCAACGGTTGGAGGGAACATCTCGGAGAACATGGTGTGGTGGTATCGCCAAACCTCTTCATGCATGGACATCAGCAGACGACGGCTGAGACGTGACGCAGTAATGATGGCGCATCGTCGCGGAGGAGGAGCCTTGTAACCTGTAGCATCATCCGAGAAGACCCAGCCAGATTGTTCGGTATCGAACAGTGGATTGAGAGTGATAATATCAGCCTCTTCACCAACACCACACTTGGATCGATCGGGAGCATCAGAGCTGCATGAAGGGGGCATCATCGATTGACCCCACTCATCGTGTCGTAGCTGTTCCTTGCCCTCGAACGATAGCGGGCCGAAGATGGGAGCGCGACCTGAGGCCAGAGTGTCATGCTGCACAGTTTGAGAAAAGTTCTCCCAAGTGCCATGGTAGGGAGGAATGTAGTAGCGAGCGCTGCGTTCCCAGAGAAGAGTTCGAGGTTGCTCCTTGGCCCACTTGCCTAGGCGGTCAAAGAATTCGTAGTAGCTGCCCAGATATCGCATATCCATCTCCCAGTTCCAGTAGTGTTCATACTCGGGGTGTTGCATAGCGAAAACTTGGAGAGGGAAGTGGGCGCTACGGTAGATGCCGTGAATATCGGCACCACTAGGGTTCTCGATCGTCTCGCCAAATCGTCCGGGGTACATGAGTCTCATTTGAGGCTCACTCCAGAGCGATACTAGGCCTCGGAACTCAGCAGGGACGTTGTCATTGATGATGCGCTGTACAGTCCACTTATCAGACCAGATGGGCTCATCAATGTTTCGCACCTGCATCAGGAAGTGAACCTGGTATTCACCACCGGATCGCAGGGAAAGCTCACTGATAAGCGCCCGGAAGTTCAGCACAGCTAGTTCAGTCCACTTGAAGCCGGTGTATGTTCGAACGACGACAGCAATGCGTCCCTTCTTGTCGCTTGTCTCCGAGAGTTCCTGAGTGTCAGGGTTGACCTGCTTGAATCGATGCTTATTGGCTTTGTAGCAATCTTCCTGTGCATCTGCCCAGTTGACATCGATGTAATTGATTTTCCCAGTCTCTGCCCAAACATGCTCGTTACCAGAAGCCTCAGTGTCCAAGCCAGTATCTAGACCGCCCTGGGCTCTGCTATAACCCAGGCCGTAAGGTCCATACCGACTGAAACGATCGAAACAGATATCGTCTCTGAGTCCGAGGAGCTTGTACGAACCGATAGCGGGATCCGGCATGTGCTGAGGAACGCCATTGTAAGCATACAGATCAGGAGCAGGTACCGACTTCTTGGAATCGAGATAGCAGGTCTTGACATCACTGCCATGGTCATAAGGAATGTACTTCTGAGGCTTAGGCACATGGTCGCTCATAGTGGGAGAGGGCATCGGAGCCTTATCAGTGATATTGGGATATTCGGGGACAAGGTTGGCTTTGCTGACAATAGTACGAAGACCGTGGAAGTACCCGTCGAGGCTGAATAGATAATTAGTAAAAGCAAGAAGTTAAAATGTTCAACGTACTGAGGAAATCTCAACCAAGGCATCTTCTCAAGTTGCGCAGCAACTTCTTTCTTTTCATCAGCAGTAACATATTCGCCTTCAGGAACAGTTTCGAGCTTTCCATCACCATCCATATCACCGGTGAGCATTACAACAGTTTCGCCGTGTGTGTTCAAGACGGTAGCGGTCGCAATGGGTTGCTGAGTCTTGGTGCCGCTCATCTTTCCAACACTGTAGCCAGAACTTCGGGATTTTACAAAAATCAGGGTGATGAGCACAGCCACGCCAAAAAGCCAGGTCAACACCCTTCGGGCATGGCAGGGTCCCAGAAGTGATCGCATACGAAGTCTGGGTTTCTTCGTTTTTTCTGAAATGATGGAATAGGGGAGAAGAGGATCGATCTTCCTGCCCGATGGGCCTCGCGAATTATTGTTGTTGCGGGCGGCCATGGTGACTGAATGGCGCCGCTGCATACTAGGCTTAAGAGTCTGGCACGCTTAGGCCGAGGGGTTGTCGGTTCGCTAGAGTTTGTACGGCGGGTGCGTGTGATGGTAGGATTTACTGGTTGAGACAGGTGATGGCGAAAATTAACTTGTATGCGGAGCGAAAGTCGTAGTGGAGCCGGCCGACATCGAAGGGTTTATTTCAACAGGTTGCAGGTGAAAGTAACGACTGGCAGTCGTCGAGATATCCTGGAAGGTAAGTCGACGAAAGATGTTATCCGATAAAGGGCGGAGGATGAGCAGACGAAAAGGCTACCTCGTCATGAGACGACGGCAGTGAGATCAAGGAGGTGAGGCTGAACAGCACAATCGCACGACGCGACGCAAACGTTTGAAGCAACACGGGATCGGTGCTCGTCGAATTTGCGATTAGAAGAAGAGGGCGTCGAGGAGAGTGACGAACAGGCCGAGCGATGAGCGAAGGCGTTGACGAGGGGGAAAAGAAAGGAGGGGGGAATAAGAGAAAAGAAGTTGACCAAGAAGAGATAGGAGGGAGAAAAAAAAAAGCGAAGCCAGGCCAGGAGAGGAGAGGCGAGAGCAGGGGATTATGGACACGGGACAAGGGGTTGCTGTCCAGGACCTTGCAAAGGGCGATAGGGGGACGAGGGAGGAAAGCACTCAGGGCAGGTCTCTACCTAAGGTAGGTAGGTACTGCACAGTACAGCTCGGATGTACCTACGGATGGGGCCCGCTAGGTACGGGGCTCCGCTAAAGGGACCGGGAAGGATGGACAGTGGATGGGGCATGGCTACCTATGGAACCTCATTTAGGGAGCAGGGACAGTCTTCTGTAGGTGACATTCACTTTCTATCTCTTACATACTGTAGATATATTTTGTACTGTGTTATTTGCACCCATCTTCTTGACTGAAGGCCTCACTAACTTAGACCTGCATCTGGTGGTGGCTGTCGCCTAGGTACTCAAGAACTTCACCTATGTCCCGGGGAGCCCGGGACGCACGACTGCACACAGGATGTTTAGAGCTGATGTAAAGAGTGCCCATCCAAAGCAGCGCTCGACGGATCACAAATAGGTGTTTCTCAATGGCTGTGTTGAGCTAAGGAGGCCATTGGCAGAGACCCTAGGAATTTTCGGGATGTGCAAACGGTACGCTGCACAGTGAATGGCGGACAGTACATGTAAGGTGTCTTCATCTTCAGTTTCGAGACCAAGCCTGCAGGGAAGCTTGTACTTCCAAAAAAGCCAAGTCTCGCTACTGACAAGGGGCCCACGGAACTTGGGTCAACGTCAGGCATTTGGAGAACATCGAAGAATTTGGACTGGAACAGGGCACCATTCAAGCTTTAGAGACTGGATACCAAAAGCTCCAGAAACGGCAATAAGTGGTTCACAGGCACCTTCTTCAGCTCGCTTTCAGCACCGAAAAGTAGATTTTGCCAAATCAACACCTTGACAGGGCCTTTTCCCTTGACGCTCTATCAGACGGTGTTGCCGGGGGTGGAGCCAGATATCCAATGAGAAACACTATATCCTTCAAATATCCAACCAACGATCGAAATCAAACGCCTTTGGGGCATATCTGAGACTCAATTGGCTGAGCAATTTGGATTTTGGCAAGTCTCCGCTGATCTGACATACAGTACTATCGATGGCTTTGGGAATCAATCGCTCAATCAATCCGTTGCAGCTCCACGTTGTAAACAATCAACAGGGCCGTTACTGTTGTGGACATGACAATGTCATCACCGGTTCTACTGCCGCCATCGCTACCGCTATCCTGGAGACGGACTGAAGCCTCACTAGCCGTTCCGTATTCTCTACAGGACGAGCATTGTCAAGGACAATCAATGGCAATCGCTTCCAGCTAAGCCTTGAGTCCTTGACCCAAGCCTTGCATCCCCTGTCATTGCGCCATATCCCAGCAACGTTCTGTCGCTTCCATCCCAATCAGAAAGATTAGAACGCGCACCAGGGGCCCCATGGAACATGGACCCGTGGGTCTCCGAGCGAGGGCCAGTCCGCCCCTATTGTTAGAGAAGGGAGAGGCTCTCGTGGCTGATTATGGCGCACTTTGTCAATCATGAATCTTCTGAGCTCAAACACTGCCATGCTTGCCTCTGGCGGTGGTTGCGCGTCCTGCAACTCCTGATCGGCGTCTGATTCGAGACCATGGACTCAGCCGCCTGTCAATCACGACAAACCCATCGCCAGTGCGGCTCTTTCTTTGTATGGTGGAAGAGGCATCAAGCATGGAACTCGGAACTGTCCCTATCGCGTCGCGATGTTAGCAGTGTGTATGCTGAGATCTCCAGCTAGCGACCAGCCTGGAAGTCAATGGGCTCAAGGCATGTCTCACTGGCAAATGAGTGCCGATAGCGACCCTCCTCTTTTATGCTTGTTGGCATCTCATTTCGACCCTTTCCGAAAAGTCGTCACTCCAATTCTACGGTAGTAAATTAGCTCTGAATCGACAACAAGCCGTTGAAACAATCCCTTTCTTGCGATATAAATCGATGTCGGGTTAGAATCTTTTACTGAACAATCAGACTCAAGACATGAGTCGGTGAATCTTAGCTACGCAAACCCCGATTCTCTCTCCCAGCCACGCCCCCTTCCGTCCAGTCGAAGGACAGGCACACACGGTGGGCGAGGGTCCTCCCGCCACGCGTCCTTGGGGTCTACTCCAATTATTTCTTTTCCACGGATGTCAAATGGTTTATGACTGTGGGCATTCATAACGGAGAATTGTATCAAGTAGAACTGTTGGAGATTGATGCACACTGCTTTTCTGTAACGTTGGTTGCGAAGCCTTGTATGCCGATCCGATCCAAGACAATGTTAACGTCAACAACAATCTGAGAATAGCAACCTGGCCCCCACTATCGGTCTTTTTTAGGGTCAGCCAGCGTACCGATTTGATTTTACAGAATCTCACGATTAGCCATTCAGTCTGTCGCAGTCTAATAAACCGCATATCTAGTTGATCCTACCTAAAGTAGAGCAACGGCGAGTTCACTCATTCTCAACTAATCTGCGCTGCGATTCAGCAGAGGCGAGGACCCATGACCGTTGAAGTTTGAACTGTTTTCCTGGCCAAGCTTTTAGCCATGGTTGCATCGCGAGAAGTCGCCAACGCCACAGGTGGCACCTCTAAATGAAGTTAAGCGACAGGGGGCTGGCGAGGAAAGTTGACAATAATAAACCGCACATGTTATCTCAGATGGGCAGCAGGAGATTGCCAAGGGCTGCTCACTTGCTGACACGAAGTCACAAACTGGGCGTTTTAGTGCGTGCAAGGGGCGAGCGAACCAGTTCTGCAGATGCATGCATCGCCTTGCCTAGTCAGGTTTCTGCTTACAAGACGTTGCAAATCGCTGACTTGTTAATTAGCTCATCGTTCACTGCGATGTATTCTTTTGTCTGTCATCATTGTGTGTACAGCATACCGTGGATATGAACAGAACCATCGGAAACACCCGTGACTCAGCATGTTCTATTGTTGGAGATGCACTACGCTACGTGGTATATGCTCCACGACGGAGACCCTTCACATAATATCCCCGTTCTCGTGTTTCGTCCGTGTAACGTCTTGCTGGCGATTATGCTGCCACAGGGCTTGCTGACTGGGGATTGTACCACTGACTATGGTGTGGGGGTTTCCCGAGTCTACTTGAGGGTTTGCCGATGTCGTTGCAAAAGTATAACGCATTATCGTATCCACTGTGTTTCTCTATTAGTGTGTAGAGTTGAATATGCTTGATATTTGAGATCCGATGCCTTCGTATTCTTAAGCGAGTGTTTGACTTGCCTCAAAAGAGGATCCGCCATTTTCTGATCAACATATTCCTTGGCAGTCAGCAAGTTTATCGTTACCTGGTCATTTCCTAAAGTCCCCAATCCCAATTGATACTAGAGGCAGTCGTTGCAGAGAATCCAATCTCCAAAGCTGTGCAAGGTCATTTCAAATGGGGCGGGTCTCGCGGTAAGGCCAGGTTGGAAAGGCTGGTGTTGACCAGTCACCACGCGGCAATTGACCAGCCCTGCATCGCTATCATCTTATTTTGGCGTCTTGAGCTAGGAATTTCTCATCTCAACCACTTAACTCAACTGGGGTTGAGATTGACTTGCGGGCCGGAATCCCTCAAAATCTCACCCAACAGAGACCAATACTAGTGTAGCTCATCATCCTGCGTTGCGTTGCACGCAGGAACTCGACATGAACAGAGAAGGGATTCTTACATTTTGCAAGGTGTTCATGTATCGTCCCCCCGACCCTATTGTATCATATCGTATCGCACAGGCTAACAGGCCAAGACGTTGAGGCCAAGGTAGTCCTGTGTAACCTTGAATTCAAAGAAAACAACAAGCACATAAGCCTATGTAAGTAAGCCTAACACTAGGCCTAATGTTAAAGTTGCGTTATCTTTCTGCTACACTCCGTATGCACATTTCCATTCACTGCACCCTTCCCAATTTGAGGATGCCACAAAACAAACATGGCTTGCGTTGATACAGTTATCGGTTGGTTACATCTGTCAGCAAATGGGTAATAGTTAGTAGTAAGGCCCTGTAGTGTAACAGTGGCAACGGGGAAAATATTGTAAGGCTGGCTGGCTTATTATTAGCTCCCAGGTTCTTCGGTTCCCATCTGACCAAGGCTGGGGTGAACGACAATCTTTGGCATTTCTCCCATGATATATCACATCATAATATATTGTATCTATGACATGGAATTGATGATTGGTGAGTGCAACGTGTTTATCATCTTTTATTTTCTACTAGTCCCTCTGAAGTGACAGCACTAGTTTGTAGGAAAATAAGGGCTCGCGGGAATGCCAAATAACCTCACCACTTCACTTCTATGCCCTTATTAGATTCTCAGTTCTATTCTAAATGTTGGCGGATTAGTCTCGTTGTCCTCGGTACAGCTTGCGCCTATTTCTGACTAATGATGTCTCCGCAAGTTGTCCCTATCTCGTCCCATTCCTTTGCAAGAATCAGGTCTCACGGCCTATGTTTCGGCTCTGCTGTTCTGGACCACTCCTGTCAGACGCAAAGCTTGGTCTCAATATTTGAGCGCTTTTGTATCGATCTGTATCACATATCATGATCGGCTTTGGCCTCGTTCTCATCTTCCTTAGGACCCTCTAGCCTTGCTTGAGTTCTCTCTCGCCAGCCCTTCCCCCATCGAATTGCAGCCATGGTCGCCAGAGCTGAGCCTATCAAGTACGCTGCTGAGATGGTCGAAAACCATCCGATGCCGACTGCTTCGACTGCTGGCAGAACCACAGCTGAAGCGATGCATCCAACCAGATATCTTGCGAAAAAGTTGGTTGCAGCCACCTCTGCCCCATGACCAGGCATGACATCGAGACAATAAGTGTTGTACGAGGGAAAGCAAAACAATTGCGCCACGCCCTGTACGAACATGGCAATAACAGGCACCGGAATACCCCCAACCTCCCTGTCGACAGTCCAGCCATATACCAGCATGCTTCCCGGCATAATTGCGCCCATGAAAGGCAGGGTAGATCGAAGTCGATCTTCCGGTATACGGACACCTCCACGCTTCTTAATCCATCGCTTGGCCATCATGTCCGCCCAGTGCCCCCCTCCGAAAGTCCCTACCAGGTAACCGAAGCCGGGTGCCAGGTAAAACAGACCCGACAGCAACGGCGAGTCGAGCTTGAAGCGGGGATTCAAAACATAACGGACCGGTGTTAGGAGGCTGTACATGTTCCATGTTAAGGATGCACTACCACAAGCCACCAGTGCAATATTGAAGAATCGAAATAGTCGCAAGACTCGCATCGGACTGATCATGCCGAGAACCTTCAGTGTCCTTTTCTTGCCCGAGAGGCTTTTCAGATCGTTGATCTTGAGGTGATGGGCTGTTTCGCATACAACAAAGTACACGCCGAGTACCCCGGTAGCAGCCAGTCCTGTCTGAAGCCAAAAGATACTCCTCCAGGACGAATATGTTACAATAATACCACCCAAAAATGGTCCAAATGCAGGACCAACAAGTGTGCCGGTCAGAAACCACCCCATTGCTGCACCGCGCTCTATTGGACGGTAGATGTCACTATTTCTTATCAGTATCAATGATTCTCAGAGCACTCGCTGCTATTGAAGCTCCGGGAAGATCGAGCTGGCCGTTTGAGTAAATAGCCAGGCTCCAAAAGTTGATTGCTCAGAGTATGAATACTGAGCAAGTCTAGGTTAACGTTCCGGTCACCAATAAGATGGTTCACTGTCCTACCTTTGGCCTGGGGTCCTTTCAAGGACATGAGACAGTTTATAAGTAGAAGAATGGAAAACCTGGCAACTTACCCAATGCATGCTGGGCCGATGAGAATGAAAGCTGTTCCCCCAAACGCTGAAGCCGCCCGAAAGACAATAAACGAGGTGAGGTCAGGGGCCAATGCAGTGGCTAGGCTGAGTAAGAAGAAAATAGTTGAAGAGGACAAGGCTGCCTATGGGGATGTCAGTGTTTCTTCCTGCTGTTACGGGCACAGCGTCAAAACTTGGGGAACGAATTGACCTCCTGGTTCCAGCCAGAGCACCGACTGAAGCACACCACAAGCACTTACGCTCCGCCTTCCATAAACCTGGCTCATGGGTCCCCAGAATAAAGGTGATAACGCCATAACAATCATATACGCTGCATTACTCAGGTTTATAATGCTTCCCGTGCTGTTGAAAGTCTTCGCAACCTCTGGTGTCGCTGCTAACACTGAAGTGCTCGATATTGGTGATAGGAACGCCCCAAACGACAGGACGGTCACGATAGCAACTTTGCGTCTTGAGGAAACTTTGTCAAAGATCTCATCACCTGCCTCCCGGTAAGGCACATTGCCATCTGACGCAGTGATAGTGGCAGCCGGTTCGAAAGCATCGTGGCCAGATATGTGTGATGTTGTGCGGTTGATAGCCTCTTGGTTTGGGACTCGGACTGCAGTCTGTGGAGAAGATTCTTCCTCGCTCATGGCAGATGATGATATTTCATCCTGTGAATCATCTAATGTCTTCGGCATGGTAATCGGTGGGCTCTAAATGTTGATTTGGGTTTCCGGAAAGAATGTGGATTTACATTCCCGCTTCAACCAAAAATGATACAACAACGAAATATTTCCTAGAAGTATAGGAATTCAGAGTAACAAAGCAAACGGGACGAAAAGATCAGCAGCTACAAGGCATATTGGCACATGGGAGCTCCACACAAGGAACATGCAGACTTCATCCCTAAGAGCCCTCGATTATCACATCCTAGCAAAAGCAGTACCAAACATGGGATCATCCCCTCTCCACTTCTTCATCACAGCCGAACCTCGAGTGATCAATCATCATCGATGCATACATAGTCCCTGGTGTGTCTGTAATATCCACATCGCATCTATTCCCGATCAGCTCCATTACCGGTTAACGACATCCATGACCAAGCGGACGAAACGCGTCCCTTCAAGTCCCCAGGACTGGAGACATTTGTGAGTGACTTTTCAAGAATTCGGAGTGCATTCCGGCGCAATTTGTTACACTGAATTTTGGGTTGTTTTGGGAGCAACCCGGACATCGGCGCTTGTCTTCGGGTGCGGTCTGCCGGGTCGGAATGGTGCTTCCGACACGGTCATTGTGAATCCACTTTTTGTTCGGAGGTACCGTTCAGGCATTCCGGTATGACAAGATTGCCTAAACAAATCAAACATAGGTAGATACAAAAATCTGGTCAATGAGGTTTAGTGGGTCAAATCTCTGTTTAATCTTGTTTCCTATTACAGCACCTACAAGCAAACACCAAGTTGTAATACAAGTTCTGTCATACAATCAGATGCTAGAACGCCAACTCCTCCCAATGCTTGTGTATATGCTTGTCCAGTAGTCTCAACGAAAAGCCATGCCTCCCCAGGGTATTCTCATATCTAAACATGCGTCCCATAGCTCCTCCGCCATTCTTCCTAGGCCAACAACTTCTGTACACGATTCTGTAGTACTCTGTCGACGGGTTGGCTGCTACGCTGCACAACCACGTTTTCTCTGCCTCCGATTGTAACGACTCGAAGCCACTCCGGGGCAACCTCGCTGGCAATCAAACGTACGCAAGCTGCGCCCTCCTCCTTGGATACCGGAACCCGGAGAGAGTCTTTGAGCTTCTCGAGTATAACTGCCATCGTAAAAGCCTGTCGTGGTAGGGACATTGGGTTGGATAGGCTCAGCATTGAAATGGTTGCTGCAACATCGCCCACGCGGTTAAGAGCCGCACGTCGCTGTAGCTCGGGCCCAGAAGGGGGAAGTGGCTCGTTGGCTTTAGCTAATTGTTTTAATCGTAACCGATCAAGAAGGCTCATCTTTGTGCCATCTGGGTTGAGGAGGGGGCTGTTGGATGCCGCGTTTTGTTTTGCTGCCTTCTCGTGCTGCTTCGTCACAATGCCACTCTTAAGCTCTGACAGCGCACGCTGTCCTTTGTTCAGAATTGGATTCGCTGTTGTTCTGTTGTCCATGTTCTTTATATCCACTTGGGGAAGCTCGTTCAGCGAGAGGTTATCCAACGGAAGGTCAATGTCCATTTCATCGGCGGAGCGTTCGGTGCCCAATGCTCTCAAATTGATCTCGAATTGCTTCAGCAAACGCTCTTCATGGATTGGTGCCATGTCGATAGAAGAGCGCTCAACACAAATCTTTCCCCGGCCATAGTCGGCAATCATGAATGGTGAATGAGTGTTGGTTTTTGTTGAAGTTTGTATAGCGATGCATCGTCGGATATCCTCGATGGTGACCTGGCGTTTACCCCACGACTGAGAAATGTGTGGCGCAAGTGTGCGTATGTCGATAGGTGAATTGTTGCCGTTATGAGCAAACTGGATCATAATTGTCTTGACAAACGACCGGTGTATGTCAACGAGCTCAGCAAGATGGAGAGGAAGTGCATCCTTGTCGACCGTGTGTTTGCGCAGCGTTTTGAATACATTGTCGAGTTTGGTTTGCACTGTCTTTCCTTGCCTCTTGCTCTCAGAAAGAGGCGTGGTCCCTATAGGCTTGTGGGCAGTTCTTGCCCTTGAAGGGGTTGTCTTTGCAGTTCGTTTGCCTTTTGCAAATGGTATATTCTTCTCGACCAGGTTTGCAACCAGTTCCTGGTTTCTTGATCCGGGCTTTATGGGTGTGGCAAGTTCATCGTCACTACTGGGTGCGAACGAGGCAGTCCGAGCCTTGGTTCTCGGATGGACATCTTCTCGGTCTGTGGCCGCTTTTCGTTTCCTAGTGGTTACCGAAGATGAAGTTTGGCCGACGATTTTCTTGGCATTATCGTTTGGGGTACAAGTTTTCGAGACACGGGTAAAGTTGGTGATGGAATGGCTAGCAGAAGGTGCAGCTTGGCTGCGCCTGGCCGGTCGAGGCATCCTCAAGTTTCTGTGAGAGTTGAAATATGTGAGGAAGCGATTTTAAGTGAAGGAGCAGATGAGAAAATCGAAATATCAAGAACGATCTTTGCAAGAAAAGATGTCGTGGTCATTAAGTAAGAAGACCCAATCACGGAAGTTGCAGTGAAGAGAATTGCGAGGATTGGGAAAGTAAAGGTGATGTCTTGGAAAGTGGAAGCCATATCCACAAAAAGATGGAATGTGCTCCGTCGTCAAGGGGAACGTGAAGACCTAGACGCGTTCTGGCGTGCTCATCGCGTCTCACACGCGTAAAGCTGTCCCACAAACTCGCGAATAAAGTTAAGTGGTGCACGGACCTTTCTAAATCCTCGTGAGCAGCCAGGCCATAAAGACAGATGCCTACTTGTAGAGGTCCAGTATGTAATATTGACCTACTAAGTGTACTAACCTAAGGTAGGCAGGTACTAGGCTGGTACTGTTGTATGCAGGTTCGCATCTCGGCTCCCGTTCCTAAACTTGGTCAAATTCTGCCCTGCTCCCGAGGTGTCGATACGAATCAGCAGGCACAACTGATCTGTATTTCTACGGCCGTGTTGTCATTTCTATAGGCTCTAGGTAGGTACGGTAGGTAAGGAAGGTACCTACCGACTTATAGTACTAGGTAAGTTAGGCATTGTCTGTTGTAGGCACTACCTAAGCTTCCGAATGAGATGTTCCCCTAAAGCCTCCTCCGTATGTCTATATGGCTCGAAAGTCGGTATAAGTGTTAAAGTCTGTCTGTACTCCTAATACAAGGGCAAACTGAACGTCTTTGTAACCCTAGCCGTGCTCCCCCGACACTGGCTCGGGTATTACCAGTAAAATTGTTGCTTTACAAGACTAGGTCAAGTACATTTTGATGTAGTGGCCTGATGGACAAGCACACGTACCTATATGTCTAGAGTATTTGGGGTACTCCGGAGGGCAGCTCAACCGTATTTGTATAATATGGTGGTCCAGCAGGTCAACCAGGGTTATTTGTTTCTCAGCACGCCAGTATTGGATATCATGATATCGCTTGGGTACACATGATTGCATTTCTAGCTCGCGAAATATTGTGTTTATATAGTACAAGAGCAGCAGTGATCGTTAGTTCTCTAACCTCATTAACAATATCTCTCAGAAGAACCAAGTGAGAGCTATACATGATTGACCGTCTAAAAGAGACATGAAGAACGGCACCTAGCTATAAAGCTTTTTGCTTGCTCCTTGGATCAAATCAATGCGCCGTTATCCGAAATCCACAGCCTTCATGATGGTTTGCATAAAAAACAACACTTCGTACTCCAATCATTCGATTTGCACCAAGACTCCGGAGCGCACTAGTATGATATCGCGATAACGCCGGCAGAACAAATAGCAAGCAATAAAACATTCTCCGAGGGCCAAAAAAATTGGTCTCCTGACCCATTTCTATGTACGGGGTACATGGGTAGCGAGGCTTCGCCAGAGCCATTTAAGTTCCCCAGCTAGAAGACTTGCAGCTCAGCGGCGGCCAGACGTGGTCCAATGTTCGGGCCTAAAGCTAACAGGACTGGGTGGGGGAGGAGCAGGTACGGTATAGTCATCCTCTTGGATATGATGGACTGGAGTTGAGGGGCGGTTCGTTTTGGTGGAAAGAGTAGCAGTGATACTGGTGTAGAGGAGGTCTTGCGAAGTGACGACTCTCATGTTGCGAGGCGCAGCCTGGATTGAAGAGGAGCGTTGACCAGGCATCTTTCTTTTTCGCTTCAGAAGACAAGAAACAGAGTCGGGTTTCTGGGTGAATGCGCTGTTAGGAGAATATCCATTGACGTGGGTGAAGCTGACTTATAAGTCAAGAGATACAGTACACACCAGAATAGAAACAAAGCGGCTTGCGTAAACTGTGGATATGTGATGGAGCTAGCCCCAGTGTGACTTTGTGATACACGTTAGGTCCGAATATCGTATCCTTAGGCTCGAGCGTACACTGATAGCAAGGTTTCTTCTTCCCTTTTCAAGTTTTCTGCGCCGACCTGAGGTTTTGAGGTCGCCACGGAAGGGGTATCTCAGCAGCCGGGATATCGGGCAATGGTTGCTGTTGTTATGTGAGGCCAGGGCTTTCAAGGTCCAAGTGAAAACAACTGAAAGATCTTGCGCGTATACAAAGCGGCCACGGTCAAAGACGAAGGAATGAAAGATCAGTATAAGCTTTTTCAGATAGGTAGGTAAGGTTAAGGTAGGGAAGATATAGGAAAAGAACGATCCGGGGAAGAGGGTGGACGGCCAGTTTATAAAGGGGAGGGTTATTGCTAGGGAAGGAGAAAAACGATAGGGATGGGATGAGATAAGTGAGGTACCGTATTATCGACGCAGCCCGGGTACCTCATCTCACAACCCAGCCTGAGCCTGATTTGAATGAAAACCAACCCAGGTCCCAACCAAAGCCGGGGCAGACAAGGGCGCCACTGTCATTGCACGATACCGACGCCGTCAATACATTACCAGCGAACGGCATTGACAGGGCGAGCCGGCCTATGAGACGACGACATAACAAGCCAACAACCTAACAAGGGCAAAAGCGACAAAACCTGGGGAACAGCCAACAGGGCGGGTGCCATGTCTTGGCTTTGGTGCTAAGGAAGCAGGTACATGTTTCTACCTGACCAGGTATCCATGCGCGGCAACACGGAGAAGAGGACACACACCATGTATAACATCCCTGACCTGGATACCCCCAGAAACTCCCGTGGCCCTTTCGATGAAGTCTTGCATTGTTTTGGCGTTTGCTAATGACGGACAAAGTTACTATGCACCTATCTATATATGTTCGTAGGGAGGAGACCACTTCCGCCCATCAGAAATCTTGGTGTGTATCGTTGAAACTGTCTTGATATGACAAGCACCACGGCGAGATTATGCAAAACATGCACGGTCTCTCCCCTTCCTCAAGAGCCACATTATCGAAGGGGGAAGGTATAGATACAAACACTGACTAGCAACCCATTTGAGTCCACTTAAAAGAAAGAAAGAAGGAAAGGCATTGGAGATGTGACTCTGATTTTGCTGGTTTACAGCCAATAACTGCCTCGCCCGTGACTGCCCTACATCATGCCGATATCATTGGAAGGACTTCAACCACTGAACAAGTGTGTTGTTACCAGGATCGCCCCGAACAAAGGTATCCCAGTTCTGTGATGCTGCCGCCTAGCACAGAAAGAAAACATCAAATACGCCTAAAAGGGGAACGACAAGACGGAAGGCCGACGTGCAAAGAACATCAAAGGTCGTCATCATCAGCTGATGAACGAGGCCTCGGTCTGTATCTCAGAACCTGCACAGAAGGAGAAGACAAGTATCAGATACGTTCATGATCCTACGACTAATTACGAACAAGCCATCGCCAGCACCAGCTTTCTGGACCACAGACAGCGAAACGTCAGTGAGGGAGATGCATGCCAAGCAATTTTCTTTCTGGTGCAATTCTGAATCGATTGTGGGGGCCATAGGCCTGCTCCCGAACAGACAGGCAGCCCCGGCTTCCTAGGCAATTCGATATCTTCTAGAAGGCCGGCCACTCGCCCAAAGCAAAGGGGTAAGCGAGAATTTATTGCTAGCACCGTGCGGTTTTGTCCCTGGCAGTTATTTGTGATTCTTAGTATCCAGCATTGACAGCAAACCAATCTTGGTCTCCGTGCCATGGATGGACCACAATCAAAATGACACTTTTTGAAATGATGCCTTGAAGGGCAATCGGTAAGCGCAAACCGGTGGATATTCAAGTCAATGGTCCGGAATATGCCCAGTCAAGCCGCGTTGATAAGAACTCAACACTGATCCATTTAATCATATCCCTGGCGGTGTATCGAGACACACCCTGCCACGTCGAATATGCTCAATGGACTGGTGTTGCCTAGGCGTAACGATACGTGCCACAACCTGAGTAGCCTGCCGTCACAGCACTTGAGTGTCTCTGACATAGCAATGGATGTCTCATTACATAACGGGCACTGAGGAATGTCTATGCAACAAACAACGCGGTAATTAACCTGCCAAACCAGGGAGATAACCACACTTTGAGTCAAAAGGGGTCAGTGGAATCACGACTGTTTTGATTAATCAGCCAACTGGAAGTTATTTACCGAATCCAGTGTAAGTAGATGGCTGAAAGCCGCATACATATGCATATGCGCTGAACACAAACGTCAGGCAGCTTACCCGTGGGAGAATCTGTTGAGGGATACGAGGCGATAGGAGGTGTCTGTTGCTCCGGCCTATGATTCCGAAAAGCTGGTCTAGCTTAGGAAAGCTATAGACTTTACCCGAGATAACCATGGAAGGCTCAGCGGATCACCAAACATACCATAATACCTCAAGAGCAAGAGGTTCAAGGCCCTGGGTAATGGACATAGTCGTCCCCTATGTGTATTGAACCATACCTAGGCTCCAGACGAGTGAAAGTCCGTTTTGTGTGTATAAGCGACTGGAGAGAAACATATGTATGACGATACTTCCAACTTATTGGTACATTATTCTACCCGCACCACTTGCTTTCAGCTTTTATTTCATGTATATCTGATTTCCCCACTGCTACTGAGTGAGGTAGAGTCGACTCCGTTATGGCCATATGTCAGCGCCAAAGGGACGCGACATAGCATGGCCCCAACAGGGAACCATTAGCGCTCCGGCGCCCCCGAGAACTGGCCTCGCCGTGAGAATTGGTGAATTGTAATACTTACCTTACCTATAACTCACCCCATGCCTATCCTGTCGTGTCTTTTCTGAGCAGGTAGCAGTTATGTTTACTGACACCTGTACTTGGCAGAGACTGGGCTGCAAAGGTTGGTGGGGCACCGGAAGATATGTCCGTGGTGGGGGGCTGGGGTTAGGGGGAGTAAGTTAGAAGCGGTAGTACACCACTGTACTGTAACCGGGATCTTACGAGATTTCCTAGATGTGATGGTTGACGCCGTATCCATGTACCTGGGTTTCCGGCTGATGTCTATTTACCTTCTGATCAGGGCGAGATCAACCAGGGGAGGGAAACATAGATATCGATACGTCAAGACGGTGGTTCGTACTAGGTATGATGAATGAAATTTATGGTGAGGAGGACCCATGGGCTTGTTCCTCTAACGTGACTTGCAAGGAACTGACGCCTTGCTATTAGGCAGCTGTTGAAGTCATGGTATACGATGAGACGAACGATAAAGATGTGCGGACTTCAACTTGAGCACAAGGAATGAGAGCATGCTCGTTACTCATTAACCAACGCTCCCAAATCGTGATAGATCCTGGACTCATAAGGGTGAAGCGTTCTGGTCACCCATCAAAGGCGTTTCATCTGGCATTCTGCTGTCTCATGGGATCAGTAACCCTGAGGGCTCTGCCGATGTTGTTAAGACCTTTTTTCCTTCGAATTGTTGTATGCAATATCCTATCATATTTGCTAGGTCTGCTTATGGTTATGTGCTTACAAGCCATGTCTAGAACAGCCTTAGATAAAAGGTAGATAGCTAAGTAAGGTCTGCTTATGATTCAGTAACTGTAAGACAGGACAAGCATCCGACTAGCTTATGAAATGATTGAGATGGTCTGAAACAGACATGCAGTATAGTGCTGTAATGGGAATGGGGGGTTGTATGTCAATATGTAGTTGTTGATAGCAGATTTGGCAAAGCGATATCACGGATTCACTACCATTTAGTGGTCCCACACAAGACAACCCATGCTTTATCAGTTCAGCAGTGATGAGGTACAGGGCCCAGAATCTTTTCCAATCACACTTGACAGAAATGGACAGATAAAGTCTAGCTCAATATCGACTATAGTGATTTGGGCTTTGCGTCCTTTCTCTAAGTAACAAAGTAGAGGAAGACATGATGGACCACGTAAGGAGCAGTAATGCCAGTGTCATCACGGCCGGATCATGTTTCACAGGAGAAGTAAGAACATGGGAACAAGAGTCGTCCCACAGGTGCATGAAAGAATCATGCGCTTTTGAACCCTTTTTCTACCTACAAATATAATTCTTTCCATATCATCATGCATGGCAACTATTGCAACTTCCATGATCCATGCCCAGACAAAAAGGGCCCCCTTCACTTTTCGCCTCTGTTTGTAGAAGCACTTCGCGCCGTCGTCGCAGTTCCAGGAGCTGCCTTAGTCTTCCGTCGTGTCGGCTGATAAACGTCGTTGAAGTTCATGGCAACACCAAGAAATCGCATATCCACATCTGGTTGATATGCAAGATCACCAAGGAGGATCTGCACACGAGTTCGGAACGATGCACCCAAGTGTCGAAGACGCTCTTGTAGAACGGGGAACTCGGAGGCCACGCCACCAGAACCTGTCATCGGCGTGTCACGGCCATCGTGATCATCGTTGTGTCGTGTGGTACTTCTTACATCGGCCTCCTGACGTTGCGTAAAGTCTGATACGCTCCAGCTGTAAAGTCCGTCAACAGAGTCTCTGTAGCTGAGCATGAACCGCAAGATTTCACCGAGCTGCATCATATATGTCGTGCGGTCATCTTCATCAGAGCTGTGCGTACGTCGTTTTGCCCCGAGAAGACCTTTGTGCGTGATGTCGTTGAGGTACCGTGTATGCGCCTTGATCAGGTCGTCCAACGTGCAGTCCTCCTTCTGGATCCGTTTTTGAAGTTCGCCCCACGAGGATTCGATGACCTCAAATAAGATGTAGTATTGGAGCTGGCCCACAAAGTGAATCATCTCGGCCAGAACGCCACGTGTTGACTTCCACGTTTGAGAGACGGCAGGGTCGGAGTTCTGAAGAACTCCACGAGCACCTGTCATGCACTTCCGCCAGGTTGACAGTACTGCAAATTCTACTCGCTTGATACGCCAGAGAAAATTGAAGACTTTCAGGTATTGTCTATTCCCCCACTCTGTCACTACAACATCGACAGGTGCATCGATCTTATATTCAAGGGTAAAGCAATCCCATCCGATATCACCATGAGATAGTTGCAGCATGCGGGCATCCAGGCGCCGTAGAACCTCGGGAGAGTCATACTGGGCATTTGATCCTCGGATAGCGTGTTCCAATTGCGCCGTTAAAGTATGTCTGTACTGTGCCCCAGCTGGACGGTCAAGGTTGGCAGCCAGAGATTCCATCAGGAGTGCAATAAAATCTCCCTGCCCTAGGAGGATGTAGTTCTTGAGCGCCTGAAGATGTTTAAATAAGTGAAACTTATTGGCCATCAAGTCGATAAGACGCTTCATGGTGGTCTTGTAAGCTTCATCGATCCAAGCTTCCAAGGTAGCTGTGTCGCCATACCTTAACTCTTTGGAAGCAGCTTTAGAGTAATCCTCAACCCACATGGCATCACCGCAGCTATGTCGGATGAAGTTTAGTGACTTCCCGATTAGAAAGACCTTCTGGGCAAAGTCCTGAGTAATGATGCTGGGGATCATGTCTGCAGCGATCTCGAACTTGTCCTCCCAGACATTGCCTGCGCCCTTTGCCTTCGCTTGGTCTTTGTCAGGAGCCTGCTCTCTAACGAAAAATTCCTGGAAAGGATCGGACAGTTCACCGTCATAAATCCAGTGCCTTAAAATGTCGTAAAATGGCCGTGTGAAACTTCTTAATAGTCTCTCTGCGAATGCGGCCACCACAGGATCTCCATGGGAAGAAGAGAAACTATGAATCAGGGAGACAAGCTGGCCCCCTCTGTTCTTCTCAGATTCCTCAGCAATGAGGCTCATTAACCTGAGGCCCATCGTTGCTTCGCGTGTCCATACTACACATCTTTTGAGTGTGACACCTGTTCTCCCAATACCTTCTCTTGGAGCCTCCTCGTCAAGAGAGGCAAGTGCTCTTCGTATCTGAGTCTCAAGAGTTGCTATCAAACTTAAATATGACTTAAGCTCACCGTGGATAGCAGCTCTGAGGCTTTGACCTAGAAGCCCTTTTGCAGGAGTCTTGCAAAATCCGTCGAGGCCGCGATAAAGCAGCGAGGGCTCAGCCAGAGTGTGAAGTAGGGAAATGATTGGTAAAGGAAGTGTCGCCGGTAATTTGATAAGATCTGATTTTGCGAAAGGTAGATTGGTTGATGATAGTCCCTGGAGAGTAAAGGGAAGATCTCTAAGGATAACCGACTCCGGAGGCTCTATTTCCGAATAATTATTTGCCAGCAAGGTTGATTTCAGTGAAACATCTCTTTTTGCTGGCTCAAGACGTGGATCCCCCTCCTTGCTGGATTGCTTGCTCTCTTTTTGTGGAACTTTCTTGAGTCCCTCTGATTGAAACGCCTCCTTGAATTGCTCCTCTTCAAATCGAGAGGCCCTACTGGTACGTTCCCGACCTTGCCGTTTGATAGCATCTCGACTGATGGCGTCTCGGTAGTTGGGCGCCGAAGGCTTCACCGGGCTCAGTGGGAGCGGTTCGCTAGGGTCTGGGGAATCAGCGAGCTGATAAAGTAGGTAGAGTATTGCCCATTTGTGTTCTAGCACAGGAAGTGAAAGCAATCGGGTATATAAATTCGAGAAGCGCAGAGCTTGGGTGGGATTGCTCTGAATGAGCTTTCGTTTTATAAGGTCGGAGGCGTGGTTGACATCAGAAGAAATGGCGGGGGAAACTGGGCTAGACCGTGAATGGTGAGTTTTGGCATATTGCTCGGATACATTTTAGAAAATGTACATACCTGTCTATTATAGATTTGACAATTTCGAAGCAAGTATCGTGACGTTCTTGCGCAACATCTTCAGGATCATTGGGATCACTGGGTACGATGTGGGTTATCAGGCTGTCAATAGCGTTGGTGATGCGATCGGGAGCCATGACGGCATCGTCGCGGGCCACTCAAGTGTAGGTATAGGGCTGGTGATCAATATAATTGCAGAGAATCTTTGTTCAGGAGGTAATTCAATCAAGAAGTTTATGCGCAGGCGAAAGTTCTGGGTAACTTGTCCAATATCAGCGTGATTGGGATCATGAAGCTCAGACGCGACAGGCGCGACAGACAAAGTTGGTAGTGATGCAGGGCGAGTTGCTTAGTGCCTTTTAGAGGTTGAATGTAGCGGGGACCTGGTCTCCCTCGACTATTAGGCGACGATTCAAGTACAAAAGACCTTAACAGTGCACTGATATATCCCTGGCTGGGTGTGCTCGCGGCAAAAAACCAACTACACTCGAAACCATCCATTCACCTTTAACCTCACGTCAACAGCAGAACGAGTCGCCCATCAACTTACACGACGCAACATGCCTTTTTCATCAGCTTAATGTCACCATAGTGATCGCATCAAAGCACCCGTTCGTTTCATCCAACTCATGTGTCTTTTTATCGCGCCGCGCCGCGCTATTTTGTCGCACGCGACGCTGTCGCTTATTCAACTCCTATCAAGATGCCAGACATCGACCCCGCGGCTTTGAGCCGTCCATCCGTCAGCCTCTCGACGCCTATTTTATCCAACAAGACACTTGCTGGGACTATCTCTGGTGCGCCAAAGATAGCAAAGTCTAGTCAGATCATTCCCGCCCGAATTGATCTCGAACCACTGTATACTGCGCTCAAGGCTGCCATTGGCAACGAGAAATGGGCAATATATAAAGAATCAACGACCGAGTTCTTGATAGGTAGATGCTACGACATCTATCAAATACACGTGCGCGATTGCTCACATATCTTTAGGACGCTTAAATCAGACCGAATATTCTGAACGAATAGACCCTATCCTCGCAGGCCCAGGGGACAAGGAACACCTACACAATAATCTCATTGCTGCCATATACGGAAATGTTACTCGAGAGATGCCCGATCAAGGGCTGGCACCCTGGGTCAGCGCCAACGATAAGCCTGCGGCGACGACAGGGACCAAGCCAGTATCCGGGGATGCTACGGAGCGGAGGTTGAAGGGAGATGTAATGCAATTGCCAACCCGAGACCGCAGGCGCATCAAAGATTTGGTCCAGAACGATGTCAGTGTCTCCATGCCGCCTCCTATCCAACTGCTGACCAGTAACAAGTGGGATCCTCATGAGAGCATATCCAACATCTTTGCAGACACACGTCGCAAACTTTCTACAGTAACAGATGCCACCCCGACAGTAGGAGGCATAAACAACATGAGTATGTATTCTATCGAAACGCTTTTACTTTGGCAAAGCTCTAACAAAGTGCAAGATTTCGACTTAGAAATTCGAAAACGTTATGCTCAACCTTTGGCGGTCGAATCTGGCGAATTCCCTGATATCAATATGATCTCTGGCCGAATGCTACCCTCTTGCTACGAGGCAGGACTGGTCAATGGGCACACAGTGGATGCCCCCCAGTTTCTGTCGGTGGCTGTGGAAACTTTTATCAAGGAGGTCCTTACGCAGGTCTTCAGCCGCACGAGGAGTAATGGACCTGGCGAATCAGGTAGTGCTGGGTTTGGCGTCGGGACAACATGGATTCAAACGCACAAGTACAAGCGACAGCTGGAATACGAAGAAGAAGCTGCGATACGAGGCGAAATCTCCAGAGACAAGAGCGGGCTTTTGCCGATTGAATCCAGGGCTGCGAGCGAAAGAGGCCCTTTGGGGATGTCCGATCTTCGTCTGTCCTTAGAGATGGCGGACACAGGCATGGCACAGTTCCCTGTGTTGATGACACAGGTTATATACGGATACCGGGAAGGGGAGCTGGAGAATTGGGACGACTATACCTGGGTGTGTGATCAACCACCTGAAGCCTATACAGACGAGAAACATGATTCAGAGGCAAACGGAGGACATGTTTTTGAGCTTGCGAATGGTTACCCTGATGCCATGGATATAGACACGGAAGCATGGTGGGAAGGTGCGGAAAGTCAGGATGCCGATATGCTGGATGGCATATTGGACTCGTGCCTTGCGGCAGGGTCCTGAGACGTGTCCGACGAAGCTCAAAATCTCGACTTGACTAACGTGGAGGTGGAAGGTGGACAATGCCAGACGTTACATCCATGCTGAGTCCAGCTCATCTGCATGCAACAGGGTGGACAGCGTCGATACCAGAAGCAAAAGGGCCCAACTCATCGAGCCGATTTCGCATATATATATATATATATAAGCGAAGCGTCATCGTTTGGCTGCGAAAAGCGCAGAGTGGCGTTACAACCAAGGGGGAAAGGAATATGCTAATAAGAAAGTACGGGTAAGGCAAACAAGGCGTGCAAGGAGCCGGCGTTTGACGAAGAGAGTCGTGATTCAGTACAACAGCTCGGAATCAGGGTCCAGACGAATGCATATAATCGGACGGCTTTATCTTTGGCGCAGGGGGTTTTGGCTGATCTCATTTTTGCTTCTTCATTTGGGTTGCGGTCGTGGAAGACTCGTTTTCATGGTGTTCATATTGTATGTATTTCTATCGCTCTGTAGGGTTGAAAGTCACCCCTATACAGCATGCTATCAAGAGGCAACGAAAACTTGCCGCGGACTGGAGTAATGGGGACGTAGGGGAGGCGGTGGGATTTTTGTACTTTTATCATTACAGGAACGATACCCGAGTAGCTCGATGAGAGTAAAGAAGAAACCGCTAAGTACCTATCAATGATGGCTTGAGGGCCACTCGTTTTGTCGTGTTAGGTTAGTAGTTGGAGGCCTTCTTATAGTTGGCCCAAAAGGGGTTGAAATCGAATGAAGTCATTGAATGCCCTTTAAATGAGAGTTAAGAGATTGTTGTCAGTTGGTCTATGAAGAAGTCATTACCTTATTAATCTAAGCGAATAGAACCTTGCTGGGAATGAACAATAGTGATAAAAAAGATAAATGTCGTAGCATGTTAGTTGGAATCCTTGCTACTGAGTTCATCGGAATGAGAGAACTTTGTCGGGAAATGCACCTTAACGAACTGCCAGAGCCAAATTGACGCTTTGATCAATATATTGGCCTTGAATGATGTTTGCATAGGACCAAGCAAAGAACTGTAGCGTTCAAACCAAACGAAACTTCTTAGCATGCATCCCTGCCATGCAATTCTCTATTGCCCACCGTGGGTGGGAACAAGAAATGTCGGGATTGTTAGGTGGCTAAGTACTAGCGAAGAACCAGCATCTTCATTGCATGCCAGAGTCGCCCGTAGATGGAAAGAGATGAACGCGGCGGGCCTCCGAGTTCCTAAGCCCCTGTGTTGTTTTGGGTGATTCTGCTTTGGGGAAATAAAGGCGTCAGCTCAGAAGCCTTGCTAACTAACACCAAGCCAGGATACCAGCGTCTGAGCTTGTGAAGAAAGAAAAAAACAGATACAACCTGGGGCAGCCATCGAGTCTTAAAACCCATCATAAGGGGCGAGCACTGACAAATGCTAACACAAATCATCAGGTTCTATTAGTATTGGAGAAAACTATTCTGGATTTGTGCTATGTGCTTCGTCTCTTGGGTTGTTACCTACCTTAGGCAGGCAGGCTTTGTAGGTCATTAAGGTGTCAAGAAGAGGGAAAGCATGATGGATGGATGCAACCAGTCACCTGCAGATCCACTCCAAGAAAAGGTTTCTCGGCGATGTCATGATAGACCATAAAGAATCGGCACGCACAGTAGGACAAAATCTACACAGTCCATCCAATCCTTTCATTGAAAGAGGAAGCTTGGATTCTTCCCAGTTCGGGAGCTGCACCGAAGAGCAGCAGAAGTGTCTGTAGAACAAGCGCCCGAGAAGCCCGAGCCCTCAACAGGTCCGTGCACATCTTTCTAGAAAGCTTCCCTGACGGCAACCATCTCCCAGCTCCCAATCATCCCCACTTCTCCCCATTCCGTTGGTCAGGTCTTTGGGTTTGACCAGAGAAGCTCCTTCTCTCTCTGCGCTGGGATCTATCTGCTCTACCTTACCGGCCTAGCTACCTACCTACCTTACTTTACATGCCCGCGCTACGACGGGAGACAATAACTCATCTGTTGTCTTTCCTTGTCCACCTGACTTTGTTCATCTTTTCCTGAATTCTCTCATCCTGCCTCGCGTTGCCGTTCCTTTCGTAGCTCGTTTTCTCAACACCCGCATTTGCTAAGCTCTTCATCCTTTGTATCTTCAACTTCCTCCATCGCCATCAGTCTCTTTGACGACGAGGCGGGGATTGGAGCAACAGAACCCCACTCACCTTGCTCGTCACCTCTTCCCGACCCCTTCATCATCCCTCTCAACATTACGACATCGTGAATCTCCAAAGCTGCTCGACATCCACCTTGATTCGCGAGATTCCTGTCGCCTTTTGATTTTCTCTGGTCTCTTATTATATCAAGAATTGGGCCCTTGTACCGCGCCTGGTCCCCTGATCTATAGAGCCCTACAGGATATCGTCATCCTGCTTGATCATATCTTCTCAGGTCGAAGGGTCTAGTTACCAGGATTCAACGTGAGTGATAAGCCTGTTTCTTCCTGTCCCACCCTTTCCCACCTGCAATGGAAATTTGGTCACAAGAGCTGTGCGCTTAGAGCTGTCTGGGCACTCCATTCAACGAGAAATCGTTGAGGATGGCCGGCTCTGCACGTATTAATTGATACCCAAGCTCTGCCGTTGCACCCATCCCCCCAATTCGAGTTCCTTTCAACGTTTCACCATCCCCTTCATCTTGTCCTCCGTAGCTTCATTTCTTTGATCTGTGCATGGGCTCTGCACCAGGGTCTTGATCTTAGGCCCCGCCACAACACGTCACTTTACAAGCGTGGATTGCAGCCCACGTCCAGCTTCACCTCTAGCGCATGCCCCCCGGGACTTTTCCTGTACGCAACATCCCTTGTCGTCCAGATGCCATTGATGTTTGTTCCTAGCTTCAGCTGCAGCTCTCTCTGACACTCCTACAAGCTTGTCTATCTGTTGATTTAGCCATAAGAGCGCCTCAGTAGCTGTAAGTCAAGACATCATTCCTGTGAAGCACCACGTTGCCACTTACTATTATCTCTTCATTTCCTACGCACATCCCTTGTTCGCTTTTGGTTCCAATCATTGACCTTTGATGACCCTCGCCCATTACTCGATGTATTTTCTATAGTAAACATTTTCAAAACTGGGAAGCTAACGAAACCCGAAAATAGACAATTGACGACGAGTAAGCTCTCCTCATTCGCCCCGCGATACCCCTCACCTGCGTCGACCTTCGATACTCGGCAGGGATCGATTCTCTGGCTATTTGTCGATAGCTTCAGAACACATCTGAAGAAAACAAACTTTGTTTCAACTCTAAATCATGTCTGGGCCCTTTTCCAGCCCCTTTGGGGAGAACAGCAACCCTTTTGGAACGGACAGGGGAAAGAGGACGAACACTGCAATCCATGCTGTTGCCGAAGAAGATGAGAACGATACCATCACATCTCCTACAAACCCTCGATTTGGGTCTTCGCCAAACTCCGCCTCCATGTTCTCTGGCCCTTTCGGTGGTGGTTTTGGAGGAGACTCTTCAGCTGAGGCACCTCCTCCATCGCGTAACCTCCCAAACCCCGATAGCTACCCTGCTCAGTACAATTTTGGTCGCCGAACATCAGTTTCTGCCGAATCTCTGAAGCCAAGTGCTGATTCATATGACAATTGGTCACCACCTTATCACGAGAAGTCTGCGGACCAGCTTGAACGTCTTAAACGTGCTATTGAAGGAAACTTCCTTTTCAGCCACCTCGAGGATGAACAGAGCGCTCAGATTCTGGGTGCTCTTGTTGAAAAGCCGATACCAGCTAAAGGTATCAAGGTGAGTAGTGCATACACGACGTTGAATCGGAATGCTGACAAGATGCTGTAGGTTATTAGCCAGGGCGATGCGGGGGATTATTTTTATGTCGTCGAGAAGGGATCTTTCGACGTATATGTCAATCCTACTGGCTCGCTTCAACCCGGTCCGGATGGCATGGGTAACCAAGTCGGCAACATTCAGGCTGGTGGTTCGTTCGGAGAACTGGCACTGATGTACAATGCACCTCGAGCTGCGACTGTTGTCTCAGCTGAGTCCGGTTGCACTGTATGGGCACTCGATCGTGTTACCTTCCGCCGTATTCTTATGGAGTCGACCTTCGCTCGGAGACGCATGTATGAGAGCTTCCTTGAGGAAGTTCCACTTCTTGCAAGTTTGAACCCATACGAGCGCTCCAAAATTGCCGATGCCCTTGAAACAAAGAAATTTGCAGCAGGCGAGGTCATCATCAACGAAGGAGACCCCGGCCATGCATTCTACCTTCTGGAGAGTGGTGAAGCAGATGCCTACATTGGACAGCCTGACAACAAGGTTCGCCATTACAAGAAGGGTGATTACTTCGGCGAGCTTGCCCTGCTTAATGACGCCCCGCGAGCAGCTAGTATCGTTGCCACGTCTCCAGTCAAGGTTGGTAGCCTGGGTAAGAACGCTTTCCAGCGACTTCTGGGCCCTGTAGAGGGCATCTTACGAAGGACCAAGTATCAGGGCGTTGCAACCGGTGTCGAAGAGATGGATCCTCTCCACACCGGCTAAGTCAATAGGGAGGATATATGAAAGCATGAAACTGAGGTTTGTTGGACACGCCGGGAATCCCCATCATTGGCCTTAGTAGTGCTGTTGGGTTTGCCTCGTGCTGGTTGGGTGTAAATGTTGATGGCGATGCGCCTAGGGTTGGGTTGAGAAATGAACGACGGAGGAATTAACTTTGACATGGCGTTTTGTGAGGTTTTCTACCACCTTCGCTTCCCTGAGACAAGTATTGCTAGTGATCAGAGACCTTGGTTGACATCAATATCATTATGCTATATCTCTCCACACCATGAGCAGTAAAAGGCAACGAGATTGAGATTAGAAAGTAACCATTGACGACCAATCTATTAAATTAGAGGAAATCCGTTAGACTTTAGTCTGTGTGGCTTCCTTGAAAGATTCTAAACCGAAGCTTGAAAAGACAATTTTGGTATCAAAACGCCTGAGTTAATGAGGAAAATCCTACAAACCGATCGGACTGCCTCTACATGTTCCATGTTAAGCGTACTAGTTACTGCCCCTGATCGTCTGTGGCCCTCCGCGTGAGCTCCTCCCGAATCTTCCTCCGAAGTTCTTCAACCGCAACCTCAGTCTCTAGCACCCGGCCGACGCCAGTGCGCCAAGTATCATCCAGTGTCTTGATCTCAGCCCCTACAGCGTCCTGCCTCTTCTGCCTCTCTAGGTTCACGATGTCGATTTCACGCTTAACGGCTACAAGCTCACGCTCCAGCGCCTGGAGCTCTGCCTCGAGTCCATGGTTTCCTAAGAGCCAAGCGTTCTTTCCCCACTTCTCCAGAAGCTCGAGGTTTGTGAGACGTGAGGAGAGGTAGCTCTGTGCGATAGCGGCAGCAGGCAGGGCGGTCGCTGGAGGGGCGCTAGGAGAAGGAGCCTCGTAGCGGCTTAAATCGAGCGGTGCGAGTGGCGTGGATTTGGAGACGCGCTCAAGCTCGGCTATCATGGCGGGCGTGAAGGAGGGTTCTGGATTGGAAGTCGGCAGGGGAGGTTGAGAAGATGCTTCGGCAGCGATGAGGTCACGGGCTGCGGCCAGAGCTTCCAGGTTCGGTTCCTGGTCAACATCTAGAGGCCATTTAGCAAAGGAATGAGTAAGGGAGACTTGGAGAGCATGACACTTACAAGGAAGGGATTCGTGGTACGCTGGAGGAACGGGCATCTTGAGTTGTGTGTCGCGGTGCGCCTCGTCAACTCAGGCCGACTGAAAGTGGTGAATCACTTGAGAAGAGGACACCAGGTTTGTATATATGATTTGTTTTCCAGCTCTTTCCGACTCAGGAACAGTATCTAGCTTTGAGCGGAAATGGTAAATTTGTACAGGCAGATATCTGAGATACAATTGCGATCATAGCCTTGCAGCCACAAACTTTCAAAATTATGAGTAAGGGCGAATAAGCACGGACCATGAAGTAGCCTTATCCGGTCTGTTCAATCAGCCTTGGTGGCTGAGCTTAGTGCAACATGCGGGGATAGCTTCCCCCATGTAAGTTTGTTTACTGGCTTAATCATGCTGAATCGGGATGGTAATGGAGTCGCACTCCACCGATGAACGGCAAGTAAAGTGCAGCAGAGACAGGGACAACGACGTCAACGCCACCAAGCCGAACTTATGTTACAAATATATGCATGATAGAAAACCCGGTCATTCCTATGTTCGAGGCTTTCTTGAGGTCTACAGCCATAACACAGGAGGATATTATAAAAGCAAATGTCTATCAACTGCTTTTTGTCGTATCCTTTGGCTCCTTAGTACTCTCACCAACCAGTATCTCGTCCTAATAATTACCGAAGCGAGTGAGTTGTACCAGAATTTGACCCTGCGTAAAACTCAGCACGCTCGAGCACAAGCAGGCTGCTCCCAGTGCTAGATATGTTGTAAGCGGCACTGGGTGTTTTGCTTTCATGGCATTACTACAAACCTGATAATCGATGAACAGAGTGGTGACCGACACTGCACAATCAAGTTGAGGATTTGAGTGCTCGTTAATCGAATAAGAGCTTGGTAATTTAATATTATTTTATGTAGGAGTTGAACGCGTGGTAAGGCTCCTTCCCGTCACTTAAGCTGTTCAAATTGAAAAGGCATCTGGTAATATTAGCTGTGCCTAATTTCGGCCACAAGCAGCCTTGTTGTTCGCTTCGGTGCGAAAGTTAGGATAGTTATACAGTAATACATCGTTCCGCTGGAAAGACTACCTTCGCAGGCGGTCATCAAGCCATGCATGATCCACGTAGAGATCTGAGTAAGTCACGAGGGTTTCAACAATTCCGCCGATATCCCTTCCCATATTCCCCAAGACATTTCATCCGGTGACCCCACCACAAGGCAGTTTGGTTTCTGTTATTTCATTCGTTTAGTCTCGTGTCGTTTCGTAGTTGTAAAGCAAAGATCAAGCTCGCGTCGCAATTCCAATACATGTGAACCCTCAAAGATGCCCCTGCCATCGTATATATGACAGCAAGCAGTGACTACCAATCTCTTGGTAAGGACTCGATAATCTGATTAGGATGAGGACCGACCGCTCTCGGAAGAGTCGGTCTTCGAGAGATCCTCCTGGTCTTCTTCCTCAGGGCCATGAAGTGACTCCTCGAAGACCGGCTCGGGCTCGTTGACCTCAAACTTGGTCTTGAGGTCGCTCACGTGGTGAGAGAAGCTGCTGCTGTTGGAGCGGCGTCTGGTGTTTGTGAAGGTGAATTGTTCGTCAGCGATGTCGTCGTTGACGGTTCCCCTGCAGGTCGTGTAAGTGAAATGTGGAGACGGCGACATGGGGGTGCATTGGGCTAACATACCAGTTGCCTCGACCAGAGCCGTCTTTCTTCACCTTCTTTGGGTCGACATCGGCAAAACCGTTCTTACCAAAGAAACGAGGGACAGTTTCCGTGGGGAGCGCGGTTCCCTCGGCAATACCCTTGTGGTCACGGTCGTTGGCCTTGTGAGATCGGGTCACTGTGAGCAGTACCTGTTAGTACCATGGCAAGACAAGGAAGTGGTCATAGGCTGACTTTTGGATTTTATGTGAAGGCGATATGAAGAAGAGATGAAATTGTGATGGTATGGCGAGATGAAAGATGTAAAATGATGATCGGGATGATGAATGATGGAAGGAGGGGTTGAGGTACGCGAGCATTGGAAGGGGAGCTCATCTGCTTTTAAACGGATTGGACGGGCCAAACGTCACCAACGGCACTCGCCAGTGAACATGAGCATGCCTCTGGAGTCTACCTAAGCTACGCCAGGTGCGGGGTGCCCAAGTACTCCGTGTATATACGTCGCTATACGGAGAAAGGGGGAAGCAGGCAGAGTAGGCGAGAAACGAGAAGGCTGCGAAGGATTTGAGAAACTCACTTTTGAACAATGGAGATATTTCAGAACCGGCACCAGGCGATTCGATAACACGCGGTCGAGTTAGGATGCGTGAGCTGGCGTGGAATTGAAAGAGGTGGTGTCGAATCTCCGAGTAGGTAGGTAGGTTGTCAAGGACTCAGATGAGTTGAGATGAGGGGATGGTTGTGTATGAGTGAAATATTGCGTAAGAGAAAAGGGGATTGTGATAGCAGGATTTCCAGTGTGTAAAACTGTTGATTCAAGACGAAGCAAGAGAATTTATCTGTGATCTAGGAACCTGCTTGTTTGGAAGGGGGTCTTGCCTTTATATCCCGAGAGTCACGCGAGGGACGATGTGTGATGGCATCACCTTGTATCCAATCAGCTCATTGCAGTCCGATGCTCCTTCCCGCCTACCCAGCATCATTTTACACGAGGGGAAGCTACGGCAGCTCCCCAAAGGACGACAGGCTTTCAATTGGACAATTGCGATTTACGGAGAACAAAGACGAGAGGCGGAGGGGGTCAGCTCATGAACGGACTTGATTGACCTTGCCTCATCATGGTCCATCATGGAAAGGCCAGGCCTGCAGATTCACCCAGTGCAAGGACCCACCTCTCTACCTCCGCTGTACTGATGGATACCAATAAGTGGGCCTCGCATGTCCCACCCCGACCGCCTATCGCGTGACCATGCGCAAGCAGCCGCTGGCCGAACTCTGCCCGTGGTCCAACAACACCTACCAAGCTACAGTTTAACGTACTATGTAGGTACAGCTTAAAGCACGTTACAACCTACTGCGGGGGACAGCTTCCAGCATTCCATTTGCGAAGGAACCTAGTGGACTGGCAGAGAAACTATCTGATCTCAAGTGAGACTCCAATTGAACGTAACAGACGTGAAAAGTACCTATTCAATTCCATCATGATGTCGCTCTCTGTGCCATGTCTCCCGATCAATGCGTGGAATTGAATTCAGCCCCTGGCCTCCTCTAACCTCTCAAAGCGAAGAGGGGTCATGCTATGTGCTCCAGTGCTCTTGAGTCTTTTCTGGGAACACCATTAGGTTTCCTCAAACACTAATAGAATTGAAACCTACTGATGCTGAAATGCAAGGTCCATAAATTCGTGAACCTCGATTCTCGATGGTCTGAATTGGATTATCACCGTCCTTGAGGTATAAAAACTTCTTGGCATGGGACTGACCTCACGGTCCAGTGTCAATGCAATTGATATCGGCATCCATGTTTCTACAATCAGTACAGGTCTTATTAGCCTTTGACTCTTTCTTGGCTTTTTGGCTGGCCCCAGAGGTTGAAGGCTTGACCCACAAAGTCATAAGTGACAATCCCGCTTATAATTATGGGACCAGATCTGGGGTAAGCCGGTAAGACACGCAGGTACCGGCGGCTTGTCTTCCGCTGAAAGTGATATTATACCATCCATAGTAGATGGTAATGGCTTGTGGCGATGGGCAAGAAAAGCTTATTGAACAGTGGGAATTGCACACGGAATCTTTCTACTGAAAGATATGCGCTGCGATACCCCGCCTTTAGATAACCATGTGGTTCACATACAATCATACAATAGGGAGCTATGACACCTTACGTTGGACTCAGCCCCACCATACACGGCTGAAAGATTATACGTTCATCCCTAGAGGAAATCATGAGTCTCAAAAAATCAGGCTTAGGGGAAATGGTATTCCAGGTTTGATTATACCGTCTCCGATACCGCCCCGACCTCGTGTCTGCTCGACTCAGCCACCAGCGATCAATGGATCTTACAAGGACTGACTTAGTGCCAACACGAAGCTGAAGAGCACATGACCCCTTCTCATCGGCCCATTCTATATACCACCGAAACCCGCCAATCGCAGGCGCCAATCGAATTCAGAGCTCTTTTCAACGCTTATCGGTGACTTGAATCCGTTTTCAGCATACTTGAGAGGGTTTCGATATCCAGATCGCTACTCATGACCCGAATGGAAACCCTGAGCAGGATCCTCTTGATTCTAGAAACGCCGCCAAAGACTCAGATTTGAGATCTTGTGACCTTCCCCACTGCTCCATTTTATTGTCGTAATGCCAAACAAGGCCAACTTCTTCACAAGCCATCAAGAATCACTAAGGGGGACGAAGGAACGATAACCAGGTCTGTGTACCCAGCAATATGATGAAGGTTATGACAATGTAAATTAGATAACAAAGACCCAATGAATATTTTGTTACGTATCTTAGTATTGCCTAGACTCGGTCATGCACCCATCATAAGAAGAGATCTCTTTCGGCGTTTTACTCCTGACATTTAGCATAGGACTGGCCGAGTTCGAAAGTAGTCTACGAAATTACAAGGGCGGGAATCTTGAATAACTCGCTTCTCCACGTACTGCCACCATGAATAGACCGGAGGAGGTGTCCTTAAACCGCTGGGATCAATACTATACATAGTATTATCTCATCGTTGGCGTGACCGAGCAAGATCCTCCTATCAGGTAGCTTATCCGGGAACTTCCCCAATGGATTTTTCACTCGCGGCAACGGGGTTATCATGGATGCCTAGACTAGATCATCCGCTATCAACACAGATCAGTTAACATTGAAGCCCGGGTTGTCTCATATGGCTGGGTTGCTTATACATTGAGACTCATCAAGCACGCGCCAAATTGGCTTCTCTTAATTGCTGGTTTTTTTCCCCTCCCTCGCCGTATCGAGACGACGTCTAATACAACCCCTTTGCTTATTTAATAAAGAAATATCGTCGACATGCGCCTCAATGATACAATTGTAGCGTCATCCTCGTCCCAGAAAATGCCCATTCTGCGTAATCAAACAAATAAATTTCTCCCTCCCCCTCTCAGCATATCACCTGTGCATATTACAATAGGCCCCCATTTCCTACCGGTGACCCATCTTGGAGAACTCATTCTGATAACGCAGCTTGAATCCGTTGCATAGCGCTCGCATATCAGGATATTGATACCCCTTGAGCTCAAAGCCCTGTGGAATCGCGCGCACCGGCAATGCAATCACCCTGGCCGACCTACTGGCCTTGAAGCACAACCAAAAGTATCCAGGATGCTTCGTGTCGATGCAGAACGCGTAAGCCGATCGGTTGGGATTGGCGTCGATGTACGTCGTAAGCCATTTTTCTACATCTATCGTTAGCATCATATCTTGTCTGTGAGCATCAGGGTGTGTGGAAACTTACCCGTCTCTCCCCGGGATCGGTTCTGATACTTATCGTGTCGCATCAGTTCCTCCACTTTCCGCGCCATGGCCTTGACGTGCTCCACGATCAGTTCGTCCAGGTCAGTGTACGTATATTTGCCGCCCACGCGCAGCAGCTTGCCGACCGAGAATTCTGTTTCTTTCTGCATCTCCAGGACGTCAATGTGTTGGTAAACACCGTCCGCGACCTTCCAGGTCACTGCCAGATGATCGTTACCCTTGGATGAGGGTCGAATGATAACCTCCCCGTTGGGCTGCGATCCCAGATATTCTTCTGCTTGCAGGCCATTGAATGGTTTGAAATTGGGGTGCTTGACAACACGCTGGGTTCGTCCGGTGGTCTTGTCCTTTTCTCGCAGTTCCTCTTTATCTGCTGCTTCGAGGGCGTAGTCCCACCCATCTCGACCGAGGTTGATCGGGCGCTTGTACGGAATACGTAGGGTTTCTTCCCGCATTGATAGCTTGGCCATAAAGTCTTTATAATTAATGTCCAAAATCTTTGCCTGCGTCGTTTGTCCCGAGGTCAGGGCATCCTTGATGGACGAACGATGGCTGACTTCATGACCCTCAATACGACCTTCGATACCACAGTCGAGCTTAACAATGGCGAAGTCATCCTTCACAACCCGAACATTGATGGGTACAATCATGCCTTCGCATAGAGTCTGCTTGGTCTCACCAGTGAACATGGTGAAGATCTCGGATGCTGACAGGAGAGCAAAATTCCGTCGAAGTTCTTCGTAGGGCGCCTGGAGTTCGGCACGAATTGTCTCCAACGTAGCTCGCTTGCGCTGGCTGTAGTTTCTCTCCAATTGCTCTGCATACTCTTCCAGGACTAGCTCGTTGACCTTGTCTTGTTCATCCTGCTTGAACAGCTTGCGGACGATCGCTCCGGGTCCATTCTCGTCAGTTTCGGCTTTGACATCCTCTTCATCAAGCTCAAGAGCATCGGCAGCCATTTTACGTCCGAGCTCATAATCTTCAGGATGAACTCGTGTGTTATCTAGGGGATCCGAAGCAGGATTTGTGGCCTCGTATTCGATAAACAGAAAGCTTGCGCAGTTGTTCCAAACTCTGGGGCCAACAACAGGCAGCTTGCCGCTATCTGGATCACCCACGAGTTCATCCCTTGTGCCTACAGCACCGCCATTGGCGTTGATGGCCTTGATGACGCTTGTTGCCTTGCGGGGACCCAATCCAGACACGTAAGGAAGAAGGTTGGCGGTATAGGAATCGTTCATGGCCTCGTTGATATCAACACCGCAAAGGTTGACCATGTCAACCATGGCGGAGTCGAGGTATTTGGCCAGTTTGTCAGGTGGGAGAAGGTTTTGGCAAGGGTGGTAAGAAATGGAGGCAACGTCTTTGCCGAGAGCAGCATATTCCTTCATAGGGTTCTGCATATATCGCGCCAGAGCAACACAGTACCTCGTCACAGGATTCAGACTTGGGTGCTCAGCAAGTGCACGAGGGCTATCCTTGTACAAACGAGCGACCTCATCATTGACCACCACAACCTCCAGTGGCTCTGTTCGATAGTCATTGGTGTCTGGGTCCTCAAACTCAGGGCCCATGAGGCCCTTCTCGTTGACAAGGCTCTCCAAGTCACGTACCAGCTTAGTCGTCTCAGCAGACCAACCGCTAACACCAATCACATCGGGTCGACGACGCTTGACCAGCTCCTCGAACTCTTCTCGTTGGCGCTCATCTCTGGCAAGGTTCCCAAGCTTTCCTTGCTCAATCACACGGCCATCTTCCTCAACCCATGCCCAGCAGATGGGATCGCGGGCAGGATCGGCCATGCCATTGGAGAGAACTAGGACACGAGGCGTAGTGCCCAGTATCATGCCCTTGGGCTTGTAGGGTGCCTGATCGAGCCGTTTTGCATATTCTTCTCGACACATCTTGAGTACCTCATCTTGGCAGAAAGTTCGAATGACTTCTTTGACATTCTTTGCAATAATCCTTTCGAGTTTGGGGTATGCAAGGTCAAGTACTTTCTTGCGCTCTTCTCGCCACTGTTCGGCCCGGTCACTGAAGTTCTCAGACTCGAACTCCTGATAAAGTTGTCTCCGGAAGTCATATCGGGCTGGCATATCAAGCTTGATAGTGACAAGGCCTTCCTCCTCGGCCTTCATCATCTTGAGGAAAAGCTCTGGTTGGTGGACCAGATCAGCAATGGCTTGGTTTTGCAAATACTTGATCTCATAGTATGGGTGAGAATCATCGATTCTACGTAGGCCCTTCTCAGTTCGTCGACAGCTGATCTCAGCAGCTTGGTAGTACGAATTTCGAAAATGTTTGCGCATCCTTGGGCTTGCAAACAATTCTTCCGAGTACATCTGTCGAGCTGCGTTGATAACTTGGTCGCCTGTGTCGAAGTTGTCGTCAACCAAACTGTCAGCCAGGTCCATGGGATATTGAGCGTCATCATCAGGAGTGATCTTCTTTCCATGTCGCAAGGCGTTCTTGGCAAGCTGATCCGCTGAGATTCCATAAGCACGGACGAAGCTATAGGCCTTGCCTTGGCGGACTCGTTCAAGCAAGTTCGATTTTGAGCCCGGCCGTTTTGTTAATGAGAGGTTTCCAGCCATAGCAGCAAGGTCCTTGAGCTGTGGACCGTACTGGAACTGCAAATAGTCTTGCAAATCTTGAAGTTCTTCCATGGTGGTCGCCTCTGGAATCATCTCCTCCACAATCATGTCGTGAATTGCCAATCCTTTGAGGTTTTCAAAAGTCTTCTCGAGAGCATTTCTCTTGTCCACAAAAGAACGAAACTTGATGTCCAATTCCAAAATCTTCCAAAGGTCGTCTTGATTCAAGAGCTTGTCTGCACTGATGACGTATTCTGGCGCATCAGGGTCATCACGATTCGGGTTCCGTGTCTTTCTGGTGTGAAGCAGGTAGTCTTTGCGGTGCTGGAACACATAAGGCACCTCAACTTCGTCAACAATGAAGAATTCGAGGACCTTGCCAACAGCTTTGCCGAATGGGATCTGGAGGTCGGCCGCCAAACCTTTCTTTGGCCACAACTGGTTTGTGATCCACCTTGCCTCCTCCCTAAACTGCTCTGCAGTAAGCTGAAGGGTCTTGAAGCTCTTCCGGTCGAGTTGAAATCGCTCGGGCTCGTCGGTGAAACGAATCTCGTTATCTTCGTCGGTCAAGAGCTTCTCTTTAAGTTGCGACGGCTCGAATACGTCCTTCAGCTCAATGGCCTGTTCCTCTCTTTCACGATCTTCCTCCTCCTCTTCCATTTGCAGCGCCCAATCGTAGTCTTCGCCATTACCGAAGATGGCCTCCATATCGTCTAAGGCATCCTTATCGAGATTACCAGTATCGGTGATATTTCCAATAACGCGATCTCTGGGGCGAGCAACCTCCGCATCTTCTCGTTGTTGTTCTAATTCCTCGGGGTCTTCGGGGAAATCCTCTTCGATGAAATCGTCGAACTCGTCGGCTTGGCGGTATGATCTGCCGTACGGTCGCTGCTCGCCTGCGTCTTCATCCTCGTCCGAGAAGATATCGTCCAGGCCACGGCGTTGGTTTCCCCGTTCTTCGTCGCGGTAACCACGCTTGAGGCGCTTGAACTTGGACTAAATACGAAGTTAGGGGTGCTACTAGGTCATGGTAGTTTAAGTGGCGTCAGGGGAAACTCACCTGTGTTTGGGGCTTGGGACGCTCGCCGAATTGCTCGCCGATGAGATCCAAATCTTCTTCATCAAGCTGCTCCTCCTCTTCACGGTCGCGATGTTTTCGCTTTCGTTTGTGAACGGGGCGCACATCGCCATCTGATTCGCCGCCTTCCTCCTCGTCCTCATCCTCATCAACAATAAAGCCTTCTCGGACCTGAAAGTAAGGAGTTAGAGAGCGTGTCGTTGCGCATAGTTTATGACGATACCAACCTTGCGAGCCTCTTCCTCATCGTCGTCATCTTCCTCCTCCTCACTAGAGTCTTCCACGGCAGCCTTTCGTCTGCGCTCCTCACCACCCTCATCAAAAGACTCATCCTCTTCCTCGTCATCAAGTTCGGCCTCGCCGGAAATCAAGTCGCGCATACTGTTGCTCATCTTGGCGACTTGCGATGCTGCCAAGCAGGCAACAAAGCTTTCTTTGTCTGCTGTAGTTGTCGGTGATTCGAGTTCGAGAAAATTTCGAAAGAGCGAGTATTTGGAATCTCGAGGCTTTTCGTTATAGATAAAAGGACGACAAGAAAAGGGAATTATTATTCGTGCTTTTGTTGGAAAGCTTTAGGTATTTAGGATTTTTTGGCGATGCGCTGCAGAGCTACACGTGCAGCCTTGTCGCGACTGGCAAGGATGCAAGAGCGGTGGCATGATAATCCGCTTCCGACAAGCGGGTGATTGAACAGGAACCGCCAACTCCACTCCTACCTACCTCTGGTAAGGAACTCGGATACAGCTCAACTGATCGCAGACTTTTTGGCCATTAACAGCATTATCATATTTTTTTTAGGCATACTTTGACCACCCACTAGGCATGTAGGTATGTTCATATGTTTGCCATTCGAACTTCACCCCTACCTCGTACTGTGCTGGCTAGTGGTCCAAGTGTTGTTTAAACATGTTTGAATCGCCCGGTGTCTGATCCATCGTCTGTTCTCATGCTTCGTTTACTTTTGTATCCCATACCATGAGACCCCTATTTTAATCACCCTTTTATTCTTCTCTAAATGTCGCCATAAATATCCTGCGGGGTTGGGGATTTTTCCTTTCTTAAGATCAGACCATTGCAAATTCTTGTGAGATATTGAAGTTTCGCCTATAATCGGGGTTGGATATATGCTGCCTTCAGACTACAATGTCAGAGCTTTGTGCACTTCTATAGTATCCAGGGCGAGCGATATTGTGACTGATCTAAAATATTCAAGAGATGCTTTATAGGTTCAGAACACCTGAGCCGAGTACGGAATTGTGTCGTATTAGTCTGGACTAATGATTTATCACAAACAACCGACGACCACTATCTTATCACGATTATGAATCGATAACTGTACGGAGCTCGAGGCGTGAAGTGTCTCAAGTTCCGAGAATTTGGCCAGTGGCCATCCTAGCCTAGCCTAGGGTCCTACATAAGGTACCCAGACAGACAGGGCATCGCGCCTCCTGGACGTTGAACTCAGGCTCAGGCCTCGCCTCGTAGGGAGATGTACCATAATTACTCCGTATTAATGGATAATGGATGCTGGCCTCCGTGTCTGTACTCCATGGTGTCCCCTTATGGCGAATGAATGGCCCACTAGATTTCAGGTACATAATTTCAAATCCGACACGCAGTTGCTGTAACTCCTTACACTCTTCATGGTTTTAAAAAGTCGTGATCACATCTCCTCGCCAAAGTCTCCCGTTCCCCCCTTTCCCCCATCTCGTTTTACCGCCCAGCTCTGTCTTCCTTTTGTGGTTTGTTGCGCCTCCAACTCCCTCAGAGCGCAACTCCAGCCACTCCCGTCACGTTGTCGCTGGCTAGACCCCGCCCTCCACTGTCCGCGCCTAACCAGCCAGAAGCTGTGAAAGAGACTGGGACAAACCCCCCATTCGCAATCTTCAGCGACGCTTTGCATAGACGCCCCTGATAAACCACGATCAACTCTGGTCGAAAGGTTTCTCTGTGTTTTTTTTATCATCGCCATCAACGACCTTGATTCTTAGCGATAGAATCTGGACCTCTCGCTACGGCCCGAAATTAACGTCTGCCAGCGCTCGCATCATCTCGGCGGTAGGCAAGGACAAGACGCTTCACCTGAACTGCGTCCATTCAAGCTTGGATACCACGAGCAACTCTTACGACTGCTCGGCCGGATCGATATTCTTTGCGGCCTGGTGCGGTGACTCCTCTGTTCTAAGCATCGGAAGCCGTCCACCCGTTGTCAGTCACTACACGATAAGACCAGCCCGATTAAATCTTCGGCTTTTGCAGCACTCAGCTTGCCTTCAGTTTTTCGAGCCTCTTTCATCAGCCGAGCTGAATCTCGCGCTCTACTCTCCAGAATGGCCGACCCATTTGCTCCACGCTCTATGAAGCGCAAGAACGTCAAAGGACTTGCACTCAAAGCGGCTGCCCCTCGACCCCCACCAACCGCCGAAACCAACCATCATGAGTACAGCGGAAGCCAAGATGCAGGTAAGGATGAACAGTTGGAGATCGGTATCGAATACAAGTTGGACCTAAGACCCGAGGATCTCGAAATTCTTAAGGAGTTGGGATCTGGTAACGGTGGTACGGTCAGCAAAGTGAAGCACCTAACAACGGGAACTGTCATGGCTCGCAAGGTCTGTATTTTGTGTCACTGAATTAAGGGGTTTTGTGTTAACCTATCTGGCAGGTTATTCATGTGGAGGCCAAGCGAGAAATACGGAAGCGAATTGTTCGAGAACTCCAGATTATGCATGGCTGCCACTCTGACTACATCGTGACATTCTACGGTGCTTTCTTAACCCCAAATAACGATGTTATAATGTGTATGGAATACATGGATGTGGGGTTAGTTTGATATGGGTACATCTATGGCGATATGATAGCTGACACTAGACCAGTTCTCTTGATCGAGTCTCGAGAGTTTTTGGCCCCGTTCGAGTCGATGTTCTGGGTAAAATTGCAGAAGCGACTCTTGGTGGTCTGACATACCTTTACACAAAGCACCACATCATGCATCGTGATATTAAGCCATCCAATATTCTCGTTAACTCGAGGGGTTCGATCAAGCTTTGCGATTTTGGTGTTTCTGGCGAGCTTGTCAATTCTATCGCTGACACCTTTGTCGGAACTTCCACTTACATGGCACCCGAAAGAATTCAGGGTGAGAAGTACACGGTCAAGTCAGATGTCTGGAGTTTTGGTCTGAGCATCATGGAACTTGCTATTGGCAAATTTCCTTTTGCTGCCAGTGAGCAACTCTCAGATGGCGATTGCGCTCCCGCGGGTATTCTGGATTTGCTTCAACAGATTGTTCACGAACCGGCTCCCAAGCTTCCAAAGAGTGATGCTTTCCCTAGCATTCTGGACGATATGATTCAGAAGTGTCTTTACAAGGAACCTGAACGCCGACCAACCCCCCAGGAGCTATTCGTAAGAAAGATTTCCAATCTTGTTTGTTTTGACATGTGCTAATGTTGTCAGGACCGTGACCACTTCGTACAAGCCGCCAAGCGTACTCCAGTTGATCTTAGAGAGTGGGCTGTCGGTATGATGGAGCGTGATAATAGAAAATCCCACCTGGCGCCTCAGCTCTCTCCTGCAACCCAGGATCTTCTGCGCTCAAGTGACTCGCCCACCCAGTCCCAGCAGACACAGGCATCGGCCCAACCCGAAGAACGCTCTCACACTCCCACTTCTGGCGAGATCCCAATCGGCGGCGCTGGTATTATTTCCCCTCGTGATCAGTATGGCTCTGGCCAGAGCCGATCACCGCCTCGCAACGGATACCCTTCTTCACGCACGCCAGCTTCGGCGCACCCCGGACTTGGACCCAGGGTTGTCACCACGAATTCTATTCCCAAGGTTTCAGGCTATCCTGACAGTGCTGGTCCTGTGAGCGCGAACGCTGCTACCTTCAGCTTACCTGTTCGACCAGCACCTCCAGGCGGACCTCTTCCCCCTCCGCCACCTCGAAAAGAGACTCCCGATGAGCTACGAAGGGAGAACCGGAGACAGGCAACGTTTGGGTTGCCACCTAACCCTGGATATAACATATCTTAAGGCTACGCTTTTCGAATTGTTCCCTGAAGCTTCATCTCCCGGGATAACCTTGCCGAAAATATTGGGACAGCGGCCTAACCCTGAAGATCATTTAGCATACCTCGGCGCACTGTTTTGAAACCTGCAGTGGTCTCTGGCTAGATCACTACACTTAAATCACTTCATTATACCGTCTTCAAAACCCAAGGACCTGGTTTAGATTTGAGGAGGCGAAGATCTGTTGATCTCGATTCCCGAGAGTCTATCTGTTGTGTCTAGTGTGGAGGAGAGTCATGTACAGAAACCGGGCCCATGTAGGAAACCTAAATTAAATCAATTCGCGGTTGAGTTGGCACCGTGAGATCAAACACCGGCGAAAAGAGGTGTGACAAGTTGTGATTGACATTTGTGAGCTGACAAGGGCTCGCGTCGACTTCTTGCTATTCTGGGCTAGCGTCTCTTCCCACGAAGCCTTGTTCAAGGATATCAACGAGCTCATCCAGCGTAGTAATGACCAGATCAGTATGGGCATGTTCAGCCAATGCTCGATTTACGTCATTCACGAGCAATACAGTAGCCGCGCCAGCCATTCTGCCTGCGGTCATGTCGTCGATAGAGTCGCCCACCATGATAAGACCACTGGCGTCACCCTCGCCAGATTCGCCGTGTAAGCCCCAGTTCTTGGCGATGTGCAGGATACCGGCAGGATCAGGTTTGGGGGGGCGGAAGTCTCGCGTCACGATGGGATGAAAGCGAGAGCCTTCGAGAAACTTCTCCATAAGATTCTGAACAGGGACATCAAAGTTGCGTGTGCATATCGCCTTGGGGATGGCATTGGCGTCGAGGTACGCCATGAGGGTCATCAGACCTGGTTGAGGAGTCTGGGTCTTCATGGCTTCGCGCTCAATATTGCGGATAGACTCAAGGGCAGTCCCTTGTTCGGATTTCGGGAGAGTATCAATGTGCTCGAGTATGTCTGTTGTTTTTGTAATTCCTAAAACATCTCTCATTTCCTTGAACATGTATGTTTGAGGCTCGCTATATACTGGGTTAGCGATGCGTTCGTTGTGCCAACTTCTCTTAATATGTTGAGAATAGTATGTATGCTAAGATGAACCATCTTCTATGTGTTTCAACCACATCGGATAGCGGAACAAAGAATATCATCAAGTATTCGTTTGTAGGAGATATGTGAGTCAAGGTTAAGTGCGGGAAATTTCCGAGCCACAAAATAAGAGTAGAGTGAGTGCAGATCTTACCAAAGGGTGCCATCCATGTCAAAGACCACTCCTCGAAGACTGGGGGTGCCGGCAGGAAAGCTATGCTTGCCCTTCTTCAGTGGTATGAATCGCTTCGGATGTGATGAATTCATGATCGAGACTAAACGGCGTAGCACAGAACTGAGCCTGAGGCGCCTTAAAGGACAGTAGAGGAAGGTTGATTTCAAGGTCGAGAGTTCTCGGGAAAACTATATGCAATTATGGAGTCAATGGAGTATCCCTCCTTGCTTCTTCCTCTCATCGATGATAAAAATGAGACCAGTTGGCAATGGTAATGAGTGCTTTGACTCAGAGATGACGCTCTTATTGAGGTGGAGACAGAGAGAATTCGGGGCTAAGAGTTCTTACCTTCCCTTAGGTTACCTACCTGTTCCAGGGACTACACCTACCTGAGGTATCGAATACATGTACCTATAGTTTGTTGGCCACGGTATATTGCGGCACAATTGAACAATCATATCTAACAAATGCTTTATTAGCATCAGATACCACTGCACCATTTGGACAACAAACCGCTTAACAACACTAACTTAGGTACTGAGGCAGGACTGATTAACGAAGCCACTGTACTTCTTCATATCGAGATATGGATATTTCCAATTCATCGATACAGTATACTAAAAGGGCTCTAGAGTTTATTATAACGCCTCTTCCACTCTCTTCCATTCGTCTATGTTGACGAATACCAGCTATCATTTCAACTTTTGCCGAAAAACTCTGCTAGCTAAGGAACCTCATCAAACGGCTTTATAAGCGTCTTTCATTAGAACTGCAGTCTGTTCTCCTCGCCACTGCCATCGATTCATACTCATCAAGTCCAACTTCGCGACCATGCTTCGTCCCAACAACCACAAATTGACAGCTTTCATGTCCAGTGTTGAAACAAGGCTCAAATACCTCCCAGTCGACCATAGGCCCCAGCCACACAATGGCTTCGACTTTTAGACCCTGCTCAGCGATGACTTTCATATATTGCGAGATTAAAGCAGGTTGGCGTGGATAAACGAACATCAGAGCTGTCACATCTGAATCCTGCAGCCTCGAAGTGACATCCCAACTACCACGAACAGTGTGTATGGCTTGTTCGGGAAGATAGCTGTTGACATGGTCTCTCATACCAAATTGCTGAACTTCAACTCCTTCAATGTTAACCATAGCATGATCAGAGCTACTGCGTTGGCGTTGCGAGTTTATATAAGCAAGGAAAAGAGCTTCCAGTAGACCGGATCCGCTTCCGATCGAAAGCACAGTTGGCGTTTCTCCTGGAAGCTGTTAGTCAGTCATATACCAAGAACAGCTTGCCTTAGGGAAGGGGTTCCCAGACTTTTGGCATGGTCTAACAGAGGCGTGGTGTTGGGGATTGCGTTGATTAGGTTCCGGAATAATTTGTACGAAAGGCTTAGACAACAATCCGGAGTGCGGATAGGTGCTCCTTGCAAGTCGAGCTCAGGAAGGTCCATGTTTTTTATGGTGGGCTTCGAATGAATGAATCAAATACAATAATATTAATAGTAAAGTCTGCTCAAATGCACGTTGGAAACCCGACCCTCAATTTTAGAGACGAGGTGAAGTCTGCTCATAACGCTAGATTTGTTCTGTGGGTTTGTCGAAGTGGCGTCCGGCCGTTGGATGGTGGGTGTAACACCAGAGTCAATAATTCACCTCGCAAGTGAACCTGTTTTCATTCGAAATAAGTTCCTTCACTGCAGGATCACTTTCTTTGTGATCAATCGACTATGGATGGAAATGCAATGAAAAACATGCATCTCACACAAACCAACTACGAAGAGGTCGAATCAGACTGTCAGAATGTACCGCCTACCAAGTTCAACACCTGCTTTCATACCGTCGAAGAAATTCCAGCACATGAGAGCACGAATCATCTTTCACGTCCGTCAGAAGCACCTTACTCCTTCGAGCGATGGCTACCCCTGGTTCTAAAAACACGAAACCTCGATGCAAAAGTTGCACAAATTGTCAAACTCAGACGAGCAGAGGCCAAGCTCGTTGTAGCAGCTTCGGGCACCTCGATCATCACTGGTGAACACAACCGAGCATATCAAGAAGACATCCAGGAAGAAATCATCCCGCATCTATCGTCTCTCGACTTCCCCGCCGAAGGTCTCTTTATGCGTTTGGATCGTTGCTCACCTAAAGATGGTCGCCAAGCCGTACCGGGTAGGCTGTCTCTTCACTCCCCAACGGATATAATTATTGGCTTGATCACATCACAGCGAGCACGTAATGAAATATTAAAGAGTCTTGAAGGGGGGAGTCCGACTGTCGACTTGACTTTTCTTCCATTCAATAAACGTATGGGGAGCGAAAGGGAATACCGAGTCTACTGTGCACCAGAGACGGGAGCCGTCTCCGCAGTAAGTCAATACTGCTGGCACAAGCCATGGCACTTTGATTGTGAAGAGCACGAAAATCAGACAAGAGCAGGGGATCAAATCTGGGAGGGAATCCAAACGATTCACAAATCAATCCTACATGATCTGGATCCGGATGACCGGCTGGATCAGCTGCTTTTAAAGCAAGGGCTGTCGTTCGATGTGTTTTACGACGAGACAGACGAGACATCGCAACTAGTCGAGTTGAACGTTTTCGGTGCGAGGAGCGGATGCGGATCGTGCTTATTCCATTGGATCAATGATTGGGACCAACTCTATGGCCATTGCGAAAGGGTCGAGTTTCGAGTCTCACGAGGGAACAAAAAACACACAAGCGTCAGTGGCGTTACAGGTTTGTCTGCTGAGTTTCTGCCACAGTCATAGGCGTGCTAGGCCTCTGACACTATTTTCCCGTTCCTGATGATCTTGTGACTAGCCACGAGCTTGGATGGCTGGATGGAATTGCTTGGCCCTTGTTACCCTCGAGATCTCATGCTTGTCCTGCCAGCCCGCGTTTAAGCAACGGGCGCAGCCGGCAAGTGTGCATATAGCCCCACTAGGTATTAGGCTAAGAGATCTCTTCAAGAGTGTTTCCCTGGTTTAGGAACCCACGGAAAAATCTAGACTATTCCTTTGAATGATAAAACAGACAATCTTCGCACATTATTGTTCATGGGAAAACTTAGCATGGGAGGGAAAGTACGAGATGCTTACCTCTAAATTATCCTAAATTTTTGTCATATACAACTATAAAAAAACCTTTGTTCGTCAGTCGTTGAAGAAAGAGCTTGGAACAACTACCATCCATTTCTCTTTTGCAAATCAAGCTGTAATTAAACTACTCCGTACTCCCGTCTTTTTGTAGGTAGCTTGAGGTACAGCCAATACGAGGCCGTCTCGATAGCTGATCGAAGCCCCACACTAGCTGCCCGGGGTGCATGCATGCTCAGCGTCATCCTTATTTTCAAGACTATAATACTCGGTAAGCTGCATTGCTTTCCATATATTCGATTTTACACCTACAATACCTGTCCCTGGGCTTTCTACTTTATACACCCAGGAGGGAAAAAATAACAATCACGACCGTGACAGCCTATTCCTCTCAAAAGGCTGACTTTTGCAGATCAGGGTGCCGATACTGCCACGATTGCCACTGTTCTTATGGAGCTCTAAGATCTAGGAGAATGAAGCGTGCCTCACAATCGTCTCACCACTCCAGACACGAGTACCATCAAAACAACCAGCCATGAGCTCCGCCACAGGTTCCTCCAACCTGGCATGGCCGCCTAAACAGCGACCTTCCCAGCGAACGGTACGAAATCACTCGCTCTATAATTTCCTGCATGCATGACAGCGAGGATGGGTAGATATCTGATGCATCAGGCAGAAATTGAAGAACGGAACCTTTATCATTCCCAGGACTGGCGAACGATCGAGGTCAGAATTCTCGTTAAGCACATCTACCAACGCAGTAGTTGCAGACGACATCAACAAGAAACCGAAATACCAATCCTTCGAGGCCGCTGAATCCTTTGATGACCGTATCCACATTATCGCACATAACGTCAAAACTGCATTCATCTTGACATGGCTGTGGCTACATACTGAAGAAGGCCATGGAGTTCTCAAGTGTACACTTGCCTACGTACTTGGTAGTATGGGTACTTTTTTCCCACCCTTGACAGCCTTTCTTGGCAACAGAGATGGAAAGCATGTCTCTGCTACCATTACCGTTTACTTTCACCCAGCACGAACTGTTGGCTCTATGCTTGAGGCAACTGTTATAGCAGTCGTTGCTGTATTTTACGCGGAAGTCATATCGATGCTGTCGATGGGAATTGCAATTGCCATGAGATCCCAACTTGGCTTGACTGCCGCTGCTCACGTGCTGATCCTCATTATCTGCATCGGAGGAGGACTGGGCTTTGTGGGTTGGGTAAAGCAAAGACTCAACAGCCCCCTCGTTAACGTCGGCTCAACCTTGGCATCGATCGCAATCATCTCCGTAATCACCAAAGAGGAGGGCGTACAAGGAGGCTACTTTGACGACGACAAGATCGTCCAGGTCTTGAAATTGCTTCTTGTTGGCATCACTTGCACTCTAACAGTTAATGTGCTAGTCTGGAGAATCTCGGCGAGGCGTGTGCTTCGTAGGTCTATCATGACCGCCACCAGCTCTCTAGGCGACAAATTATCGTCCATCACAAAAGGATTTCTCAGTGGAACGGAAGATGAATTCTGGACAAGTGAGTATGGCCGAGTCTCTGCTCGGTACAACAGCGCATATACAACGATGAACTCAACACTCCGAGAAGCCAAATTTGAGTACTTCTTCCTGGGCCGAGAAACCTTTTATCCGCTTGATAAACGTCTGTCAAGATCGGTTGAGGCACTCTCCCAAGCCATAGGAGGACTGCGAAGTGCGCTCGAAAACCAATTCACTCTACTCAGAGAGGTTCCCAACCTGGAAGATACCTTCCCTTCACCGAAGCCCACAGGGATGACATCCACCTTGAATCGAGCCATTTCTGCATATATTGATGGTGGAGGTCAAACACTGTCTGACATTGATGAATCTGGAGAGAGTGAGGAAGAACGGCTGGCGGCGAGAAACAAATCGGATACCGCTCTAGACGTAGCCCCCGCTTTCCAAGAGCCTTCTGACATCTTTGCCCTCTTCATCAACATGCTCGGCCCGTCAATCAAGTCGCTGGCTCATACACTATCAGAAATCCTGCGTGAGCCTGCATTTGGACAGGACCCGAACAAAGACATCGCGGTGAACGAACAGTTGAGGGAGAGCCTTCGCGATGCTCTGAATCTTTACAATAATGCAAGATCAGAGTCGTTACAGGAGCTTTACCGTACCATTCAGATCGGACGTGCTAGATCTGAGAAGATTCAAGCGGATATCGAAGAAGTTGCTGCAGCCTGTGGGCATTTCTCCTTCAGTTTACAGGCTGTAGCTGAAGAGACTGATGCATATTTGGATGTACTAGAGGACATCAAGTACACGACTGAGACAGCGCCCCGTTCATGGAGTTGGCTCAAATTCTGGAGGTACTTCGGCCGGACTGAACCTTTAGACAAAGACAGGGTTGAAGATCCGGAACGCGAGAGCTTGATACAGAAACCACCTGTGCCGAGACTGCGGAAATCTCAAATGCCCAAAGGTATTCCAGATACAATGGTCGCACGGCGAGATACCTTCAACTGGGATGCTGCCCCACAGTCTAGCAGAGTCAAAAGAAGAGTCGCTCAGAAAATGCTCAAGATTTCCCGATTCATCGTACGGGAGGACATACTTTTTGGTATCAAAGTTGGAATTGGTGCTCTTCTCTGGGCCATGCTTGCTTTCATACCAAGCACAAGACCTATTTATCAGACATGGAGAGGTGAATGGGGTCTCCTTTCCTTCATGATCGTGGCGGCTATGACAACTGGCTCAGCGAATACTACTGGAACTGCCAGATTCAAAGGTACCCTGATTGGCGCAGCCTTTGCCGTGGTGTGCTGGACTGTCAGCCAAGGTAATGGCATTGCACTGGTGTTTCTGGGTGGCCTTGTAGCTTTGTTCAACTTCTACGTGATTTTGGTCATCAAGAAGGCTCCACTGGGTAGAATTGCTTTATTAGCATACAACGTGAGCACCCTTTATGCCTACAGCATCTCGCAAGATGTCGACGATGACGACGATGACGAGGGAGGATCCAACCCCCTGATTTTGGACATTGCCTGGCATCGAGTTGTTGCGGTCACTCTAGGCATCGTATGGGGTATTGTTGTTTGCCGAGTCCTCTGGCCGATTTCTGGTCGAAAGAAGTTCCGTGAAGGACTTTCTGTCCTGTATCTCCAGATGGGTCTCATATGGAAGCGTGGCCCTCTTACTGTGTCGCTTAATAAGGATAGCACACATAATAACACGCTTGACTACATGCGCGAGGGCGAACAGGCGGCTCTTCAACGATATGGTAGGCACTCACTGCCACATCTTTCTTAATCACGCTAACTCTGTAACAGCCTTCAAACTTGCAAGCCTGCGAACGGCTGCGAAGTCCGAATTTGAGCTTCGCGGTCCATTCCCAGACGCAGCTTATGGGCGCATTATGCGCTCCACCAAAAACATGCTTAATGGTTTCTATGCTATGCGTCTCATCACATCGAAACGAAATCAATTAACAGAAGGCGAACGGGCATTGTTAGAGTACACAAGCACTGAGAGAGCTCTCCTTTGCCAGCGCATATGTCACGTCTTTCAAGTTATCGCTTCGTGCCTTATGCTAGAATACCCCTTGACCGATGCCATCCCTACGGTTGAGAACAACAAGGACCGACTCTTAGGGAAAATCTACCAATTCCGCAAGGAGCACATGAATACGGATCTTTCGGGCGACGAGTCCCCTCTGGTTGTTCAAGAGAGTGATTATGCTTTGCTGTACGCATACACACTCGTTACGTTACAAGTGGCAGCTGAATTAAACAAGGTGAGGGCCGAGATTGAAGCCCTGTATGGAGTCTTACACGAGGAAGCTCTGCTGCTGCAATAGAGGAGGAAGGCTTGTCAAACAGGAGGTAAATGGTCTTTTGCATATTTAGCCATTCATGATACCAGACTTCCATGTTCATCGCGTGGTGAGTTGGCGCGTTTTCTGTGTCCTGTGTATTCCTTCTCGTGGGTAGGTAAATAAAAGCTAGCATTTTATGATATGAGGTTTAGATATTACTGTTCTTCGCGATGATCGAAAGCTACCTATGTTCGTATGGGTTGTCCATCATACCCATCATTCCCTTGTATGCCCCTTAATCCTCTGACGCCATGAGCCATCAATAGTAGCAACTAAATAATATGTAGATTTGGGCGTCCATTCTAAACTGTACATTCCCTTAACCTGCCCAAGCGACCAACATCATACTCGACCCATCGAGCGATTCCCTTGCGTCCTGGTACGAGCACACTGCCTGGGTTCATTACATGACACCCCTCGTATGTGACGCAAAACGGCGGGGCTGTTGTGTCGAGCAAAACCATGGCTGTGGGAAGTGGGTATAAATGCAATGCTGAGGAGTAGTCCCAGTGAACAGGGCGAATAGCCTGGCGGAATGGTGCGAGGTAGCCTTGATCAAGAATAGTCTTGACAAGTTTCTGGGCGGCATGAATGTCGTGAGGAATGAGAGGTGTGACGGGCGAGCCGGTAGCGGTAGCGGTAGGATCATCATGATGAGCAGCATCGATATCCATCGGCTGAACATCTTCGGGAGGGGCAGCACTTGAACCTGGTGCCTGTTCTCCACTGGCATCCTTGGCCTTCGGTTTTAAACGGACAGAGGCTCGACGCAAACGAGCAGATACATCATCTCTAAAGACGACAAGTTCGTGGTTGGGGCCGAATAAACTGATTCGGCTTGGGTTCGAAGTCCATACAGCAGTACCATTTGACTTCCCTCCCACTTCCGCATTGGCTGTCGCAAAGGCTCGACGTATTCTCGACGTGAACATGTCTGGTACTTGCTTTCGAGGCAAAGGGACAGAGGCGCCAGCTGTAAAGGACGAGACCCATCCGTCATTGTCTCCGGGAACAAAGACGAAGGTAGACGACTGGAGCAGGGTTGGAAAGTCTCCCAGGGTTGAAGCCAGGGCATCAAAGTATTCCTTATATTCGATACTTCCGCCACTGCCTCCTCGTGCCAAAACAGCGTACTGAGTGAAGTTGCCCATCAGCACGAATGTTAGAGGCGTTGAACCCTCAGGCTCTGAGGCATATCCTGATAGGATCTTGCGTAATGCTTGGAGAGTTCGTGGTTGATCGAGGTTCAGCTCGCCAATAATAACGACGCGCCCACGTGATGGTGCAGTATCCTCCTCTGCTCTGCTGCGTAAAAGGCGCCTTTCGAGCCTGCGCATCTTGGTACCCACGGCACGCTCGCTGCCTACGCCCAGGAAATCGATCCAGCCAAAGCCCCCTCCTATGGTCTGCTCCTGGCCACCATCGGGTCCGCTAATGCCCAGAGTCGCTTGACGACGTTCACATGGGGGCTGTCCTATAAAGAAGCCTTGGAAGCGGCCACCTAGTGTACCTCCAACGCCGCTGCTGCCGCTTAGACCCTTGCCCACAGATTCGTCTTCTTCTTCATAGACACCATCAACCAGCACGATCATCCCAGGACAAAACCATGCTGAATCATCCGGGATAGCTACCGCCTGGGATAAGTCCAAGGCAATAGTACCAGTCAGGTCGCTGATGGCAAGATCGCCGGTAGGAAGGACAACCAGGAGCCCTAGTAACATATGGCTGCTGCCATGACGACCAAGGAGGTTCGCGATTGGCGTGAGTTTAAGTGAATGCTGGTTGGAAAGGGAACGGCTCAGGCTTTGTTTTCGAGAGGAGGAGACTGCTGAGGACTGGAAGGTTTCGTTACGGAGAAGACGCTGATGGATTACATTGTAGCGATTGCGGAAAACCGTCGTTTTGTGTGAGGCCGGTGGTAGTAATGAAGGCGTTGAGGTATCCCTAGGAAATGTTAGTCGCAAATTCAGTTGAACCACCGAGTAGACTATACTGACTTTTCAAAGTGCTTTTTGCCAACGTTGTATATGAACCTGGGTTGGTCATATGCGTCTATGATCTTAAGCCATGCTCGAGGATCGCTCGTCTCGCTTTCTTCTTGCTCCTCATCCACACCAAGTCCCGACATGCCGAAGCTTGTGTTGCTATCCTCCCTCCTGATTTCTGCCGGCCGTAGTCCCAGCCGTGTGTTCAAGGTCTCGTTATCTTTGAGATCAAGCATACTATCCCCACGCGGTAGTCCTCTTGTTGGGCCAGTGATTCTGCCGCCGCTCATGTTACCCTCAAGGGTCTTGAGAATTTCCTGGAGCTCTTTACTCGAGCCCTCGACAATGACACCTCCATTGCGGTTTTTCCAGCTTCGTGCAACCTCTTCAAGAACCCGCTCGGCCAAACCTTCTTCACGCCATCCTGAACCACAATGTCTTCCAATGAAGGAAGCTAGTTCTTGAAGGGCAGAGGATGTCAGTGTTAAAGAATGTTTTTTCGTGAATGTACGGAAAGCGAGCGGTCGAAGTGTCGGAGGAGGGAGTATGATCGGTAATATTGCAGCCTTGGGAGCATTGACGGCAAATGGCTTCAGTGGATGGATGGGGGTACCGAAGGCGGGAGATGAAGATGGTATCGCAGAAGACGGAGGGACCGCCCCTCGTTGTTTTCGGAATATAGGAGCTGGTGTTTTATCCATGATCTGGACCACTAGCTTGGCATGGCAGAGAAAGAAAGAGATAACCCCAACTTTTTGTATATGAAATCAACGTGGCTTGCTAATTGAATTTCGTACACGGTGCTCTGGTTGATTTGCCTACCTACCTTGTACCTCTTTGCGTAGGTCGTCTTGAAGGGTTCGCGCCGACCGCGTAGACGCGTTTAATTGATTCGTTTAATACATATACTCTCCATAGGCATATATCGTGTTGTACTAGGGTCCTACGAATGACCTCATTCATGATCAAGGTCGAGTCAACACAATGATAGCTTCATTTAACCCGTCGCGTTGGATTGCGGACACAGTAGTAAAATCGATTTGAATCCCGAACAGCAGCAAAATGATAGGGTCAACATTTCGGAATGTTGCTCGCCAGAGGGCTGTACCTTTCAGAGCCATATCCAGTCTTTCTAGCAACCCTAAAATTGTTTGTATTCAACACCCAAGCCAGCACCACTTCATAAACACGCTGACCATGTTGTAGAAAGTTGTGAAGAATCCCAAATCTCCTTTTACAAACTACTTAAGCTACCTCGAGAAAGAACCGCCTGACGAGCGCCTGGCGATTGGGACTACTAGCGAGCTCCCTCCCACCCCTCAGTCCTTCACTGAGAACAAGGACTTCGTCAAGATTCTCAACGAGGTGATAACCGAGTACGGTCACGAAGATGAGGATCTTGTCAATCAAGCCCGCGCATTTGCCAGTCCGGGAGGCTTCAATCTCGGCTCAGGCGGAGCCTTTTTCTCACAAAAACGACCTAATCGAGGTGGATCTCGCAAGCAGGGAGCTGGAGGGGGGGCTGGAGGTGACGGTGCAGGAGGCGCCAGCGCTCAAGGAGGAGCCGGTGGTGGTGGAAGAGGAGGATATGTGCACCTCAGTGACCGAAGGAACCCCCCTGACTTTGGACGCATTGCATGGCCTGAGGATATCTTGGGAAGTGTTGAGGTGGACGGTGCCGGTACCATCATCGGCAAAGTACAGCCTAGTGGAACTTACCGTATCCTGACGAACGAGGGAATGTAAGTCTAGAGAACATGAACACAGTCACGTCAAGTCGCTAACAATTTGTCAAGCCTGGGACTCAGCCCATTCTTACAAACCAAGTTGGTGGAGAGACTAAAGCAAGAAGAAGCCAAACAAAACTCAACAAGTTAGTGGAAAGGAGAATATTCATAGCCTTGTCGAACAAAGAAAGATCGATTGAGGAACCAATTATGCTCAAAAGCTCTGAAAACTGGAAGAAAACGATTTATGTATCATGACCGTAGGTAGAGATGAGTGTAACAATACTGTATGGCATTTGGGTTTATTAGATATAGCTATTCTGAGACCAGAACCATGCTTGCACATGCAGACACGGGCCAACGCATGTCAAGTTTTCATGGATGACTGTTGGCTGGTAACTAGAAAGGGTCAATAGATAAGCATGGTATTGTGGTTTAATATCAGATCTTTTTGGTTATAGAAACAGATTCCGATCTGGCTACTCGTGAGCCTATGTCGGCAGAGCTTTGAGAATTGATTTGTTGGGAATTCAATGCCATCAGCATATGAAGTGTCGGTTGGTATAGGTACAGGTTGCCGGGGTTAGAAATGTACAAAACTGGGCCTTTACCTACCTCTATTTACTACTTTATGTTTCTTATTTTGATTTATATATATAAAATAAAAACTAGAAATATTATTAAAAATACTAATATAGGCAGAGATTTAGGATTATTATAATAAGATTATCTGAAATAAATAAGAAGGAATAATTAAGATATAAGTATTAATATAAATAATCCAGGGCTTATACTAGTACTAACATTTCCAACCCCGGCAACCTGTAGGACATTGAAGACTACTTAGCTAACGTGGCTATGAGCTGATTGACACGACTACCAGCAAGACACCAAAATGGGTTTGTTAACTGTTCTCCGGGTGACAGGTCAGACAACAGGAATGGATGTAACAAATGAGGAGAAAGATAAGTTCTCTGATATAACATACAGCGAAAAGCCAACAGGAATATGTAATAAATTTCAAATGAGATAATTAAGATCTTATTGTGCTATAAATTCCTACGCCAACTATTAACATCCATATCCAACGTGCAAAATACTGGCTGGTACCAAACCACCATTACCTTATATTATAAAGTGATGATAAAAGAGTCATTAGCCCATGTCTGGTTCCACTGAGCTGACCCCTCCACAACAGTGACGACTACCTAAAGGTAATCTACCCGAGGCCAGTCGAGCTCTGCAACTTCGACACCACTAACGAATACACAACATTATGAGACGCTATTAGAATAACCGGTCACCTACCTCTTCCATTTCGCCGCTTCATTCCCACCCACTCTTCTCTTTTACATCAAACCACCCCGCGCTCGCTTCGTCAAACTTCGTCAATACCACTATCCCTGTAACTCCTGTACGACCGTCGCACCCAGTTCCTGACAACCGAACCAAAAGCTCTGCAGCTCCGAAAACCCCGCCGACCGATCACTTTTCGACCTGACCCGCCTTGACCTTGGGTCAAGGCATCACATCGCCATGGCTCCCCGAGGTTTCGAGGACGAGGAGCTTACCATTTCCCTATCCTCCTCCCACGTTCGTCGCCCTCAACAGCAGCAACAACAGTCACAGCAGCAGCAGCAGCACGCTTCTAGTGATGCTCCTACACCCGGCTCCCGCCCCGCCGATGCGCCGCTCAAGGAAAGAATCAAGACGGAACAGCGCATCGGCGCCTACAAGGTCCTTCGAACTTTAGGCGAGGGCTCTTTTGGCAAGGTTAAGCTTGCTATTCACAATGGAACCGGCCAGCAAGTTGCCCTCAAAATTATCGCCAGAAAGAAGCTTATCAGCCGCGATATGGCTGGGCGTGTTGAGCGTGAGATTGAATACTTACAACTCTTACGCCATCCTCATATCATCAAACTGTACGTTGCGCGCCCAACCTTGGCTAAATACATTGGTGTCGTTATGACTGACACCGATCTTCTAGATTCACCGTTATCAAGACACCCAATGAAATCATCATGGTCCTCGAATATGCTGGCGGCGAGCTCTTCGACTACATTGTTCAACATGGCCGGATGAAGGAACCTGAAGCTCGCCGTTTCTTTCAGCAGATGCTTTGTGCCGTCGAATATTGCCATCGACACAAGATTGTTCACCGTGACTTAAAGCCCGAGAACCTGCTACTCGACGAAAATCTCAACGTCAAAATCGCCGATTTCGGCCTAAGCAATATTATGACCGACGGTAACTTTCTCAAGACGAGCTGTGGCAGTCCCAACTATGCTGCTCCTGAAGTCATTGGTGGCAAGTTATATGCTGGTCCCGAAGTCGATGTGTGGAGCTGCGGTGTTATTCTCTATGTTCTTTTGGTTGGTCGACTTCCCTTCGACGATGAACACATTCCCAGTTTGTTTGCCAAGATTGCAAAGGGCACATACAGCATACCGCAATGGATGCCTGCCGGCGCCGCAAACCTCATCAAGAAGATGCTGGTGGTGAACCCTGTGCATCGTGCTACAATTGAGGATATCCGAGCCGATCCCTGGTTCACCACCGATCTGCCTGCTTATCTTCAACTTCCCGTTGAAGAATTCTTCAACACTGGTGTTGATCCAAACAAAGCCATTAAGAAGAACGACATCGCACCGAATGCTTCAGAAAAGGTTCAAGAGAGATTGCATAATGAGGTTACTGAAAAGATTAGTAAGACTATGGGTTATGGTAAGAGTGATGTAGAGGAGGCCCTGCAGGCTGCCGAGCCGTCGGCAATCAAGGACGCCTACATGATTGTAAGGGAAAACAAGATGATGCAAGTGAATCGTGAGTTCCTCTCTCTTTTTACCACTAATTTCTCGACGTATTGAAACTGATTTAGATAATCCTGAAGCCCTTCTAGCAGAGCCCGAGGGATCAAGCCCCATGCTAAGCATGTCTTCTGCCCGCTCAACGACTTCTCAGGCTACCACCACCCCTCGCCCGTACGTGAGCAAGGTCGGTATCTTGCCTTCAAGTTTACCAGCTTACCACAAGGACTATATGGAGCGGGAGAAGGCCGGTAGCGTCGAAAACTCACCACCCAAAGTACTTATCAACGACGAACCTCCCAGCAACAGAACAGATGCGGAAAAGGAAGAAACAGCGCGCCGTTTACGGCCCCACTCGAGAAGTCAATTGCGTATGGACGAAGCTAACACAAGGCCCCAAGGGATGACTCCTATCAACCCCCCTAAAAAGAATAAGCCAGTTCGTTGGCAGTTCGGCATCCGATCACGTAACTCGCCATGGGAAGCCCTTCTGTGCATCCACAAGGCACTTCATAAATTGGGCGCGACATACATCCCCGATGAAGACTACGAGTCAAGAACTGCAGAGGAGCGAGCTGAAGCTTCAGGTGAAGGTAGCTTTGCGGATTCTCACGATAATAACCGGGGCTCAAGTTCAAGCATCGATCCTAAGAAACGTTACAATCTTCCCGCAGATCCTTGGCATATCAATGTGCGCTGGGATACTTCTGGTTGGTTCTCAAATCGGTTGTACTTGAATTATCAGAACTGACATCTTCCCAGCCATCAAGAAGAAGGCGGCCAGCGTTCCTGGCACTCCCAGCTCGCCGAGCACGCCAGAGGGACAACATCACCCCAAGGAGCCTTTCGTTGCGCTACATATGGACATACAAATTTACGAAATGGAACATGGCGTGTACTTGGTCGACTTCAAGTGCTCTGGATACGAGACAGCCCATGGCCGACTGCTCGAGGAAAAAGATGTCACCAGCCCCTTTCCCTTCCTGGACATGGCCGCCAAGTTGATTATGCAACTTGCCGAGGCTGATTGAGAAACGTCGTTTTGAAAGGGGCACCGATATTCCAAACTTACACCAATGGACACGATATGTTTGGCTGCGAGCATACTAGCTCTGCTTCTTAACCTGCCAGACGGTTCTAAGAATACACACATTCAAATTGGTTCGTGAAATAGCAAGTGATCTACTGCTTGGGTTCCAGCGGATTTGCAGTCATTACTGTACCAAGCGAAACGAATCTAATGGAAATGTTGGTGATGTAACACTATGGACATTAGACCACAACCAAGGGGATCTGTCTCATTGTTCGGTTTCCAGTTTCCCATTTCATTTTGATAACGGGCGTCTTACTGTTTAGCTTTGACGCTTGGGCTATATAGACACATTATGCTGCTACGATCTTGGACCAACCAGTCCCCCCTCCCCCTTTCAATGTTTTTTCTTCTTTTTCGTAGTTACGACTGGGTGGTTGGTCAGGCGCAGGATGTCTATGCTCCACAGAAGGATATATTGAAGATGAGTCAAACACAAGCAAACATATGTAATGATGTGCACATAGTTGCTTATAAGGCAATGTGCAGAGCATGATCACCGTTTCAAGTTCTTTTCATGATGTTTTCTTGCTTCATGCACTAGTAGTATATATCAAGGCAAATGCTTGCCGTATGCAAAGTAATATGGCAATTAAAAATCGGAAACCAGTAGTGTGATATCAAAATGCCCCAAAGACAAACAACTTGCCGCTCTTTTTTTGCGCTCCCACAACAACCTCCAGTCATTTCTCAGCCCATGTTGATCTTTATTCATTTATGTGCTCCGTTGTTGTCCACCTCTCCCTCACCAGCAGTGATTTATTTGAACTGGTCCTCAGTCACACCGGCGCCCATAGCAGCTGTGGAGCTGATGCCACCTGTAACCATCTTTTGCAACTCATCGACGTAGGTTGCGCCACTCCACTTCTGGTGCTTAACAACATCGACTTTCTGCTCCATTTCAGGCTCTTGAACGAGCTCGCCGTAAGCGCGCATACCGACGGTGCTGTATGCCTTGGCAAACTGGTCGCTGATAAGGGCTGTCGTGTGCAGGCCTGCAAGCGTGATGAACTGCCAGCAGTAGCCAAGCTTGGCCAGGCGGCGGATGTAGGTCTCCTGCTCGTCACGAGGCATGGCAGTTTTCCAGTTGAATGATGGAGAGAGGTTATAGGCGAGCCTAGTCATGCCAATGTCAATGTGAAATTCTGGAGCTTGGTAGGTTGGCAGAGACTTACTTCTTCTGGGGCCAGACGGCGTGGACACCTTCGGCAAACTCCTTAGCCTGAGCATAGTCGGGCAGCTTAGACTCCATCCAAATGGCATCGCAATAAGGAGCATATGCAATGGCTCGATTCACAGCGCAGTCGCAACCACCCTTGAGACGGAAGTAACCCTCGCGTGTACGGGGGGCGTCCCAGTCGAAAAAGATATCATGGCCAAGTACCTGGCGAGCGATGGCCCTCGCCTCAAGGTTACTCTTGCCTTTTGCTTTGGTAAGATAGTCTCGCTTGAGACCAGCCTTGTCAGAGGAAGAGCCTGCATCAATGGCAGCGGCCACAGCGTCGTCGAAGCGGCTCAGGTTGGCCTTGGCAAGCCACTCATCTTCAATGCGCTGCAGCTCAACGCCACTCTTGCCAGCACCCTCAGCGGCGATCATGAGATCGTTGAGGGGCTTAAGAGTAGGGTTTGTAGAGCCGAGGATGAAAGCATGGTCGCGGGGGTCGATGTTGGTGGAGAGTAGAGTTGCGGCCTCGGCGTCGGTGCGTGCGATGGCGAGGAGATCGGAGCCTTTCACATGTCAGTTGTGTTCTTGGAGTTTTGGTCCCACCACCAACATGTGATGATTGGGGAAGTCTGGGGAAGTCAAAACTTACCCATAATGTCAGCCTGCGCACGAATAGCAACAAGGCGGTTTATGTGTTCCTGAATAGGGACAAGAACCTTGCCTGCCATGTGGCCACACTTCTTTGTGCCGGGGGCTTGATCCTCAATGTGAATTCCAGCTGCACCCTTCTCAATAAAGAGCTTGGTGAGCTTCATGACAGCGGTGAGGCCACCATGGCCAGTATCAGCGTCAGCAACAATGGGACGAAGATAGTCAATGTTCAAGAGGTTGGCGCGTTGCGCCTTAGGGACGCTGAGACGCTCTTGGCGCTGCTTGCGGTCATGGAAGAGTTGGGCCATGAAGAGATGGCCGACCTTGTTGGGAACAGTGGTCTAAGTCTGTGTTAGACAATGCTTATATAGACATGCATGATGTCCTCCAAACTCACGTAGGGATAGTCAGCCAGATCGGGACCAGGTTCATCAGAAGCAGACGCTGTCGATGACGATTGCCAGCCAGAAACATAGACGGTGTCGAGGTACTTGGCCATCTGGGTGACCATTGTAGGTTCTAAGCAGCCGTAGGTGTAGCTGGCATCTCGGGTCTGCGAGGAAACACGTCAGTATTTCGCTTTATGATGTAGCAGGATGCCTTCATCATGGGAGAGACTCACCTCGAAACGGTGCTCAAGGATCTTCCACAACTTCTTCGCCTGGGCATTACTAGCATAATCGACAGGGAGGTATCCGCGTTTGGAGACAATCTGCTCAGCAGTAAAAGGGCGCTTCGTGTGTCGCCATCTTGAGTCGGACCACCAAGCCTTGACAGCCTCAACCTCCTTCTGGAAGAGCTCGTCTTCGATATCAGGGTTGACAGAAGGGTTTGCCATATTTTGTGACGCCATTGTGACCGATGTGTGAGAGGTATGAGACCTTTTGGGGGAGAGTGCTAAACAATGTAAGTGCGTATAAGAGGGCCTCAAGATGTAACTAGATGGCACAACACTAAGGAAAGTGAAGTTCGAAAGACGAGAACAATGATGGATAATTTGAGGAATTTGGAAGAAGTGGGAGGAGAAGGGCAGACCATATAATAAGTATCGTTTCGACCGGGAATTATAGATACTCTTGAGTCACTCTTGGTCTCCCGTCCCCCGATATTCCAAAGACCCGTTCCCCATGGATGGATGGGATATGCCCCATCGTCTTGCTGTCTCTCCGCACCCGGCGCAAGCGTTTCTGGACTTTTTGGTGGAGATGGCTCTGCACACCGGCGTTAATCTAGCAATTTGGAGTCAAGTCTCTGATGCAATTGGTAGCCGATGATGAGTGATGAACGAAGCTAGGGGAGTGAGAGTTCCTCGTTAACTAACTAGTGAAGGGGACCCAGAACTTGGCGGACCCGCTGTTGATGAGGCGTTGGAGAGAAAGAACTGCGCTTCGGTCTTCCATTTTTTGAGTCACGAGGGTTATTCTACTTAGGTATCTTTCTATCAAGCAAAGGCTTCTTGTTGCTTGAATGGGGTTTTCAGGATTATAGAGAAACACTGCATCAGTTCCAATTGACCACGTCAATCATACCGTCATTACTTGAGAAACTCTCTCTCTCTCAATAATCAGGCTGGGCTCTGAAATCGAGACCAAATTGAACGTCTGCAATTGCATTTCTACTCTAGCTCGGCTTTCCACCGAGCACAAGCCAGGCACGTTTTCACCTCGGCCATGGTCTAATCATGGATGCTTGTGTCAGATCAGCCTCTCCTATCTGCCGTCACGAGCCGCAATCGAGCCCAGTAGAGGCGAGAGTGCTGGTAGGTCAGAGAGTACGTACCTCCGGACAGTCACCGAGCGCCTCAAAAGGTGACCTACAACAGCCAAAGGAAGCATCAATTTTGGAGGTGCGTTTTGTTCTGTAAATGGAAATTGAAGCCCGCCAAATCAAGACTTGCAGCGTGATCGTGATGGGTAACTGGTCATGCATGAGTGCATGCGGCCCTGCAGAAGCCAGGGCAGTTCTGTACCTGGTCTTGTTATCATGACGTCTTTGCTATTTTTCCGTATCCTTAAATTTGCGTATGTGTTCGGCTCAAAGGCTCGATGTTCAACATCCGGGGTCCCTCACCCAGGGAGGCCGAAAGCCGAAAGCCGTACGGCCTACCTGTTGTCTCTTTTGCAAGCATGCGGTTTATAACTTTAATTAGAAAACATAGCTTGTACGTGTCGTCGCCAACAATGCTGATCTGGCGCCTAGTTCTTTACACAGCGCAACAACTCGTGGCATATGGATGAGCCCCAAATTTAAGACGCGGGACTTGACCTCTAGCCCCATCCTTGCAAAAGCATCACTCCCAGTAAAATCTGGGGAAGTCATTCCTCACCTTGGCTCACCTGGGATTCTGCTCATTATCCCGCTAAACCTTAATCGCCAAGTTTCAAAGGACCGCATTTTGCGGCATCACCACAATCAAGCCCTCCCTCTGTTAGCCCATCCTGACGTATATTCTGCAAGATAACTACAGGAAGTAATATGCCTTCAGCACAGGAAAATACAACAGAAAGGGAAAGAAAAGAAGAAGAAAAAAGTCAATAGGAGCTACACTCTGAAACAAGTGACCTGGTATACTCTTCTATATCAATCAGTTTCTGACTGTAATTTCTCGGCCTTCCTCCGTCAGCGGATACCCGCCTGGCCCCGGAATGACGGAACTTGGCCGAATCTTAGGTCCGTCTCCAGCTCCGGAGCAGCGGAGGTTTCTGGCATGTGAAGCCGTGCCCCTCCTACATTGAAAATCGATCACTGAGCTCGGCAATCAATGTCCTCACGACGACCCCCTCAAGTTCATATCGATGGATTTCAATATCCACTGCCACTCTAGTCTTTCTCATTGCCGCCACTATAGCTTAGAATAATCACCTTACCTCGGCCATTTTCTTGCCGAGACTCGTCATGGAAAACATCACCACTGACACCTCACATGCCCCATCAACCGCTTCGGCAACTACCCGAGGTCAACGGCTTTATCCTTTTTCCGACCTCGTCAGTTCTCTATTGCCATATTTTTGTGTCAGACCATCAGCAGTTATTTATTATGTTCCAGATTATTCATCCATTTCATCATAAAGTCAAAGGATACGAAAAAGGGTCCAGGCTTTCTCGTCATTCTTGTCATGTTTCGGTGCCCAACATGGATTGCTCTCTCATCAACAATTTTCAAGGACTCCACGAACCAGCATACCAGACAGGCACTGTAACATTCTTCAGGTATCCTATGAATATCGATAGCTACACCGTTTTCCTTTTGCCACGAGCTTCCTAGTCTACAAAAGCATTACCCTATGGAGCAAGCAGACCAGCCAGCGTCTTCTCTTCATTCTTCTCAATCGCCCTGATCAATGTCTGATACGGTGTCAGTGCTCCAAGTGCCCTGCGCATGTGCGCGTTGATGATTTGAAGCCCGTAAATGTAACTGGCGTTAACCCATGCGAATCTAAACCAACGTCAGTGAACCGTGTCTGAGATTAGTAAGTGGATGTTCAACGTACCCTTCCTTGTTGACGCCTCGGAAGCCAAGACCCTGATTGCCGTATTCCGCATCAACTCGGTGAGGATCGACCGGCCGGGTGACATCGTACTTCTCGACTACTACACCGTGGAAATCGACAAAGGCCTTAGTGACCATGAAGAGCCACTTGTAGGCAATTCGCTCTGCTTCCTCCGTGAAGCTATAACGAATCAGACCCGTCCAGGCCAGCATTTGCTGTGGAGGCCAGCCGTAGGGATAGTCCCATTGTCTGTTAGGCCGTTCGAGGCCGACCGCTCCACGCGATTCCTCCGTTCCTGATACTAGGCCGCCGTACGCCTCGAACTTGGGGAGAGCTTTGCGAACCATCTCGGCCGCTTGCTTTGGAGTGGCAATGCCGGCCCACAGAGCCCAGAGAGTTGTGCAGGACTCATACGTGCAGCGTTCACGCTTCGCGGTGTCATAGTCAAAGAACATGCCCTCCTTCTCATCCCACATCAGCTTGTCCACTGTGAGCTTGCGTCGCTTGGCTCGTCGGTCCCAAGCAGCTGACGACAGAACCTCACCAGGCTGGTAGGGTGTACCAGCGCAAAACTCCTCAGGCATCGTAAGCCTGTCATTGAAAACGCTGCGAATAGTTCGTGCAATGTCAGTCTCATATTTGAACAGGAGAGAGTTGAGATCAATGGTCGCCAGGTTTGCGCAAACACCCTCAAGGCGGTAGGATGTGTCATGACCCGACTCTCTCACGGCACGGTCGTGCATGAAGTATTCATCGAGCTCAGGCTCCTCGACTTCACCATGGTTGTATGCTCGAACGAATTGTTCGAATGTCATTTTGTGCTTCTTGATATAAGGGTCAAGAATATGCACAAAATGAGTGGCCTCCGTCTCAGGAGGCACTCCACGACCTTCGGGTCGGTATCTCGAGAGACCTGTGCTGGGGTCTAGTCGAGGCTCTGACATCCATACACTATGATACTCCTTGATGGCGGCTAGAATAGATCGTCGGAGGAATTCCTTGGCATCTGGCTCGTGCTTGATCTTTTCATAAACACGAAGGGCCATGTCAGTCAAGAAAGGAGGCTGTGATCGACAAAGGTAGTAGGATCGAGTAGCGTTCAGTATCTTGCCGTAGTGCTCAATGCAAAAGCAAAAATTGATGACCATCGACTTGGCCAGGTCGACTCGATCGTTGATGAGAAGACCTAGAGATGCCATATAACTGTCCCAGCCATAAAGTTCGTTGAAACGGCCACCTGGAACAACGAAAGGCATGCCCTTGAGAGTCCATCCTGAAGGGTGTTCTGGTTCTGGAACTTCTTGAACATCCACAGCCAGAAGACCAGGTGCATCATTCATGTCGCGAACCAGATCAGGGGTAATCTTCTCGGGTAGCATCTGAACATCCAGACGCATTTCTGGTCTCTCTTCAGCAACTCTCTTGTAGAATTCGTATTGTCTGGGGCATCGATACGGGATATAAATGCGAGGGCGAGGATCGGCTGTCCAATCCTTGGGGTCTCGAGCGGCGATATCCACGGTCGATGCATCAATGCGTCGTGTCAAGTTCTCCCAGAAATGATCACGAATCATACGGGACAAACGATCGACGGGATTCTCGTTGAGACGAGCTTCATCCAGAACAATCTGTTTCCGCCCATACTCTTTTGCCAAGGTCAACTCCTGCAGGAGGTTACTTAACATATAAGTCCCGCGGACGTCGAAGCGATTATGGCCAGCCGAAGCGGCGGTACGCAGAGAAATAACTTTGGGACCATTATCTTCGATCGTAATTTGCATGTCTCCATCAGTGTCCTCTTGCAATGAAAGACTTTCCAATGTTGAATCGACTTGAATCAGGAAGCGGCGGTTCTGTTGTGAATTCTCATCTATTGAACAAAGAGTTAGTAGAAATACTCGGCTACGCGGAATTGATGTTTCTGACCATGGCTGCCACGTCGAAAAGGCTCTCGGAGATTGACTCTTTCAAAACGGTGCATCAAACTGTTCTAGTTGCCGAAAGTCAGTCTACGTCATAATACGAGAGTGGGCAGATACTCACCTGAGAGTAGGTGCGAGTTCGGGGTCCCGCGCGGTTCATATGTCGTTCCTCAGTATAGTAGCTTTTGGCATCGTCGAAGACGCCCAAGTCGTCAGAACCGCGAGGTTGGTGACCGGAGGGCGCGGCCATGGTGGTTGAGTTACCAACTTATTGTCAGGAGACAAAGCGGGGTTGTGATGATAGAGCTAAAGTTAAACTGAGTACTTAGATGAGCTGGTAAAGTTGTGACTATGTCCAATTGCGTCGACTGTGATAGTGGGATAGAAGGAGGAGGAGTGAGATGAACCGGGGACGCAATGTAGGACAGACCACGAAGAGGTATAAGAACAATGGAAGGTAAGGTTGTAAAGGATTTGTAGGGATGAGAACGAGTATGACGGCAGAATATGGGGGCCGTCATAAGAGAGAGGAGACGAGAACAAGGTAGAAGTGGAGAGGAGCGAGGAAGAAAAGTGGCGGAGACAGAGAGAGCTTGGGTGGAGGAATGGAGCCTGTAGTCCTGGGGTGACGACAGTGACAACTGACGAAGTGGTTCTCTTAGCTTCCCACTCTGTTTTGGCGGGCGAGAAATGGGAGACAGTGGAGATGAACAAGAACGACAAAACAGCAACTATGATCAAAGGATTGCGCCGATCTCGCTCACCGAGCCTCTCTGACCTTGCCGTGGGAGAGAAGAAAAGTCCAATAAGGAATAATAGAGCGGTGAGAAGGAGCGTGGGGGTAGCACACCTCAAGCAATTGAATGCGAGATCTATGCAGAATTACTCGGTGAGAGATGGATGCAAATAATTATGGCTGTACCTGAAGTGAGGTGCCTGAAGGTGCAGCGGCAGAGCGGTCCCTTGGTTTGCGGCTCGTCTCAGTTTAGAAATTCCTGCCCCTCACCCCCCCTCCATTGGATGCTTTTTTTATCGTGTGGTTGTCCACTGTGATGATATTGCACAACAGGGGTGCTCCACCCGGAGGGACAAGCCCCACGCGTTGCCGTTGACTTACACCAGCAGTGACGGGGGCTAGGGGCTCTCTGCAACAACACCACATAGTAGTACCTTAGTTAACTGCTCGATTAACGTCCCTTGGGCGCCCTTCACCCTTCTTCCTAATCTGCTTCAACGCCTCCATAACACCAAACCCTTGGTCGCACGATTGCCGCTATGCTGGAAGCCTTTCCCTCTATTGTGTGGGGCCGTGTATGTCAATCAATTATGGGACATGGGCGAGATGATGCTGGAGTTGAGGTCAAGCTGGACTCGATATAGATCTTGCTATCAACTACCTTACCGGTGAAGGTAAGGAGCCCAGTGGGCCGGATTTGTATGACTTTCTCTTGTGCTCTGCTTGCCTTAAATCTCATATACTCCCCAAATTGTCCACATGACTATGTTGATACATATACCTAACTATACCATGATCGCCTACCAATCCACAGCATCCATCAGCTGGTCACCTTTAAAAACACACTGCATTGTATTTTACCAAAGCCCCTCGTTGTGATCTTTCAAGTATAAACACTTGAACGAAATTAGAGACAATATTTGGCGTTTGACGATGAGGCATGTCAGTTGCCTAGCATCATCATAACAAATCTCAGTCACACAGCGGTCCAGACGCCAGGTCTAGAAAAGCCTTATACGCCACCATGACAGTCATTTCTTTTTATCAAGTGAAACGCAGACTCGATTTGAAACAATCTCTAAAATACGGGGAGAAGTCAAAGCCGCTTCGTGAGTTGGCGCTCCTTTGTTTCTGTCCGTCCATCTCTTCAGGGTATTTATCCTATCCCGCTATCGCAACCCAATATCCATCCCTTGACGCCTATCCAATGCATAACTCAAGCCCAGTTCATGATCTCAAGGCCATACCGCAGCAACGATGACTACTCGTCGCTCTCGGCTTGGCTTCGACGTGACACCATTCTCCTTCGCCTCTCTTCTACGACCTCAGGGTCCCAAGTCCCTGCAAATATATCTTCGCATTCATCATCATCATCAGAATCAAATTCAATATCCTCTTCCTCGCCATCCTTGCCTGGCGTGGCAGTCTCTGCAACATCCTCATCAATTGCATCCTCCCAACTCCGGTACGTAACCACTCGTTCCATCTCGAGGATGAATTTTCCAACTTTGTACTTCTGGCCTTGTTCTTTAGCGTCCACATACTTCCAGCCAAGTTTTGTTGAGCATGACCCGCAGTTGATGTCTGCAACGACATGCCATCCTGTCACAAGCTGGCGATTCTCACTCTTACCAACTCGGATGTTGCTCAATGTCTGGGCCGCAGGAGGCGCAGGCGGTGCCACAAGAAACGCACGACCGTATCGGCCGGTGAAGCCTTTAGATATGACCTGAGAAGCAAAAGCAACATCGACAGAGCATGTTGAACAACGAAGCGTATTCGGAGATGTACGAGACAATCGACCTCTAGGCGCTTTTGCGAGAATTCCTTCGTTCGGGGGCGAGCTCGCTGGTGTTGTCACCGCTGAAGATGCGGCAGATTCTGCTGAACTCGAGGAGACCGAGTGGCGTCGGGAGAAGGGAAGCTTTATGCTGGGCAGTAAGAAAGTAGGAAAGACTGGCTTGGTAGCCGAGATGCCACTCTCGCGAACCATCTCGGCAATGGTCAAGTTGACGCCTCCTTTGTAGTTGCTGAGTTTAACGTCCTGGAAGAGATGGAAATGCCCTCTCGACTTTTTGGAACTTTCTATCGAAGGCTAGGGGACCGATAAGGTGTGGAGAGCTGTTCCACTAAAGGCGCCAAGAGCTCCACAAGTGGCGTAAAGTCCTTCCAGATGTGACCTGGGAAGTTTTGGCTCTGTCGAAGATGGCATTCGAGACAAAACGTTGGAGAGACGGTCGCGAACGGCGCTGCGGTGTCGTGGCTGGGTTTACAAACGGCGGTTTTTCCAGATGGGAGTTTCAAAGATAGTCCAGGAAGGAGAGAGGTTTAATATTAAGGCGTAGGTAGTCATTTATTTGGTCACTCTCTCCGACTCAGCCGGGCAGCGATCACCAGACTCACAACCAGTGATGAAAGAGGGGCTGAGGGGCAAAAACAAGTCTCCGTGGGCGGCGGTTGCGGCGGGCGGGACAATGCAAGGCCAAAAAGAGGGGCCCTCCAACCAGACCTGGGAGCTTCCATACCAAACAAGCGACCTCCCTACCTAACTACGGTACGTATCTTATTGTTCACTGGCCTCACGGGTCAGTTTGGTTATTACGAGATCAAGGTGCAAATAATGACAGCTATACGCAGGTTATCGGTTCTACAATGCGCGGACAGTCGTTGGAACAGATTGGCTCGCAAAAGACTGCAGTGCAATATTTGGTGTCACTGTCAATAGTATACCTCGTAAGGGAATCCATAGTTTCGATTCTCATATGATGGTACGTTAGATATCTTACATTAGTATGGAGAAGTTAAGACTGAGGCTCCTCAGCAACATAGTGTAGATAAGCGCCAAGCAGCTTAATACCCTCAATGTAGTTGCGCTTGTCGAGCTTCTCGTTGATAGAGTGAGCGCCGTCTGTCGAGCTACCCATGGGGAGCAAAAGAACATTCTTGCCTGTGGCCTCCTCAAATGTCAGGGTAACAGGGATGCTGATCACTATGTTAGCGGTGAAATACCAGACATTTGGGTCAGAGTAACTTACCTTCCACCTTCGCGAGTATAATCGGGCTCGACACCCCACACACGTTCGACAGCTTTGGCTGCAGCCGAGAAGTTCCAGTGTTTTGGTGATGCAACCCACCACTTACCAGTATGCTGAGCATACACCTTGAGGGTGTTCTTGCTGCCAAGCTTGGCAAACTGCTCTTCAACATACTTGTACACAGCCTCGTTGGTCTTGTCAATGTCCATGTCGGGAACAGTTCTGATAGAGAACTTTCCAATAACCTTGGCAGGAATAACAGTCTTAGCTCCAGGAGCAGAGAAAGCACCCTCAACACCATGAATAGACAGGGATGGGTATCTCCAGCGACCCATCAGAGTACGCTTCTTATCATCGAAGATGGTGGTCTTGCTACCCAGGGACTCATGAATATTGTCCATAGTGAATGAAATTCCGTCATAGAGACCCTCCTCATCCGCCGTGACAGGTGCAACCTGCTCTTTAATACCGGGAATCTGGATCTCGCCGCCAGTGTTGACCAGAGATCCTAGGACTCTAACGAGGTCAGTCATGGGCTCTTGGGCGGTACCGCCAAAGACACCACTATGAAGATCGGCGCCAGGGCCGGAGATCTCAACTGAGTAGTAGTTACAACCACGAAGACCGTAAGTTAAGCATGGCTTCTCGGTACCGAGCCAGTAGTTATCAGATATGCAGACAGCCTCGGCATCAGCAAAGTACTTCTTAGCCTCTTCCTTGATGAGGTCATCGAGGCCTTCAGAACCGTATTCCTCCATACCCTCGAAGCACATCAGCAGGTTGACAGGGAATTCAACGCCAGCCTTTTGGTGAGCCTCGATAGCATTTAACCAGCCTAGAACAGGACCCTTGTCATCTGTAGCTCCACGGCCAAACATACGACCCTTTTCGTCGACAGTAAGGTCAAATGGCTCAGTAGCCCACCCATCGCTCTTTTCCGCAGGCTGGACGTCGTAATGCCCATAGACGAGGATGGTACGCTTGTTCTTGTCGCTTCCGTATCGTGCAAGGACAACGGGAGGCAAGTCGAGGTACTCCTTATGAGGCTGCTTCCCAAGGGGCCGAAGCTCTACAGAGGCTCCAAGAGCTTTCAACTCCTCGCCGAGCCACTCTCCCATGCGAACGACATCAGGGCGACGGGCATCCTCAGCTGAGATAGACGGAATGGCGACAGCCTTGCGCAGGCGCTCGATGAAGTGGTCAGCCGAGCTATCGACTTGCTTGAAGAAACCGTCGAGCTGGGGGGCCATCTTCTTTGCTTGGTGTGTACGAATAGAGTCTGTGAGATAGGTACGAGAAGAAAGGCAGAGTTTCTGAGGAAAAGTTTGCGGGACGGGTACTCGTAATGAGATAAAGCGCCTTTTGGGTGGTGCTGTTACCACTTGAGTAAAGCAAACAGCTGCCCTATCGAGGCGTACGGTGCGGGGCATTACACGGGCAGACTTGCCAGGACCTGCTCGATCGAGCGGGCAATGATGGCGGGGCACTTTTGACAGGCACTCCAGTGCAATTGGAATCTCCAACACAGTGGAGGGAGCGGCTAGTTACGGCAACCAATGGTAAAACAGGTACGAGATGATTAGTCAGTTAGAACAGAGAGAATTTGGTTCGAGGTTGTTGGGCGAACTTGTACTTGGTACATTATAGTGGAGTCCATCGGATTAACCTAAATGCGCTCAGCACAACAGCTCCGTGTCATGATTAGTCAGGTGCTGAAGGGGGTAGGTTGCCGCTTACCATTCTCATGACCTGTTGCCGAAGAGTCTTCCTCTCCCCACTCTCCCTGTCACTCATCCATCCATCGTCGACGTTCTTCCTCGCCATCGGTATAGCGACATACGACATCAAACGTAGTCTCTCGATTGCGCTCTATCGTCTTTCTTCTATTTCGGTGGTTTCACAGTTGGCTTTCTTTTTTGTCTTCGCGCAACCTACGATACGGAACCCATCGGCACGATCCGCTTGTTCTCACGCGACCGCCGACTATCCCCCCTTTCGCTCAAGATCCTCGCGTATAACGTATTATTGGTCTGCTCTTCAAGGGCGTGATCTTGGGACGCCTGGCTAACATTAAGGTCGCTGGTTCATTGGTTTTGACAAACGTGGTGACTAGAAAGTGAGGTGGAGTTTCAGGGTTGTCTCTCTTCTGGCTTGTTTTAGCCAGCTGTACTCCTTATTCATTGCACCCATTTCTTTTTTTTTTGACCCTATTACCACTATTGTTCCCTCAAAGTACAATCAAAATTGATTATTTCCATTCACCTTGAGTTGAAAGAGCACGGAAGTGCGAGAAAGAAAACCAACAGAGAAGAAAACAAAGACTTTCATTGTTTGCAAACGCAAGAACAACCAAACGATCAATACTTACATAGTGCTTTGTGCGACCGGCCCCGACCTGACTTTGGGATTCTTTTTCGACTTGCGATATTTGAATCTCAACAAACTTTTTGTTATCACTTGTACTGTGCTTCATCTGTTCCTGTAGGAAACACCCAGCACGTATCAGCCAAAATGACGTCCTCCGTCTTTTTCAAATTCAAATCTCAAAAGGAGCCTACTCGAGTCGAGTTTGATGGCACCGGTATCTCAGTATTTGAGCTGAAGCGTGAGATTATCACAAAGAGTGGCCTAGGAGATGGTACCGATTTTGACCTGCATATTTATACCGATGATAACAGCGAAGGTGAGTTAATTCAATCGACGGTAGGCAATAACATTGCTAACGACTTATTAGAATACGACGATGATACGACTATTATTCCAAGGTCAACGACAGTCATTGCCCGACGCCAACCTGCTCTCAAGCCAGGTGCAGGGCGCGCAGCTCGTTATGTGTCTGGAAAGATGCCTGTGACAGCCAAGAACGCTGGTCGCAAGGAGCAAGCGGCGAAGGCCTCCTCATCCAAACCCAGCTCTGATGCCATCAGCCAGATGAACAATGCTATGACTGAAGAGGAGAAGATGGCTGCCATGTTTGCAGCACAAACCGAACAGTGGTCTGCTCAACAAGAGGAAATGTCACAGTAAGTTTCAGAAGTCCATACAATGTTACACGGAAACTAATAGTTCGCCAGCCAAACACCCGTGTTCAAAGCTGGTGCGAAGAGACCAGCAAACGTCCCCGACCATGACCCCCCGAATGGGTACATCTGCTACCGATGCGGTAACAAAGGTCATTGGATTCAACTGTGCCCTACTAATGACGACCCTGAATTTGACAACCGCCCGCGTGTCAAACGAACCACAGGTATCCCACGTTCATTCCTGCAAAAGGTAGACAAGTCTGTTGTCCTTGCGCAAACTGAGGGTGATGAATCCAAGCGTCCGTCAGGTATCATGGTCAATGCCGAGGGGGATTTTGTTATTGCTGAGCCCGATAAGGCTTCGTGGGAGCAGTTCCAGGCCAAGGCCAAGTCTTCATCTACGGCTAACGCACCGCTAGCTGAGAACAAGGAGATTCAGGAACAGGGCTTGGAGTGTTCGATTGACAAGAAGATGTTCATAGAGCCAATGAAGACTCCATGCTGTCAGAAGACCTTTTGTAATGATTGCATAACTAATGCTCTCATCGAAAGCGACTTCGTCTGCCCTGCTTGCCAGTCAGAAGGCGTATTGATTGATGACCTTCAGCCAGATGAAGAAGCTTCTAAGAAGATTCAAGAGTATTTGAAGGACAAGGAAACGGCCAAGACTCCCCCGCCCCCGTCGCCCAAGACTTTGGCAGATGCCAAGTCAGATGGAGAGAAGCAGGAGAAGTCAACAGAAGAGACTATCGACAATATGGAGCAAAAGCCTGAGAATGAATCAAGTGACAAGACTAAGGACTCGCCCGTCAATGAAAAGCCAAAGTCGCCGGTGTCTCAAACTGCAACTGTCAACTCACCTCCCGCGGGTCCTAAGAACCTTGTATCCGCGTCTCAAGATACGAACAAACAACTAGATAATCTCAAACCGGCAGATACCAGCTCCAAGAAACGGCCCGCAGATGATATTCTTGACAACCCAAGGATTCCCAAGGGTCCTAAGGCCATGCAGAACCAGCAGAACCAACAGAATATGGTGAACGGCATGGGCATGAATGGGATGGGCATGAACATGGGCATGAATAATATGATGTTCAACGGAATGCCCATGATGCCCAACATGATGGGCATGCCAAACATGGGTAATATGAATATGGGCATGCCAAATATGAATATGATGGGAATGCCTAACATGATGGGAATGCCCGGGTTCCCTGGCATGAATGGCGGATTCGGTGGCATGCCTGGTTGGGACATGGGCATGAACGGAATGAATGGCATGAATGGCATGAACGGCATGGGTAGCATGAATGGAGGAATGAACGGCTTTCAAAACGGCAACTTTGGACAGGGTGCTGGCGCGGACGAAGACGCCTACTTTCGTAAGCCAGTTAACCCTCATCGACACCAGAACAAACAGCGAAGAGTGCGACCAAGCGACTACCGAGAGCTCTGAACATCGATTCGACTATCATTCCTTCTTCTAGCGATTGCTTCTCCTTTGTTTGTCTCATTTATCACAATACTGGTCGCCACTAAAACTACATCGTATAAGTGTGGCCACATACTTTTTCAGGCTGTCGCATTTTGGATTGGGACTCTAGGCTCATCATGATTTGCTTGATTTTTCAGTATACTTACCGTCAGGCTGAACTGACCGGCGTTGGGGTATGGCCTCCGAGGATTCTTTATGGCAGGTTTTCATGTCTACGTAGGTACGGCCAAGGGTTGGGGAAACGGTGCATTACTTAACAAGACCTTGAATCAAGTCGAGGTCAAACAATGAATAAACAAACAAATGAACGATAACTCAGAATCGTTGGGTACTTCTTTTTTGTGATTGAATGTGTTTGCATCTCAATTCTAGCGTGTATTATCGTAAGCCATCAATCAATTATTTCACAACTCCGCGCCACCGGTGCTCTTTTATATGTGACACTATCTAATATCCGTTCTCTCGTATTCCATATCACGGTCTATGTCTCGCTCTTAATACCAGCCTTACTCAGGAGGAACATAGGGCGTAACAAGCATTTCGCTAAACTTCTCAAGCTTCTCCTTTCCTCGTACCTCCTCAACAAGGAGAGGCATCTTGACGACATTGAAGTCCTCAGCATATAGTTCTTCATACTGGTCAAGATACTTGCGCTGCATCTTGCGACGGGCGTTGCACTGATCGCAATCGCTAGCCTTCTTGGGGAAGAGCAGCTGGTTGACAACGATGGAGTGGGTATCGATACCATAACCAGCAAGCTCCTGAATCATACGCTCCGTCTCGTAGAGACTCAGAAACTCTGCAATGCACACACAAACAAATGTGGTGAGTTCGGCGTCCTGGAACTGAGTGTTGACCTCGCCGATGGTCTCTCGCAAGGATTCAAGTTTCTGAATCATGTCATTGAGGTTCTGTCCGTTGGGTAGCTGGCCTCCGGAGCCAAGGAATCCGTTGAGGAGAGGACCATACTGTGACGACAGCTGAGAAACCTTTGCGAGAGCCTTCTCGAGAACGGTGGGAAACTGAAGGAAGCGCAGGGTGTGGCCTGTCGGGGCTGTGTCGAAGACGATGGTCTCGTATGAGAGGGATTTGACTTGCTTGAGGACTTCGGCAAAGGACATAGCCTCGTCGATACCAGGGATCTAAGAATGTCAGCTTGACAACGGGACAAACATTCCGCCTCAACCTACTGCGAATGCCAGATCCTGCATCATGCCTCCCAGAGGGCCACCAGCCGCAGCGTTGACATCATCGGCCTCGCCCTGGCCTGCTAACATATCCTGAATACTACCATTCGGGTCGATCTCCATCGCACTCAGGTTGTCAAACCCATTGACAAGGCGGGCCTCTTTGCCAAACTTCTGAGAGAAAGCATCTGAAAGGTTGTGGGCGGGATCGGTCGAGATGAGAAGAACAGAGCGTCGGACCTTGGCGAGCTGAATCGCGAGGGAGCAGGAAGTCGTGGTCTTGCCGACACCACCCTTGCCACCGACAAAGATCCAACGAAGGCTTCGCTGGTCCAGGAGAGACTGCAGAGAGGGCTCAAGGGCATCCTCGGCGGAGATGACTGCGGTGGACATTTTGGGCGAACTATGCGATGAGGCTGCAGAGTACAATTTTTAAGTTGGGGTTAAGGAAACAAGCGATAAGGGGCCGTTTACCTACCTTACCTGCTGGCGGTAGGCTAGAGTAGAGAGATAAATTGTCCAGGGCAGAATCAGGATTTGTGTCCTGTATGTTCTAGAAGGTCTTGGATGGCGGAGTTGGCAATGGTTGTGATTGACCATCGACTTGGAGGGGTAGTAGCAGACATAATCACGAGTCAGTGATCTCGTTTCAGTCAGTTAGTCATGACTCCTTTATTCTGTCAGCATGCGCCACATGACTCCCCAAACTCGCCACAGCGTGTGCAGGGTAGGCAAGGGCAAGGTAGCAACTGTACGGCCTGAAGAAAGTTGACTTGAATGAGCCGTCAGGATATGATACTATATTTGTTGTATAGCGCCTGACTGGGACTATATTGCTGCTAACAAGAGCTGAAGCTCTATTACACGCGACTTGACTAATTGCACAATGTTGTTCCCTCCCAGGGGCCGGCTCCGTCCATGCGATAGGACTTCAAGTACCGGCGAACGGCGTAAAGCGTGCGGAGCCACGCGCAGGGGCTCGTTCCTGAGTCTGATCCTCTTGTAATTCACAATAATATCATTGCTATCAGTTATATAGCTCCTATGAATTGCTTATCTGCAGAGCCATGGCTCAAACTTTATAACTGGGTCTTGATTACATACTTAGGTACCTTAGGTAGATAAGGTAGGTAGGTACTCAAGCACCAGCGGCAGTAATCAGGTAGTCCTTCAGCTGAAGTCGCTGATTCTCTGCAGCAAGTACTTTAGGCTGCGCAGCCGCAAACAACTCTCACTGCCTCACTCACGTCACCCTTTTACTTCGATTCCCCTCCCTTTCCTTCACAATTCTGGCCTTGACCTCTCTTACTTTACAAACACGCAACCCAATAAGCTCCAGAGCTGTCGACAGAATTCCGATATTCTCATCCTGCCTAACTGAGCTGCTGTCAGCTTGCACCTACCCCACCTTGACGCCAACCTCACCGAATATCTGATCATATAACCTACACCACGGTCAATCACTTTGCACACCAGATTCAACCATCACGATGGCTTCTCCCACCAAAGACCCTATCACGTGTCACGTTCTTGATACGCAGGCTGGTCGCCCTGCTCGTGGCATTCGTGTCCGTCTCGAAGGCCCCATCCCGCCATCGACCAACCCTCACTCTGCTGCCCAACCTCGACCCAACACCTTCGAATCCATGACCGACGACGATGGTCGCGTTACGGCCTGGTTACCATATCTTTCCGAGGATGTTGCTGGAGAGCCTCCTCTCCAGACTCTCGTCGAGGTGCTTGAGGATCGCAAGGGACAGGGTTCGTCGCGATGGACGCTTCGCTTTGATACGGGAGCTTACTTTGGCGAAGAAAACACCTTCTTCCCTGAAGTGACGGTAACATTTCGTGTCGAAGAGGGACAGACGTATCATGTTCCCCTGCTGTTGAGTCCCTATAGTTATACTTCCTACCGTGGAAGCTAAATGGGTGGTAGCAGTCTCCGTATTACACGGAGCGAAATGACCAGTATCAGGGGCTGAATCTCATGAGAAACAATGGATGCCAAAGCGATTTTTAGAATCCTATTCATGAAACACCACTTGCGTAATTCGACGAGAGCACGGAGAGGATGACAATGTTACGATCATAGCGATAAAGCTACTTATCAATTCTTAAAAGAGTGTGTCCGTGTCGGCTACTTCCTTCCAAGCCAAGCCAAATGGCTATATGATTGACATTGCTGTCTCTGCCCTACCAGAGGGACTTTAATATCCAAGTATTTGCCCTGTTTGCCAGGCGATACTTTTCCTTGCCGATCAAGAAACCGTGATCCAGGTAAACGCCACGCTGTCCACAAAAGAAAAGAAAAGAAAAGAAAAGAAAGTGATTTTTCAGAAGAAAAGCATCTCGGTGATGCGGTCGTCACAGGTCATCAGGTTCGGCCGTATACGTCGTTGTAGAAATCATGATTGTTCCGATCTGAGCAAGGTGTCGTACCGTTTGTTCGGAAGATTCTAGACAGAACACCTCTAGCTCCTCCGAAACTTGCTCATAAATCCTTTCTTAGAGCGATGGGTTGGTACGTCGGGCGAAGTCGGTGGTGTGTCCTCTTCGTCTCTCCTCGTGGTCCTAGACGCGAGACTATCGGTCTCGTCCTTGGAGAGCCGGATGCTTGATGTAGATGGGCGGAAGCTGTTCATAGATGGATTGCCGGCTCTGATACTCTCGCTATCTCCAACATCAGATTGAACCAGGGAGAATACGCTGTAGAGAGCTTCCGAAGTGGGGGTGATGCGCCCATGGTTGAGAGTGCGTCGTTTCTTCCTTAGGAAAGATCGCCGAGTTCGCATAAGTGCCCGGTCATGATCGATATCTTCTTGAGTGAGACAAGCGTTGGGTGAAAGATCCGCATCTGGATGTGGGAGTGTGGTGTTTCGGACTATAAAATGGTTAGAAACAGATGTTCCCTTGCAGTAGTTAGGTACCGACTAAATACTCACCATTGTTAAAGGGCTCTGGGAATCCTGTGTCTCTTGGTTCTCTCGATTCCCTTCGAGGCTTGGCGGCACTCGTAGTAGTGATAGTGTCCGCCATTGTTTCGGTAGATTTGGAGTGTGTAGAATGAGAGGTCACTTGATGGTCGGCCGAGGGTTGAGTATGTGTTTATGATAAGAAGAATTAGAAGGAAAGAAAAAATAGCGATTTTGCTCAGTCCCTGACTACATCGACTCTTGACTGTGGCTGTATTACCACATGGGGCAAGTTCAGATGGACGTGAGAGAGAGCGTGGGTGTAAGCGGGCGCGATACCGTTTTTGTCTCCCGCCAGAGCAAAGCCTCAGCGGTTGCACGTAACCTTGAGCTTTTCAGAGAAAAAGCACTAAGGGGAAGAGTGCAAAGAAGGATAATGAGGCAGTTATGTTGGTCTGTCACTGAAGAAAAAGGAGATTTCACTTTCGCTTCAGTGAAGAGAAGGCCGGAAGATTTTTGGTCAAATTAAACCAGCGGCGGGGGACGAATTTGGAGTAGTGCAGACAGCGCTGTAAGTCTGTAAGAGCTGGGCTGAAGTTGCTGGGGTAGGAGATTTGGGTAAGGGAGCGATAGTGATAGTGAGCGACGGGCGATGGGCGATGGGGGATCCAGACAGGGTTATATTCCGCCCACAGAATGATGAGCTACATGGAGCGATTACGATTAGCTTCTTCGTCTTGGTCACTGCTTGGCCTACAGCCTCCTCAAGCGCTGAGTTTGATCGGATCTTCGGCGCGTCCAATGTCGAGCTTAATCGTGAGGCTTGGCTCTCGCTATTCGGCACCTCAGCCAAGAGAGACTGTGAACAACCAAGCCCAGCCAAGAAAGCAGCAGTGGTAAAGTGGCCCTTTGCCTGCGCCCCAGAGAGAGCAAGTCCCAAAAGACAGAAAGGACAGGGGTGCGAAGAAGGGCAGAGTGCGTAATTGACAAGGGGTGGAGTGGTTCCAGAGGCAGGTAAAACTCCGAAAGACAGACAAGTTCTGTGAACAAGGAAAGGCAAAAAGTGAATGAATAACTCACCTTGACTTGTCTTACAACGTCTTGTGTCTCTGATCACTACCAAAGACGGATTTGATGAGCACCGCCTAAGGAAGCACGAAGGCTAGGCAAACAATGAAACTCGATGGAGCTGAGGATCTGCACGATGGGAATTTGCTAGTCGAACCGTCTCTGTTGTATCGCAATTTACGCCCGACAACATAAAAGCCGGAGACGCTTTCAGTGGTCCTAGTGACCTGGGGTACAGGCAGTTTGTATGCGTCAAGTGGCGTTGCTTCTGCTTGAGGCTCGGCCCAGGCGCCTTCGTTAGCGGGGCTTTGTATCCGTAAGTGGTGGGTCGTCGTTCGTCAGCCGAGAATTGGCTGCTCTCGCTTGGCGAGAATGATTTGTTGGGCAAAAAGGGCGACGTGACAGTAAGAAATCACCGACGGGCGACAACGACGAAGACTTTGGTGCTTGGTAGACGTTGGCCAGCGGGCAGATGTCTGTTATTGGGCCAAGTTCTGCTTATCCTGCGCCTCTAGAGACAAGACACAACGGTCAGATTCTAAAGGAATCGAGTGAGAAACGATGGATATTGGAGGGATGAGCAACTCAAAGTTCAATTGCCGCTTTGTATCTGGCTGGGTTATTCTGTTTTATTTATAAGCTATCAATTGCCAGTTGCGCTGCTCCTTGTCAGCGTCACAAGATAGTCTGGTTTGCCCACCTATGTGCCCAACTGTCTCTGATACTGTATCGTTATTCATCAGTTCACTCACTGTTCCGTGCCGACCAAGCGGTTTTCCCTTTCCCCCCTCTCTGTTCTTCCCCCAACAGCCTAGGATATGCCCAGTAGTATCATGAACAGGACCCCAGTCCAGTACACATGACGACAAAACGGACCGTGCAGCTGGACTTCAGCCGGTGTCTCGCAGGCCATAGTGTTAGTGGCTCGCCAAGCAGTTCTGCTGTAGGCCAAGGCTCAAAGGGGCCCGCTCCTCGTCGAGTGTCAAAAGAGTACGGGTTTCCCAATTGTTCAGGTCTTGGATTGGTAGAATCGTAAGAGACGGCAAGACGGCATTCGATTTCGATGGCGGGGTCACCGATAGTCCGCTCACTGACAACGATATGTCTCTTCTTGGCGCAGCACTCACGTGAAGTCTTGGCCAGTCTACCGAAGTCTTGTTGCAATGCATCAACAACAACACTGACTACTCCGTACTATATCTGTTGTCGCTATTCCCGGCGCTGTGCTCTGTAATTTCAACATCTAACCCCTCGGCCCCTAATCAGTTAGGTCCAGCTCCTAGTACCCTGCTCATTCCCGCTAATATGGATGGATGTACATCATATCAAATAATAAACACCTTACAGGACGGGAATGGAGAATTGGCTCCCTCCCAATTTCATCTCAGTCCTTTTCATTCCGGCCCCTGATTTAGGTCTTGGGGACACTTACAGCAAAAGATCTACTAACAACACTCTCGATCGTGTTGGTAGGGCAAAGATTGGAGCCATGACTACTAACATTATACCGCCAATTCCTGTAACTTCAATGCACGCACATGTACATGTACTGGGGGTTGCTTGGCTGCGAAGGAGGGTGGCTACCAGTTATCCAATGACAAGAAATCCGCTAACCATCGAATCGGCGTGCCTATTCCAGAAGGTCAAGCGAATACGTACCGCAAGTCCTGAAGTGCACTCCGGTTGGCTTTGCAATCTTTGATCCTGAGTGAAGCATGATTTGCTAGACAATCTACCAACGCAACGCCTTGACGAATAGTATGGTTTCAACATTCGAACTCTCCCGTCCGGCACAGCCCTTTATCGAGGAAATCGAGGCTCTGCGTGGGTATAAAGGGCGCCACACCAGAGCTGCATTTTGATAGGCCAGCCCGTATCCTTGGCATGACAGACTTCCAACTATCGAGTTGCCTTGCACCTCGTAAACGGAATACGAAACTGCCCAGCCCGTTGACACTTGCTTACAAGCGCTTATAAGCGGCACGTTTCGTTCCGATCTACAGAGTACCTCGAGACCTTTCAGCACCTGCGGTTGCAACATATATATGCCGAGTAGCCCTGAGTGTATGCGATCACCCAGTTTTGTTTATGTACCGAAAACCCTTAGAGTTTAAGTTTGCGGTCATCGGCAATTCCGCGTCTAGTCGATCTTGTGTGGAGAAATTGCTCCAGCGACTATGACGATACTGCTTGGTCTCCTACGCTGATCACGCCCTATCAGCTCTCAAACTAGCCATGCCGAGTTTCATGTTGCGAATGAAGTTTTGATCGGCATTGGGTGCAGACATTAGACTGGCAGATGAGCAGATGAGGCATATGAGTAAGTTGGTCGAAAAATCATGAGATGATCCCCAAATTGTCCCACATCTGTTATGAATACAACCCACGTACGTGTTGGTTGATGGTTGTTTTGCCAAGCTTTTGATGGAAGCATAATAACATGTTGGGAAAATCTATTTGGTATCGATACCTAACTTCTTCTCTTACTTCCCTAGAATGATAAAAGACAAATCCATTATGCTACGCCATAAGAACCCATTGACCTCAGACATGTTCAGATCGAAAGCAAGAACAATGATCCTAGTTACCTCTCCGGCCACCAGTGCTCATGAGTGTGATTTTCTGTTTCTTCTTCTTCTTACCCCCAGCACTACTACTGATTCCTCCTACTCCAGCAGCAGTATTTGAACTAACACTACTCTCCGCGGCTTCAATAGCCTGTATCTGCATTGCCAGATCGGTCGTATCAAACAAATCCTCATCTCTGAGCCACCCGTCATTGGCGTTCAAGGGTTGTGCAGATGCTATCTCGGGCGATCCATTAATTGCCCTTGTGCCCCAAACTGTCCTTTGTGTCGAGGGGCTGGTCGACATTTCAGCTAATGTCTCGAATCCTGGTCGGGGATCCGGGGGCGTGGTGCCTGGGTGCCCGCTCAATGGTTGGAAATCCTCCATGTCCATTCGAGGCGCCATATCCTCCTCTAACGGCTCAGGAAGCCTCTGATACCCAGTAGTCTTACGCAGATTCGCGGCTTCAAGTCGCTCTGCTTGCAGACGCTCCCGTTCTTCCTGTGTCTCTTTGTCACGGTTACGTCTCCGTCTCCGCTCAATGTCGCCTGCGAACGATTCCAGTGTCTCTTCTGGTACGATGTCGGTCCAATCACACTCCAGAAAATTCACGACACATCCACGGGGAAGATGGCCAAGATATTTTGCTCTTCGCCGCATTGTGTCATCAACCACATGGCCAGTGGAGATATGCTCGACGCGGGGGAGTAGCGTGGAAGGAAACGAGGAAAAAGAGCCATACTTGGTCTTCAGGATGCGGATATCCAATGGTGAGAGATATAGGTGAGGTGGGGAGCTGTAAAAATAGAAGTCGGCATCCGAAGAGGGTTGAGCCGACGTGGCTGGGCTTGCAGCAACCTGAAGATCAGCCAGTTTCTCTTTCGCGACTGTGATAGCCCGAATTGCCTTCTGGGACCATTCATCAGTCTGTCCGAAAAGGGTCTCGTCCTCCTTAGCTTGTTGACCCAGCGAATCAATCTCCTCGTCAAACTGAGCTGTCATATAATCAGCTGTACCTTTCATCATGCGAGCGTAGTCTAAAACATTGGCAGCAAAGTGCCAAGGAATGTCATCTTGTGCGTACATCGCCTCGGCACCACTCTCTCGTGGAAGGGCCATCGTCGAATTTGCATTCCGTGCCATTAACCGCAGTACGACGTCGTCACCAATCCGGGGAAAAGGACTTTCTTGTCCAGCATAAAATCTTACAGGCCGAACATCTTGCATATAGATAGAATCTTCGCAAATGGGACATTTTTTCCACCTGGGTCCGCGACCCTTCGTTTCATCTTCACTCGAAATTGAGTTCATAAACCGAATGAGGCAGGGTAGACAAAAGATGTGACCGCATTTTGCCATGCGAGGCGCCACAGGCTCTGAAAGACAGATGGGGCATGATGAACCCTGCGACTCGCTTGAAGCAATGATTTGCATGACAAGAGACCAATCTAGGTGTGTGTCGGCATCTGTGGCTTGCTTGTTGTATGTGCCTTCTGGTGAGAGGATGAATCGGTAGTTGGCATGAACGTATCGAGCCTTGTCGCTTGCATGATAACCGGAGCCTGGTCCCCATGTTGGAGTTCTGCGATAAGATCTCGAATGTGCATGATGATCCTGTACCGGGCGTGGCATGGAGTAGTTGAGTAGATGGGTAATTGAAGTTTGGCCCCGCCTGCTGTTGGGGTTTCTGAAGGCCCTTAGTTCGGCCATGGCATCTTCGTCATCTGGGCCAGTATTTGACCTGTCACCGAGCCCAGGTCGCCGCTGACTCCGGTGTTGTTTGCGGGCGCCCTGTGACTTGCGAGGCATCGATTGCGGGTTCGAGGAGCCGGCCTGTGATGGGCGACGAGACGATTCGAAGCTCGAGGATGCCGGGGCTGCTTGAATGGCTGTGGAACTAGACGGTGCAGGGGCAGTTTTTCCCACGCTCGAGCTAGAGGAGCTCATTTTCGTAACGAAGGTTTCTGGGCGACTCTAACCGTGGTCGGCGAGACAAAGGATTGGTCAATCGTGCGATGGATTGCGCTCTGTCCCCAATGGTTGGGATGACATACAAGTTGGACAAGGGTGCCGTCAACGGGTTGTGATTCCGAGAAATGAGTGTTGTTGGAGAGATGTAGGATAAGCCCAAGGTGGTGTTATGAAGGTAATTGAGATGGAAAGAGTCAAATGAGGTTCACGAAGGGGTCCAGCTGGGACGGACCCCGTTGATGGATGGAGGATCGAGGTGGATCGAGCGAGTCACTGGCGGGGCAAATCGTGACGGAGTTGACGGCTGGGCGGCGCAGGGGAATGGCGTTACCGGCTTCTGTTGGAAGCTGACATAACGAGCACAGTTAGTCATCCAATGGGCGAATGGATATCACATGACCTTCAGTGACAATGGCATGAGATAACGTGATTTTGACATGACTGCGAATGACTTTAGACTACAAGAGCTTCGCATAGATTTATCCAAAAACGATATCCTTCTTTTGACCTATCAGAAGCTATCATACATGAAGCCCGGTATCAATCAAAAGCATGCACATAAAACTGACTATGAATTAGGTATATGACAGAGATCCACGCCTCCAGCGATCTCAACCACTCTCCTCTTACTCATGGATCCAGGGGAATCATTTATAAACGAAGACACCAACCGCAAGAAAACAAAAATCCATGAGACGTGTCTGACCCCACAACGTTGCGACATTAGCTAAGTTGCCTCATTCTCTCATTCTCTCATCTATTTGTCGGAAAGCTTGTGCTTGATCTTGCTGAAGATTGAGCTGAGTCGGTTGTGCTTCTTCTTCTTTTCACCATTGGCTGTCGAGCTGCTCCCGTTGGCTGGTGTGGTGGCCTTGGTCTCTGTAGCCTTGACGCCATTTCCAGTTGCTGTAGTGCCGTTACCGGTTGCTGAGCTGCCGTTACCAACGACCGGGGTTTCTGTCTTAGCCTCGGCCTTGGGCTCCTCGGGCTTAGTCACAGGCTCAGCATCAGGCTTGGCTTCCACAGCCTTTGTCTCAAGAGGAGCAGCAACAGGGGCAGCAACAGCGGGAACATCAGACTCAGTCTCCTGAGGCTTGACCTCGTCAACAGCAGGAACAGGCTCGGCCTCTTTGAGAAGCTGAGCTTCGACCTCCCTTTTGTTCTCAACAGCTTCTGTGCTAGCAGCAGCCTCAGGGCGCTCGCCAGCCTCCACGATGGACTCCTTGACTTCGGTGGGGACTTCAGGAGCAACCTTGGGGGTCTCATCGATGGTCGCAGCAGGCTTAACCTCCTTGAGAAGCTCAGCTTCAACAAGCTTCTTTTCCTCGACGGCCTCAGTGTTGGCAGCAGCTTCGGGGCTCTTGCCAGCCTCCGCAATGGAGTCCTTCACCTCGACAGGAACCTCAGGGGAGACCTGCTTTGGTTCCTCTTTGGGTTGCTCAACAACAGAATCATAAATGCCAGTGACAGGCTTGACCTCCTTGAGAAGCTCGTTCTCTACCTCCTTCTTATCCTCAACAGCGGCAGTATTAGCAGCTGCTTCAGGTGACTTGCCGGCCTCGACAAGGGATTCCTTGACCTCGACGGGGACCTCAGGGGACACTTCCTGTCGAATCTGCTCCTCGTTCTTGGCGGCCAAGGTCTCTTGGGCTGCAACAGGAAGCTGCTCTTTGACGGAATCGGGTAAGTTTTTGTTGGCAGTATCGGTAATAGCGTCAGCAGCGCTGTTAAGCGCAGGGCTGGCCTTCTCCTCCACTGTCTCCTTGGCAGCAAGACCAGCAGCAATCACAGCACCACCAGCAGTAGCAGCCAGAGCGGCGAGGCTAGTGTCCGGCGTGTTCTCAGACTTCTCGGTACCAACACCAGCGGTTCCTACTGAGGTAGCGGGTGCCTCAGGCACAGTTCCCTTGAGCTCTTCCTCAACCATGGTCTTTTCCTTGACCTCCGTAGGGTCGGTGCTGGCCTCAGTAACAGCGCCAGCCTTCTCCTGGCTCTCTCTTACAACCTCGGGGACGAAAGCACCGTTGGATTCAAGGGGAACCTCGGCGGCAAGGCCGGCAGTAGTAGCTGTGGGAGCAGCGGAGTTAATGACAACATCCTGTGCGCCGATAATGGGCAGACTGGATTCGGGAATAGTATTGGAAGATACGGGGGGGAGCTCGGTCTCAATGCCAGGGAGAGCGTCGCTCTTCTCGTATGATTCCTTGTCGAGCTTGACGTATTTGTCGGTGCTTTGAGCGGTGATGGATTCGGGGATCTTCTCGCCAGGCTCTAGCTTGATAGGGTTTCCGGCGCCCTCAGAAGCGGGCAGAGGGTTGATGCCAATGGTCGTGTCGAGCTCGTTGGCAGGTGTAGCGGGAAACCCACCAGGAATGTCAGAAGGGGTCTCGAGGGGCAGTTTCTCGTCTTGGGTAGGCTTCTCGGAAGTCAGTATATTGCCATCAGTAGCAACATTGTCGCTAGGTACCTTATCACCCAGAGTCTTCTCCTCTGTGGGTTTGTTCTCAATAGGTTGTTCGGCAGCCATCGCAGCGGTTGTAGACGAAGGAGTCACAGTGTTGAGTATAGCGGCGCCAGGGGTTTCGGTGTTAAGTTGATCGGGAGTGATGAAGTTGTTGACGTTACCCTCGAGATCAGGCTCGTTGGGAGCTGATTGATTGATGATCCAGTTACCGTCGACGATGAACTAGATAGAATGCTGGTGAGCGACGGACTTTGCAGTGTTTGCGACAAATGTGTAGGAGTGTAGGAACAGCAATTGGGTTCAAAAGAGGGGGATAAAGTGAGTTTAATGAGCTGGTGCGATGACGAAGGGGAGGAGGGAGCTGAGAGCAAGAGCGGGTCGGCAACGCAGGCACACTAGCGCGCAAGCAAATCAAGCGCTGACTTGAAGAGGCCTTGGCAGTACGAGGGAACTTTGTCCCTGCGCGACGCAACATCGTCGCCTGACGCCACATAATTCTACTGGTATGGCCAGGCAGAGACTTGACATGGGCTGTGTGTAGCAGACTTTCCACCGCTCTCCGCTCACTAACTCCATTCCAGAACTGTCGCGATCGTGGTCGACTTGCGTCATACTAAACGGCGGGGGGGTTTTGGTTGGGGACTGGTGCGAGATGCTAATGGGTCGCAGAGAACCCATGACATGACAGGCAGGGAAATGAACCAGGGGTTCAGACCCCGATCCTGGCAGCGAAGCAAACTTGCAAGAAAAAAAACCATGGGCAGGGGGCTGGGATTACGGCAGCCACCGCTCTTGCGCCTTCAAGCTCTTTAGGCTTAAAAAGCCCTGCAGATTGCGATAGCGATGGGCGCAAAAGCACGGATTCCTGGGCGGCACGGCCATGACAGCTATTCGTCCATCTTGTTCGAGCAATACGGAGAAGCAAACGCGCAGGATAGGCTGTTGATGCCAATGGTTCTCCCCGCCATCTGTATATGACTCAAGAACTGCGAATGTTTGTTTTCAATGCTGGCGAAGAAGGCAGAATTTGTGTTGTACCAAACCAGTGCCAAATGCAAATTGAATGTCGAAAAGGAGAGATGCTGTTGGGATTGCGGGTCGAGGCTCGCTGACGCTGACGCACCTTGTAGTAAATCTTGCCCTCGGGCTCCTTCAGGTCGACTGTCTTGGAGAAAACATTGCCCTCCTTCTCGAGCTGAACGCTCTTGGTCCAGTTGTCGAATGTACCCGTCACGTAGACCTCGTCGGCGGGATGCTCCCTATAGAAAATTTGGGGTCAGTGTCGGGTGTCTCAGACATGGATAAAGCTGTCGCGGTCTGCAGTAGCTAGTCTGCAATATGAAGCAGTCTCAAGAGGCGCATGCATGGGACAAGGTGAACTCTTGAGACAGAGCTCAATTGACTTGTCTCGTGCTGAGGCAGGCAAAGTGCGACTCGGAACACTGTCGAAGCTATCGCGATGAATTCGTCGGGCAGCGCAGCGCAACGCAACATAGCACAGCAACGTATCAAATTGCAACTTACCACTTGAAAGTGAAGCTGCCCATGACTGGAATCTGTGTTATAATCGGTGGTGGAATCTGCGCAAGGGGATCGAGAGAATGTAGCAGTGAGTTAATGACTTTAATGCGTATAGAAGTAAAGTGAGATTTTGTTTTGTTTGTGGGAGAGATGTTGGGTTGGGAAAAGAGCCAGGTCCAAGTCGTTGATGGGACGGGCAGAGACCAGGACAAGTCCGGTTTGGCGTTGGTCGAGGCTGGGGGGGACTGGAGCGAAATTAAAGATTGTTGGCGGCTACGGGGGAGTACCAGCGACACGAGAAAAAGGTACAGACGGTACAAATCGAGAGCGCTGAGACCGCTTCGACCGGACCGATCGATGCAGGGATTGGTTATAAGCGGTTTGAGAGGATGGCTTCGCCGGATGCAGAACAAGGCAAATATTGCGATGATACGCAGAGTAGATACGGTGAGAAGGTTGGTTTTATGGTGAGGAAGATAAGAGAAGCTCATAGAAGGAGTCTGCGAAAGCGGAAAAGATAGGTAATGAGGATGAGGACGAGGACGAGGAGTGATGAAAGAAGCAAAAGACGAGCACGTCGGGGTTTGATTTGGGTTTTGTCCAGCAAAATCGATGGTGATGCGCAACAAGAGGAGGAGGAGTTGCAACGGAGTCAGTAGTAGAACAGAGGCAGCGGCAAGAAGAGATGAGTCGCAGCCCGAGTCGGAAAAGTTAAGATAATTGAGGCTGTTATCAGGTATCAAAAAAAGCTTGTGATTCCCTGGGCATGAGCGCGTCTCGATGGATCAGCCAAGCTCAGTACCTAGGTACGGATACTGCTCCTGTATGTATGTACAACGCATATGGATCTGATGTGACAAACGGTAAGGCTGTTCTCGTCACCCAGCCTCCAGTTTTGGTGTAGCTGACGAGGAAATACCTTTGTCACTGGCATTTCGTGTCGTTGTTGACAGTATCATCTCACGTTTTCCATTTCAACTGAATATGTTTTCGATCTTGACTCTGATGCTGATTTTCAAGATAGTCCAATGCGCAGTGTTCAGGTAGTCTAAGTACCTATTCGGAATGATCCATGACAAGTACTCAACCTGCAGTCTTGCATCTGCAGAGTGGGCATGTAGCTGCAGTTCGAGAGCTGTGGGGACTTCTCTGACGACATGTAAACTGTGTCATGGCGTTTGTTGGCGGTCGGGTTGGCTAGTGGGTTTCTTCACTTCTGCAACGAACCGCATCCGGGACATCAAGCAGCACGCTGCACATCAACACGGTGATAGTGGCTGACGACGGTTGAATATTCTCTGATCACCATGCATCGCATGCTCTTCAAAACCGTGAAACTGCCCTCTCATATATAGCGCAATTTTGAAAAGTTGCACGTACTGTACGCTCCGTTGTCACCGGAAGCTATTGGATGCAATGCTGGGGTAGCTTAGCAAGGTCGCATTGCCACGAGTGCCTGGCCTAGACCTCGTCATGAACAACGATGGGGCTTTCCAACGTTAGGCTGGATGCGAATTCCTCGTGAAGAGGTTGGTGAAGAAATCGCATTGATACATGTCGCAAAGCCTCATTCGAGTTCAATGGCTCGCCGCTATGATAAACCTCAAGCATGATATGTCTTTCTTGTTTGCCTGGAAGAATTTTCCTTTTCATGGCCTCTCATACGATGGCCACCGCAACCTCCTGCATTAGTTGAATGACTCTTCATGACAAACAGACCCATATCATGACAACTCAATCCTGCATCGTGAAGCTGGTGTCGATCCGATCAAACACACAACACCAAAGGCGGTGTGCGCGGAAGGAATAATCGGTGTCCAGCGCACCAAACCAGGATCATTCGTCCCTGCATAGGTACATATGAGTCGTAGATCAGAACAGCGGTCAATGGAGAGATCCCACTGAGTTTTTTCATGGAAGAATACCTGAGGATAGGTATGATGACAGGTGAATATCGTGCTCTCTCAGCATGATACCTTATCTATGGCATCTACCTCCAAGACCAGGCAGGAACAGACAAACCTTGACGCCTACCCGATAGTTAGGCTGGTATTGGCTTTTTATGTTTATTTTTGGAGATGAATACTTCCCTGCCCCTCCCACATGCACAAGGCCAAATGCAAATGGGGTGTTCATCAAGTACAGGCACAATGCCCTTTATGCAGTTATCCCTCTATTTACCAATATTATTTGGCTACAGAAGAAGATCACAAAAACGTCCACAGCAAGTAAGTGGGCACTGAGAGTTTGCAGTCAAGTCATTTCAACATTGAGCATGGAAAGATATTCAGCCACGTCTACCCTACAGCTCCTCTCTTGATGCAGACTTTGCCTGGCCTTGTTCCTGACCACTCCTGACTTCCTTCGTCTTCAGTGCCTGGACTTTGATGTCGAGTTTCGTCTTATAGTCCTGGGGTTCAGTATGCATAACCCAACCAACAACCCCGCCATCTGAAGGCCTGGGCTTATACTTGCTCAGGTCGACAAGTTGATCTGTTATTTCAGTGTAAGCAACTGTTTCAATCGATTGGCTGAATCTGGTGGCATACCCTCGCATTTACTTGTCTCTGCCGTCCACAGAGGAAGGATCCCATACAAGGCGCCAGGTGCGAATATGGCAACCTTGTCCTTGTCATTGTCGCGATCGATCTTGTCAGCTTCAGGGAACTGAACAACTTTCTCGATCTCATCCTCATCATTCTTTGGCTTCTCAAGAACGGCAAAGAGGGCCTTCCCCTTCCCATCAGTCCGTTCCTGTTGTTCAATCCACCTGCGAACCAGGAGAGGCATTTGATCGTAGTTCATCAGCAGCAGACTTCGGCCATTAAGGTGAGGATCGAGACCCAGCCACCCTCCAGGGTATTCTTTATCAGCGAACACCGCCTTCAGGCCCTTCGACCATGGCTTCAACCCCTTGGGAGGAGGTTCCATCAAGTCTTTGAGGGTGTACTCGAGAGCTTCAAACTGAGCCTTGGCCTCGCAGGTAGGTCGGAATGAGGCCATGGCATCGAGAGCAAAGGGGTCCTTCCAGTCGAAGCCCTGCACAAGCTCAACAGGCGGCGGCGGTGCCATACCGATTGCATGAGCGAGTCCAGCCAGCACAGCCGACGTGAACACGAATCCAGCGGAAGTGGTCTTCATGATGGCAATGTGATACGTTATTGACGGCAACTATTCAACGTAATTCGGAACCACCATAGGCAGAATTATGAAACCGGACTTGAATATCGAGAACCTGTCTTCTTCCATGATATTTATGCTCAGGATCACCTTATGTTGGTTTCTAATGTTTTGTTGTCCTTTTCGGAGTCTTGGTCGCCGAGTTTCCTTTTCAGGTTTATATCTCGGCCGATGTCAACGGGGAATAGTGAGTATTGTGTATCTGGACGAGCTACCTTAGGCTAAAGTATCCATGGTTGCAGGCTAAGAATGAGTTAAAATTGCTTACTTCAGAGTCCAGCGTTCTGTAACAAGAAAGCCATCATGGTTTCTGATGGTGCTTTGGTGGTTTGGCGCAAAACATCAGCCGAATAGCTAGGCTTCACAACCTATCAAGACTAGCTTACGGAGTACCTTGATTATGTATTCGTCCATTTCAAGGGAACATGTGAGTCCTGATATAATTAGTGTAGTCCCTTAAATGCGATTGTCGCCATCGTGAGTCCGTTATACCATGTTGTTAGTTTGCAAGCGCATCAACAGGACCTCAAGGTGGGATATTCTTTAAAGAGAGGTGGCTATAAAATGAGAAAGACGTCGACTGATATCGATGTTGACACCAAACGAGTCACTGGCATGGCTATGCTTTGTCTAAGTGATATAAGGAAGGAAATGTAGGGCTGTTGGACAACAACTGCATTACGCAATTTACGGGGCTGAATCAGAGTTAACAACTAGGTACTCAACTATACGATTCAGGCTGAGCCATATTGAGACTGATCTCATTGTCCTTTTAAGCGGCCTCTTTAATTATGTGGCCCAAGCCTCTACCCTGTAATGCCGTGCTAGCCGGGATTACCAATTAGACGAAACATTCGTGCCGTAAAGTGTGCTCATGGAAGAGCTGAAGGATCGTGTTCCATGAGATGTTGAAAATGGCAGAATGTGAATTGTGTGTTACACCGAGCTCTAGGCCCTGATGATGGGTTCTCAAGTCCAGAAAAGAAGAGACGGGATAGAATGAATGTTTCAAATGCGGTGATCTGCGTTATATGAACAGCAGGAAACAGATGTAGATCGCCAACCTAACTCAAATTCTGTCTCGTTCGGGTGCTCCCGAAGCCCTGTAAATAGCAACGGCATGGAATGCACCTTGCACTGGGTCCTCAGCTAGCTCTAGACCGTAAGCTAATGGCTTGGTGCTGACAGCAGACCGTCTTATCCATGCAATATTTCTGCTGCGCCCTGACTCTTGAAACCCTCTTGGACTGCTCATGGACCGGATGAGGCTTAGAGCTCAGGTGCCTGGCATGTAAAATTGAATGTTTGCTTATTTCCCCCTACCTTAAAACCTCGCTGGAGCCAAGCGTCGCCAGTTGATAGAACAAATCTATCCTCGTGCACTCACATTGCAATCACAGTTATGGCGACAAATGCAGCAGAGGCTGCGACCTCAGAGAAGCCGCATGTGGCAAAAGCAAAGCGATCCTGGCCACTGTGGAAGAAGCTCACTGCCTTTGGCGTGACACTTTCAGTCATCATCGCTCTGGCTGTTGGACTTGGTGTTGGCCTCACTCGAGGAAAGGGAGGAAACAACAGCGACGATACTGCTAACTCGGAGGCCGACGATTCAACAGAACCCTATCTCAAAGCCCGCAGCAGTCTTTGGCAACCCAAAGTTGGCGCACAATGGCAGATTGTTCTCCTCAAGCCTATAAAGCTCAACAAGGACGGCTCCGCCAAGGATCTCAAGCCCAACGTTGGCATTTACGACCTGGATCTCTATGATAACGACGCTGAGACCTTTGCAGCCCTACACAAGGCTGGCAAGAAGGTCATCTGCTACTTCAGCGCCGGATCATGGGAGGATTGGCGTGATGACAAGAACCAGTTCAAGAAGGCCGATCTTGGCAAGACTCTCGACGGCTGGCCTGATGAGAAATGGCTCAACCTGAGAAGCACCAATGTTCGCAACATCATGAAGAAGCGCATCAAGCTTGCTGCTCAGAAGGGATGCGACGCTATTGATCCCGACAACGTCGACGGTTATGTAAGTAGTATCACTTATTCTTAAAGTACGTATAAGAACTAACATGAGCCGTAGCAAAATGACAATGGCCTCAAGCTGACCAAGAAAGACTCTATCGACTATATCAAGTTCCTCGCTGCAGAGGCTGCAAAGTATAATATGTCCACTGGTCTCAAGAACGCCGGCGACATTATCTCCTCTGTTCTCCCCTACGTCCAGTTCTCAGTCAATGAGCAATGCGTCGAGTACTCTGAATGTGAGACATTTGCGAAGTTCATCAAGGCCAAGAAGCCTGTTTTCAACATTGAATATCCCAAGGGTGCGCCCAAGGTCAAGGAGTCCGATCGCAAAGCCATTTGCTCGAAGAAGGGCAAGGCAAAGGGTACAGAAGGTTTCAGCACTGTTATCAAGAAGATGAATCTTGATGGTTGGGTCATGTACTGCACCGGGAATACCTATCAGACTGCAGTCGAGAACTGATACACCTGGGGAAGCCCACAGAGGTTACATCTCATCATAAATATCATGATATCACAATTTAGGTTTACGATATATTTCAAATCCCTGATATGAAATGATAAAGGTCCTATCAATTGTCGGTCGTTCTTTATTGTCATAACCCGTGAGTCGTAATCCTAAGTACTTGTCGTGTAGACGTTGTTAGCTCCAACCTTTCTCCACCATATTTTCACTTCCAAATTTATGTACAAGTTTCCAACGGCATAGCCATAGAGCATCTTGTCGCGCTAGCAACTTGAAGTCCGCTAATATCCTAAATAAGGGGTATCCTGATAATTAAAAACCGCCCAGAACTCAAAATGATTTTCAACACCGGTGAACAACAAGAAGCTTATGCTGAATCGGCGCTTTATGTAGCTGCCATATACTTGGGCCCTCCCTCTTGTTTGAACAGCCAGTCACTGTTGGCGTCGACCATGAAGTTGGTTATATTAAACTCATTTGACGCCCCCAAGCCCGTTCCGTTCTCATTGGACGCGCCCATCTCGGCTCCTGGCGGAGCCGGTGTTCCGTTGGTGCCAGAAATATGTTCACCCCCAAAAGGGAGTCGAGGCACGTTGAAAAAGTCGAACACGTCAAGATACTCAAGCTCGTTGGGAGCGGGTGTCCTCGCGGGTGTGACGCTGGGTAACCTACTCAGAGCACTAGGCTGTCTGGGTTGCCGCGAGATGAGGAAATCCAAGTCAAATGCTGTGCGTCGCATATCAGAAAGGATTTTGACCGAACTGGGCGTAATCCCGTCACCTTGTCGCTCGCTATCGTGATGCTCATCCAAGACTCTTTGCAGCAACTGGGAATAACGTGCTGCAACAGGCCAGTAACGACCCATTTCACGCAGACTATCGACGAAGAACGGAAGCTGTGGTGAAAGTTTATGTTCAACTGTTGAGCCATGAACAAGGAGCAGACGAGCCGAAACCCAGAGAGTAAAAGCAAATGGTGGACCCAGCTTTGCTAGCATCCCATTGTTCACAACAAATTCTCCAAGGGCAGCCACATTTTCAACTGCACCATGACATCGTTGCGACGCGCTATATGATGGAGTGAATATGGGTGACCTCGTTGTAGGATAGGCAGCTGACGAGTGGAGGCGAATAACGGCCGTATGGTAGGTGGCATGAAGCATAACCCAAGCGCAGTTGATGCTTTTACTTCCTGGATGGAACAGTTTTGCCATATTTCCAAATTCACCAGGAAGACTGAACTTCCAGGATGTCAGCATGTTGTCCAGTTCCTTGTACCGCATCTGCCATTGTTCTACATCGCTCAAGGCACTAATGTCGACTGGCTGTTTAAGAAATTTGTGTATCTTGGATAGAATACCGAGAATTTCGATGTAGTAGGCGAATGCACCCAGGTTCTCTGGCTGATCAATATCATGACCGGGTGAACCAGAGTGTAGGTCAGTGCTGAACCATCGGGTATCGACCTTTTGGTTCTTGATCCACAAGTCGTCGCGGCACGGTAATGTCCTGTCAATCTCCTTGTCGTCCAGAGCAAATTCAAAAGCAGTTGCAAGAGTCGCATATCTGTCCAGAAGATATATCATCCAAAATAGACGCCGTCTCGCCTCTTCTTCGATAAAATCCTTGGGTTCCGAGAGTGTCATGGCTCGAAGTGTATATATTGAAAGGTAATGAGGCGACACAGTCGATGAGGTGATTTCAACAGCGAGACCAAGCTGTACTACAGAACGAGTGATCAAAGCCATGATATTCCACCCTGGTGGACCGTTACTGCTCCCACAAAGATCAAGCGCCAGGATAACGAGAGCTTGCAACGCCTTGACCGAGGAATTTTCCATGCCATAAAGGAGAACGCGTTCTTTGGAAACTCGGTGATAGTGCTCTCGCCGCTCCTCTGTTAGCCTAGCATCCGTCGAGTAGCGCATTGTGGTTGCAACTATGGCGTGGAGTAGAACTCGATCTGTTTCATCAAGGGCAGACGGTCCAAAAAGGCTATCTAGAGTTGTTTTGCGGTGCAGAATGGGGCACCAAGTATTGATATGCTTGAAGTAGAGATCAACAAGTGCATAGAGAAGGTCGTAAGGCGGCATGTCTCGATCTGGGGTCGATGTGCCTGGAGCCGATGATAGTGGGGCCGTGGGTGAATGAATGTTGGGTTGCACAGACGTGTAATAGTCTTGAGTGACAGCGGCATGTTGCATGGGTGATAACTGGGAGGATGCTGCCACACCTGACATCGACGCCTGGTTCTGACTCTGGTACCCATCGTTCATTCTAGGTGTATGAGCAACGTTGAAATCGAGACTCTGTGTGCTCGGGGCAAAGTTGGAGCTGGGTGCCTTCTGACCAAACATGACAGGATCGGTTTGGGGTGTTCGAACTGGTTCTGAAGGTCGGAAGAGGTTTGGGTGAGTATCCCGTGGAGTTCCTTGCTCGCTCGGAAGACTTGGGTTACTATGCCGAATACTGGCAGCTAAGACAGGATTTGTGTTTGATGCCAAGTTGCCGTGGAGAATCTCAGCATGGGAGCGCAATATCTCCTCAAGCTTGTCGAGGCGCTGCTCAAGCTCGCGACCATAGCCTGCTCTTAAACCAGGCTTCTTGCGTTCTTTGTATTCGCATATAGCGCCATTGCGGCTACACCAGCCGCACGATGGTTGCCCACGATCACACTTAACCTGGCAGGTGAGAAGGATCAGTATTGATTGACATAAGGAAAACACCAAGAGACAAGATTGTGTCACGGAGGGCATACCTTTCTTTGCTTACATAGCTCACATCTGGGTACAATACTGTTAGTCTCAGTGTCGGCGACAACCTGTATATTTGAGGACAAGGTGGATTGTATTTGTAATGTGGTATAGTAGTTGAGATTTTGTGAGGGCGGGGAGCATGAAGCATGAGGCGATGAAGTGGCCTCAGATGGCGGCATGGTGTTGATAAGAGAGTACAAGAAATGTAGATAAGACTCCAACATGATTATCAAATCATGGACTTATCAAGAGGACAAAAGGAAACCTTACCAATACATGGACTCAACGAGAGTGCAAGGCTAGGTACGATTCACAAAGTATGTAGAGGAAGCGAACGGAGACGAGTAGAAAGCTGCACTTACGAAACCGAGACAGGACGTTTTCTCTTCCCATTACGACAGAGTGTTTCGTGGTCGCCGTGGTCCTCATCCTCGCTAGGGAATTGGTTGGCTTCATCACTGTCTGCTTCTGTAGAGGGCGGGCGATTTCCAACCGAGCCCTCGCCCGACATTTTGCTGGCCCCGTTCTGCATGGCTGAGAGTAAGATGTTGGGCTTTGGGTTCCCTTTTCCCCAGAGCCCTTGCCGCTGGTCGTGTGTCGGTACGATGTAAGAACGAGCTCACCAGCGGTCGTGTGAGAGTCGATGATAGTGAGGCCGAATAACAGGGGTTAGCTCAGGCAAAGCAAGCATGCCACGAGATGATGGATAGCAGGTATGCGCGCGAACGATGAGTCCGCGTTCGTTGCAAAGGAGACCTCGCGATCCGGGATAATGGCCAGCGGGATCAGGAGAATGATCGCCCGAGGATAAATAGGCCTGTCCCGTACTAAGTACTAAGAGAATGGGTGTAGGACCTGCGCTGCAGCTGGGGAGTGGCCTACTATTGTCGGGGTAATGCAAAAAATTTTGACCAATAACGTCCGTCACCCAAAGACTGGCCACCCCCACAGACCGGCCACC